TCACCTTCATTGATTTTAATTTTGTTTTTAATAGAAATTTGAAAAGGAATATATCAGTTACTAATTAAGTTCAATTAATTCCTTAAAATTGTATGATTATGATTATGATATGATATGATTATCATATAGTAAATTCGTACACTTAAAAAAAAAATGTTCGAAATAAAAGTGGAAAAATTAATGTTTGAAATAATAAAAATAAACTTGAATAAAATTAATTAGATATAATTAAAATAATGAAAATATATGAATCTAATAATTTGCAATTATTTCATTTCATTTCATTTCATAAAATTTTATCGTATATTTTTCCAATTAATTATAATAATTAAAATTAATATTAATTGTCTATGTGTAATGATATGATGATAGAATGAATGTTCATCAATTATTAAATTATAAAATTACTGATTTAACTAAAACAAATCAGTAAACTTCCAATAAATCAATCAATCAATAATTTGTATTTTTTATAATTATACCAAAAAATATAGAATAAAATTTTTGTATTATATTATATTTTAATAATATACTTGTTTTGGTAATATATTTTAATAATACATTCTTTTTTTTCAAGTATTTAAAAAAATTAAACTTTGAAAAATTTATCCACTTTGTTTCTTCACAACAAATGCACTAAATTGTTAATTAACGTTTTACTAAAATATTCGATTTTTTCTACTTTTACAAAAAAAATTTTTTTTTTCATTTTTAAATTTTACAACAATAAGTAATGTTCTAAAGAATAAGACAAAAAAGTAAGAAAAATTACTATTTCTAATAAATATATTTTAAACAAACAAAAGAAAAAAAAAAAAAAAAAAGAATGAATTTGTTATAAAATTTGAATCATTATTCGAGTTTGTAATTTTTTTAATAGAATTTAAAAAAAAAAAAATTGTTAATTAAACTAATTAAAATATATTTTTTTTTTTCGCATGCATAAAATATGCATCTTTCGAATAAAAATAAATCTTATTTTCATGAGAATCAATTATTTTTACAATAAAAATAATTCATATCCCACAAACTTTATTATTATTATTATTAAATAAATATGCCAATTGCATTCCATTTGATATATTTTAATGATATCATCGATATAATCAATAATAATTATCTCTTAATGATAAAAAAAAAAAAAAAAAAGAAAAAAATGAAAAAAAAATTTTTTTCAAACATTGACAAATAACTTTTTCTTTCAAAAAAAAAAAGATTTCGATAAGATTGCGCAAATTACAAAAAATGGAGAAAAAATTTTTTTGAAAAAGAATTTCTGTTTCAAAATATTGTTGTTATCAGTGAAATTTTTGCGCATTTTTTCATTTTTATCATTGCGCGCATCCATCGTTTTTATTATCATTTCAAGGCGAAAATTTTTATAATTTCACTTAAAACTAACAAAAAAAAAAAGAAAATTTACAAAAAGAATTGTTTGTTTGTTTGTTTGTTTGTTAATTTTTATTCAATAAAAACGAAGAAAAAAAAAAAATGAAAACTTTTTCTTTTGAATATTTTTTAAAAATTTTTATTTTTTCTTTTTGTTTTTGACGTCATTTGTCATTTTTTTTTTTTCGTTTTTGTTTTTGTTTTTTTTTACCAATGAATTTCATTTTTAGAAGTGATAAAATGAAATGATAAAAGAGTGAATGATAGTAGAAAAAGATATTGTTATGTTTATTTTTTGACTTTGTGTCATTTCTTTTTTTTTTTTCTGACTGACAAAAAAAAAAAAAAAAAAAAGTTTTTGGTGTAAAAATTTGCTGTGAAGTAAATTGCAACTAAGTAAATCATTAAATTTGCCAGGTTTTATGAAAAAAAAGGTTGAAAAATGAAGTTAGCAGAGAATTTGGATGTCTGAATTTTTAGTTTAAAATTAGACATTAAAAGAAATTTAAATATGCATTTGCTAAATTGAAGTAGAAATGTGCTTAACTTAATTAATAATAAATTGATTTTCATTTACTTTTAGCAATTGTATAAATAAAATATTAAAGCAAAGTGACAAAATGGTAAGTGTTAGAAAAGTTTATTCAAAAAAAAAAAAAAAGTGAAATATTAAATTAGTCAAGTAGATATAAGCAATTTAGAGGATTGTTTTCCCTTTTAAACAAGCAGAAAATGCAAAAGAAAAAAAAAAAAAAAAAAGATATCAATTCTCGACATCGTTCTCGACACAAATTTTTTGCACAAATTAGCAAAATTAACAATGATGGGTAATGATCAGCTTGAAAAAAAAAAAAAAAAATCTTTTTTTTGAAAAATTCTAGGCATTTAAAATTTTGAAAATATAAGAATTATTATTTAAATAAATACGATTGAATTAAATTACTAATAATAATAATAAAAAAAAAAAAAACATTGAAACTATTAGTAACAAAATAAAATTTACAAATATTTTTCCTCTATTGTATCTTTTTTTTAATAAAAAAAAAAAGAAAGAAACATAAAATTTCGAACAGCATTGTTTCATTATAAATAAATTATTTTGACTTCAAATGATAGTAAAATTTAAAATTTTTCTCTCATTGATGCCATGAAAATTCATTAATTTCATTTTTATTTCTTACTTTCCTCTTTTGATTTTAAATTTTTAATTAAAAAAAAAAAATGAAAAAATTCAGTTTTTGTTTATTTTTTTTTTTTATTGTAATGTTTATTATTCTTAAATGATGAATCAATATACATACATACATACATTTATCTTTATTTTCCATCTTTATTTACTTTTTATTTTATTTTATTTTTTTTTTTTCGTTTTTGCTTTTTTGTGCTTTTCCCTTCTTTCCTTCTATCATATTTTTTATTTTATGATAAACATTATCATAATATTCAAGTTTTTATGACAATCATTGTCACATTTAAACTTTCATGAAAATCATTATTACAATTTTTGAAATGAAGAAGAGAGATGCAAAAAAAAAAAAAAAATTTAATTTAATTTTTTTTTTTTTTTTTTTAAAAGAAATATTACAGTAACTTTTAACTAAAATTTAAAAAAAAAAAAAAAAAAAATTTAACAATTACCAAGGATTTATCCAAACTTTTTCCTTGCAATTTATATGCAATCTTATGTTATTTTTAATTATATTTTAATTATTTATTAAAAATTACATTTTTTTTATTTTTTTAAAAATTTATTAATTTAATGAAATTTCTATCATAAATTATGTAATCAATCAAGCATTTTTCCACAAATATTGAACTTAGCTTTTCACTTTTTTTTTTTTTTTTTTTTTATTTAAAAATTTTAAAAAATAACACAAATAGTAGCTAAGCTACTATATATTATTAATTGAAGAAATTCAATTAGAAAAAAAAAAATGTTTGTTAAATTGATAGTATTACCAAAAAATAATTAATTAATTAATTAATCAATTAATCTATGAAAAGTATGAAAAATAAGGAAAAGCATTGTAACACTCAAATAAATAACTTTTTGGTCTGTTGATAAATTTATATTTTTAATAAATTTTTATTTTTTATTTTTTTTTTTTTTTTTTTCAAATAAAATTTTCTTTAGAAATTTTTATATTAACAATATTATATTATGCAATATATAATTTTAAATTTACATATCATTAAAAAATTTATCAAAAATAAATATTTGTAGTAATCAATTTTTTTTTTCCTCCAATTTTTATTTAAAAATAAAAAAAAAAAATAACATAATGATATAATTATTCGTATAATTGATTGGATTAAAATTGAATAATTAATTTATAATAACTTATTTTTTACTAATTTCAAAAAAAAAGAAAAGAAAAGAAAACAAATACTATTCATTTGCTTTTAAATAATTTTGAATTGCTATTGAATTAATGACTCATAAAATGATCAATTTGACATTTTTTAAGGGATTATCATAATTTGGTAATTTTATCTTTCCATTTTTTTTTTTTTTATAATTAATTTTATAAATTCCATTTTTTTTTCTCTAAATTTTAAAACGATCATTTCATCGTTTTTTTTTTTTTTTCGCTCTTTTTTCGGATCAAATGAATAGTTATTAATAAAATTAATCTTTTAGTAATATTTCAAAAGTTAAATTTTTTAAAATTTATTCTTTTTGTTTATTCAATTTTAGCTTTTCGCTAATATTTTTTTCATTCTAAATTATTTCAATGTAATTTATTCTTACATATAAACAATAAAAAAAAAAAAATTTTTTTTTTTTTTTTTTTTTTTACACCAAAAAATAATAATTTGAATTTTAAATTTATCATCGCAGATGTTTTTATTTCCTTTTCAAATATATTCTTTCTTTTCCCCTCTCTCTCTTTCTCTCTCTCTCCCTCTCCCTCTCCCTCTCCCTCTCTCTCTCTCTCTCCTGATTTTGCTTATTCTAAAAATTTCAGTAATTACCGCCCATAACGAATGAGTTTTATATGTTTTAATCGATATTTTCATTCTTTCTTCATTCTAACAAAATATTTTTTTTTTTAAAAAATATTTTTTTTCTTTTTTGTTTTGAATTTATAAAATTTCAGAAACGATGTGATATTTAATTGGTATTAATGAAATTCTGAATGAAAATGCTGGAAGGAAAACGAAAAAATTAAATTTTATTACGTTAAAACAGAAAAGAGAAAAGAATTTTGTAATTATTCAATTAATTAAATTCTGAAATTATTCCAAAAAAAATTTTCTCAATTTTCTTTCTTATTCTTTAATTAATTTGCTAAGCAATAAAAAAAAATTATCTTAGCAAAACTGTATTATGAATTGTTTATATTTTGAAATATAAATTATTATCAATTATTACTAATTAATTAATTATTTATTCTGTAAAATTATTTCATTTTAATTTAAAAAGAAAAAAAAAAAACAAATCAAATCAAAGGAGAAAAAAAAAAAAGAGAAAAGGAAATTGTATTTTTAATTACTATTATTTACTGATAAAGCTATTATTGCTATTCTGAGAAATCAAATTGATGTTTGAATTTTTATTTCCTAACAAAATTAACATTATCATTCATTTCTTGATGATAATCAACAATATGAATATTATCACTTCATCACCATCCTTATCACTATCACCATTAATCCTATCTTCACTCGTTTCCTCACCATTATCACTTTCACTGCCATTATCATCATCATCATCCTTATCATCATCATCATTGACGTCAACATCATCACCATCATCATCCCAGTCAATAAATCATCAAACAATAACGAATCAGTGCGGAAAACGACATATAATATTGGATTATAAGCATCCGGAATACGTAATCAGTTTTCCGGCTGCATCAACCTCTGATAATACGGATTATAAGCATTCAAAAGGAAGCAATTTAGTATCAGAGGAAAAGCAAAACGAACAATTTCAACTTCCTTATCCATTGCATTTGTATATTAACAATGATATTTCAATGTCTCAGTAAGTTAAACATTTTCTTTGTTACTTTTTGTTTTTCAAACCTTTTAAAATATAAATTATTTAATTTTAGTAATTAATTAGTTTAATATGAATTAGATAAATTAATTTCACATTTTTTTTTTGTTTTTTAAACAAAAAAAAAAAAAAAAACATTTACTGCGTGTTTATATTATCAAATATTAATTAATTAATTAATTAATTTTTCTTTTTTCTTTTTGTTAAAAAAATTGTGAAAATGTAATGTTAGCTAAAGAATATCAATGAATGATTAATAAGGTTAATTAATAGATTTTAATTTCTGATAGAAAACAACTAATAAATAATAAATAATATAATTATAAGGTATTTTTCAATTGATAATTAATACTTTTCATTTTTTAAACAATACTAATTACTTATTTATGAATTTAACAATTCCTTCTCTAATTTTTGTGTAAAAAGTTTGAAATTATTGTAAATTAAAATTTTTTTCTTCCTTAGTTGTCAATGGCTTATTACAACTGATTCATATCATAGTATTGGAGCAGAAATTGAAGTTGACAATGAAAGTAACTATTTTTTGAATATTACAAACGAGAATGGTCTTCGAAAAAAGTAATTCTTTCGTTCTATTTTCTTTTTTAATGAAAAAGAAAATATAATATAAAATTTGAAAAATAAAAAATTTTAATTTGTAAATTATATATTTGCATTTAAGCAATAAGAATTATTGTTAATCATTATAAAAATATCAAAAATTATACAAATTTTTATTGTATATAAATCAAATAGTTAAATAAATAAATAAATAATCAATATATATATTCTTGTCATTTTTATTAATTCTATTTTTAGTTTATTTGTTTTTTTTTTTTTTTCTATTTTCTAGAATTTTCAAAAAAAAAAATCTTTTTTTTTTTAACTATAATATTTTTTGAATAATTTCAATATTTCACTTAGCTTTCCATTTTTTTTTTTTTTTCTTCAAGTCATAATTATGTCAATAACAAACGAATGGTAATTAGTGTAATTCCTATTTTTAATTAAATTTTATGTTGATTAGTTGATGCAGCGTCGAAATTACGAGTGGAAAATTTTAATTTAAAAAAGCTACAAAATCATTAATTAAAATAATGGCTAATTTTAATTGAATAAAGAGTAAAAAAAAAAAAAAAAAGAAAAAAACACGACAATGATAAGTAAGTCATCGATAACATTTCATTTATTTTATTTTAATTCAAATATTTGAAATTTAATTCATTTCTATTTCCATTTTTGATTAAAAATATAACACATTCATTCAATTTCTCGAAATAATTTATTCATTTTGTTTTGTTTTGTTTTGTTTTTGTTTTTTTTTTTTTTCCTCTGTCAACAATGTAATTATAGCATTTTTTTTTTTTTTTTTCATTTATTTAATAATTTCATGCATAAATTCATATCAATTATTATCTTAAATTAATTCAAAAATTATGGTTGTTTACGTCACGTCAGACGTCACGTGTCAGACGTGTTAGAGGAAAGATTTCTTACGTTCTGTTAGAAGATTTAATGATAAAAACTGATAAAACTATCAACTACTTATCATATTTATATAAAAATTACGATGAGAATTTTGTAAATGATTTTTTTTTCAATAAATTCACATACTTATGTGAAATTAAAAATAAATTAATGACAAAAAAGGATGAGGCAAAACAAAAATTAGTGCGTATTATTAATATAAATTACTCGGTTTCACGTCAGCGCAATCACGTTTACGTGAAACTATAAAGAAGAAACAAATAAATTGGAGGAGAAAAGACTAAAATAAGTTAACTAAAATAAAATATTCATATGAAATTATGAAAATAATAGAGAAAAAATTGAAAAAAAAAAAAAAAAAACCAAAATATTAAAATAACAAAGAAAAAAGTTTATTCGAAATATTATAAAATAAAATTTTATAGTATAATAAATTGAAAAAAAATTTATCCAAATAAGTTAAATATGTTTATTTAATAATATATATATGCTGTTAATTAATTTAATTAAGGAAAAAAAAATGTGAAAATAAATTTCTTTCTATTATATTTAACAATTAAAATGATAAAATTATGCGTGAAATTATTTAATCCGAAAATAATTCGAAATTTAGTGAAAAGAATGAAAATTTTTGTAAATTATTTACGTTGATAACTTAGTAATGTTAAATTGTAAATATGATTAAAGATCACACATAGTTCAGAATTGATCGGTTGATTGATTGATTGATTGATTGATCGATTGCTTAATTGATTGGTTTCATATTTAATTAAGTGATGATAATAATTTAAATCAGTAATAAAAATAAGAAAAGAAATTAGCAATTAAATTAAAAATCGAATTCTTTCCAATAATCGTTTTTTCTAATATCGATTTATTATTAAATTTATTATTTAATTAAAAAATTATGAAAGTTAAGATGAAATGCTTGCCTATTTCAATCATTATTACTCAACAAATATTTATGAAATGATTACTCATATTACATTCATTAATATAATTTCATATTTATTTATCATTTCTTATGCTCAGTCATTAATTACAATATTTATTTATTTTTTTATGAATTATATAAAATGATTAATTCGCTAATTTCGAATTTTAATTTTAGTTTGAACATATTTTTATTTTTCTTTTTCTTTTTTTTTTTTTTTTTAGTAAAAAAAAAAGTAGTAATGATTATTGTGTAATTAATTTTTATGTCATAATTTTCTTTTTTCAGTTAATAAAACTATTTTTAAATTAAAATTTAATTTCTGAAAAAGAACATACTATTTGTTTGTGGTATGTGTTATTTTTTTTTTTGAAATGTTTAAATATTTGTCTAACCTTTATTAACAATTTACTTCCTGAATGCCATCTGGCTTATTCATATTGTACTCATAGATCGCAAAAGAATTTTAAATTATAATTTACTTTTTAAATTTATAGTTTAGAAAATTTTTTGCAAAAATCAATTTTTTTTAAAAAAAAAAAAAAAAATGTATTCATTCAATGCAAACATTTCTAATAAAATATATTATTTCTTTTAGTTTCTTTTTTCTTTTTTTCTCTCTTTTAAAGAAAATAAAAACATTTTTCAAAATGCCAAAAATAAAAAAAAAAAAAACACAAAAAAAGCAAAAATTTCACATTTATGTTTGAACTAAATTTTTGTTCGTTTTATTTTTCTTTAAAACGAAAGCAAAAATTTTTTTTTTTAAATTCCATTAATAATTGAAAATAATTATCTAAGAAAATAATTTTTCATTAAATTTGAAGATTTAACGAAGAAAAAAATTTATGCATTTTTGTTTTACTTTCTCATAATTGCTGCTAAAAAAAAAAAAAGAAAAAAAAAAATTAACTATTTTTTTTTTTATGAAACAGATGTGTAATTTATTTGAATTTCTTTTTCTATGCACCTAAAAAAAAAAAAAAAAAATTCATTAATTAATTTTTAAATGATTAATGATTTTTTAAAAACTTTCTTAGGTGAAGTTTAATTTTCTAAATACAAATTTAACAATTTTTTTTTATTAGATTTATCACAAATTTTTCAAATAAAATGAGAGAAAAGTATGGAAAAATGTTGGGAAAATAATTTGTCACTGTTAATTATTATTATTAATATTATTATCATTTATTATTTTATTATTATTACTATTATTATTATTATTATTATTATTATTATTATTATTATTATTATTATTATTATTATTATTATTGCTATTATTACCAAAAAAATATTTGTCATATTCAAGAGGTAAAATTAATTATTTTATTTGTAATTCCTTTTAATTTTTAACAGCTAATATTTCATGAGCAAAAATTAATGTTAAATATTTCATAAGCATGTAAAGTATCTCAATTAAATATTTATAATTAAAAATTACCAAAAAAAAAAAAAAAAAAAAAAATTTCCAGACTAAATTGAAATTAATGAAATGTAATACTTCATAGCATTTTAATTTATATTTGATAATTTTAATCGACTAAAACAGTTTAACTGAAAGTATCAGAAATAAATAGTTTTAATATTAATTCGAAAATAAATAAATTTTTTAAATTAGAAAATTAGAGTAAAATAAAAAAAAGTATGATAATAAATTAAGAGAAAATCAAATTGTTTTAAGAATAAAATTAAATGTTTGCCATTTTTAATTTATTTATATATTTTATTAGCTATAATTTGTTTTTTTTTTCTCGAATTAAATTTAGCAAAATTTATGAATTTGAAATAATTAATTACAGTTGTACGGCCAAATTATGTACCATTAAAAGTGATACCTCAGCTATATTAGTGCAATTTCGTACCACAAACACTGATAATATTCAATCAATCAGTCGTTTCTCGGCCAAATTTGTCATCTTACCCTTGTCATCTGGTAAGTTATATTTTTTTCTTCTCTTTTATTCCCTCTCTCCCTCTCTCCCTCTCTCTCTCTCTCTCTCTCTCTCTCTCTTTCTCTCACCCTTTCTTTCCAATCCTAAAAATTTCAATTTTTGTTTTCAATTGTCATTCAATTTTTTTTTCCCCCCCCCCCCCCCCCATCGCATAAGTATTAACAATTTCGCACTTTTCGTTTTTCTTTTGAAATATTTTCGCAAAAAATTGCGAATTTAAAAATTAGAAATTATAAATTAAATTAATAAAAAAAAATTTCATCGGCTAAATTAGTAAATTATTTAATTTATCTTATAAATAGCAAAATTGAAAGAGAAAAAAAAAATAAATAAATGAATATATTATCAATTAATGAATTGATAAAATTTAGAAAAGTGTTAATAAATAAAAAAACTTTCTATTAACTTTTAAAAATTTTTTGTTAATGATTTTTTTTTTATTTTAAAATTAAATTACAAAGTATTTGATAAATCTTTATTTTTTCTCTTCCATGTTCATTTTTTTATATACTTAATAATAGTTAAATTTAAAATTTTCAATTTTATAATGCAAATTACACAGATATGTTTGATACATTTTAAATAAAGAAATATAAAATTAATTATTTATTATTATTAATTCCATTTTTTTTTTTTTTGAAACTTATTTTCTCTGTATTTTATGATTAAAATCATTTTTTAATACAGATTTATCACTGAAAATTTATAATTTTAGAATTTTTGATTAAAGGAAGATAGCTCATATCACACAATTAAAAAAAAAAAATAAATAAATAAACAAATTTAAATAATAAATTTGAATTTATTACTTCATTTATCATTCCAGCATGGCAATATTCATTTCATTTTATTTTACTTTTTTAATTCGTTCTTTTTTTTTTTTTTTGTTATTGTTAATTTTAAAATGTAAAATAGAATAATTTGCTTATTGTTTCAACTGTGATACAACTATGAGAAGAAAGAAGTACAAATTTGAAACTTTATGTTTAAAAAAAAAAAAAAAAAAACTTAAATTTATAATCTTAAAAAGAGAAAAAAAATTTTGTGTCTGGAAAATTTTGCAATAATTATAAAATGCTACTTATTTCTACACAAATATTACTCAATTTAGTAAAAGAAATTAATAAATTTGATTAAAAAAAAAATAATTGAATTAAATGTTCGTCTATTGTTCGTCATGTAATTAAACTTTTTTCCTTGATATTTTCAAAATTTAATTTAAATTCTCGTTTAATTTAACCTAACTTTTCCAATGTCTACTAATGTTGCCAAATAGATTATTTCCATTTCTTTCAATTCACAAATATTAATTAAAATTAATTAAAAAAGTTACCCAAAATATTTTGTCAGATTATTGATTGATTGATTAATTGATTAATTGGCTGTTCATCCTTCGGGTAAAATCGATAGCATTATTAATAAAATGTATGATCATAAAATAAAACTTTCTTAAAAGAAAAAAAAAAAATGAAAAAATCTTTATTTGAAATTAAAATATATTCTTTATGGATAATAAATGAATGTTATTTTTATGAGAGACGAAAAAGTTAAAATTATTTTTGATTTAACTGTTTTCTTTAAAAAAAAAAAAAAAAATATATATTGAATAATCTTTTTTTTTTTTAATTGAACTTTTTTTTTTTTTATAAATATGATAAATAAATTATAGATTTAATAATATATTTATATAGGTTATGATAATATTAGCTCTTCTTATATAATGGATGCAACGAATTGATTAAATTTAATTAGTAAATTTAATTGGTGGCTTAATTGTTGACATTGTTGACATTATAAATTCTTTTTTTCTTGATGCTAATAGTAGTAGCAGTTAAAGATTAGAATAATAAAAATAAAAATGTTTGTTATTTTGATTTTAGGAGTGGAAGAAATATCTGAAATTTTGTTATTGCAGTTGCTAATTAGAAAAAAAAAAAAAAAAAAATTCGAAATTTGTTAGTTTAATGCTAATTAGCAGCAAAAATAAAAGCAAACAAATTGAAAAGTGATATTTAGCAGATAATTTTTTGTTTATTCTAATGTCAATCGATTATAATACGAAAATTTCATCGCTTTTTAAAATATAAATTTTTCGATAGATTATATATTTGAAAAAAAAAAAAAATAGTAATTTAATAATTAAATTAATACATTATTATTATTATTATTTTTTTTTTTGTTGTTGTTTTACTGAGAACATTCATTTCATTAAATTTTTTCAAATGAAAATTTATTTATCCATTTTAATTGTTTGCTGTATAAATTTTTTAAATGTAAATGTTTAGCTTTGCAAATGAATAAAAAATGTTTTAATTTTATATTTGTGTATGAAAAATTTTTATTTAAAAATTATAGCAAAAGAAAATTTTATTTCAAAAAAATCTTTTTTTTTGTTTTGTTTTGTTTTCATTTGTAAAATAATATCCATTTTTCTTTTCTCCTCTCTTTTTCTTGTTTTTGATAGATTTTTTTTTTTTTAATGACAAAATTTAATAAATATTTCAATATTTTTTTTTATTAATATCATTAATTTTTCTTTTTTTTTCTTTTTCAAAATAGATTTTAATTTTTTTTATATTTAAATATTAAATTTTAACTTTTTTTTTTACAATTAAAATGACATTAATAATACTATTTGAGTCATTTATATTAAATATGATATAATATAATAAATGAATGATAGAAATAAAATGTACACTTATTCCGGAATGTAATGAGAGAAAACCGGAAAGTGTACAAAGTGGAAAAATGCGAAAGAAAGCCAATAACTGAGAATAGGAATAGATGTTAACACAATTAATTAATTAATGAGTGTGTATGTGTGTATGTATGTATGTGTGTATATATATATATATATATATGTGTGTGTGTGTGTGTGTGTATGTATGTATGTATGTATGTATGTATGTATGTATGTATGTATGTATGTATGTATGTATGTGTGTGTAATCGTCCAAATAGTAGGAGGAAACAAATGAACAATTCTTACTTAAGAATCAATAGGACGGTATTTGATTTCTTTCATTACCATTTACAGTTAAAGATAATAAAATACAAAACACACCTGTACACATACACATACACACACCTGTACACATACACATACACATGCACACACATACACACACATACATACACATTCATATACAATTATGTAAACATAAGTATGACTAATTGCGCCTCGTTATCAAATGTCTTTCTCTCTTATATTCTTTCAAATTTTATTGCTACAATTTTTCATCATAAATTCTAGCAGTAATTTTGTAATTTTCTTTTTTTTTTTTTTTTTTTTTTTTAACTATTCAAACAAAAATTTTAAGCATTAATAATCAAAATGTAATTTATATTTTTATCTAATAAAATTTTTAATTATTATTTCGAAAAAAAAAAAAAAAAAAGGAAATTAATTTTTTATTAATTTTGGAAAAATTTTTTTTTATTCTTTTCAAAAATTTTAAAAATTCTAAGAAAATTTATTTCATTATTTGATGAAAAGAATAAAAAACTGGGATCTTTTTTTTTTTGTTGTTGTTTTTACTTTTTATTTTTGAATTATTTTAATTCATAAAAGTTGGATAATATAGAATTATTAGTATATTAGGTTAAATATACTATATTGAATATATTAGTATTATTAAGTAAAAAAACTTGAATGCTTTCAAATCTTTGATTAATAAAATTCCCCTATAATTATTCTTTGTTTTTTTCACATTTTTCCACGATAGAAATGAAAAATTAAATGGAAAAAATTTTCCTTAGTATTATTTACGTCGTTTTCATATTTTTTCCTTTTTATATTCTTTTATATATATATATTTGTTTTTTTTTTTTTTTATTTATAAATTTCCAATGATTTATTATAGGATTTAAGGGTATATTAACAATATAAAATAAAATTTTTTAAATTTTATATTTTTCACAAAAAAAAAAAAAAATTAAACTCAAATTATGAAAATTTGACCAATTATAACTTTATGCCATAAAGCAAATTATTATATTAATAGCATTTCTGCTTATTACTTATTATATAGTATTATTGCTTAATAGTAAAAGATGATTAATTGAAGTGTTAAAGAGTAAAAGAAAAATCAGAAGAAGAAATTATTAATGTTAAAATAAATTACAGTGATAATTTTAGATGACCTTTAACAGTGGACGTTATCAAATGACAGTTTGCATTATATGCTATATTAAAGTTTAGATAAATACTACTTAATGATCAAAATCAGAGACAAAAAATTTTAGTATGACTGTTCCATTATTTGAATTAATTAATTTGCATCAATCCTTATCATTTATCAGTATTTTTTTACAGATCAGAGTGGAGCTGCGATAGTTGCTTTTTGGGTACTTTTGATAACGCTTATTGCCGTACTGATCGCTTTTGCTGTGATTATCTATTTGTATTGCATGAAGAAGAAATTGTTATTTTCTCATTTTCTAACAATTCTGAGGAGTAAAGGTTAGTTAATTAGTCTAACTGATAAATTATATCAGCTATCAGTAGATGTATTTCAACAAAATGCTTAAATTATTTAGGCTAATTCAGCATATTCATAAAATTTTCATCATTTTTTAATAGTTTAAATTGTGATGACATATTGCTTTCTTTATTTTTAACATTTCCATTCATTAGCATAATCAAATAATTTTTCAAAATTTAAAAGTATGAAAAAAAAAAATTAGATACGATTAAATTAATGTTTCATATATTATTAATATTATCAGTATACATTATTATCATTGCAATAAAGTGAACGATTTATCAATTGTTACAAATTAATATTCTAATGCTTTATTATTCGGAACTGTGATTTAAAATTTTGAAGTGTTAGAATGGAGGTTCTTTTTTTTTCTTAAATAATGAAGGAGATGAAATTAGATAGATAACATACGGGGGGAAAAAAAAAAGGAAGATGAAGATAAAACTGATAAGAAAAGTTATTATCATCTATACAAATTCATTTCCTGCAAGATTACTACTGATAATTACAGAACAAGTACTTATCAGTGGTACCATTTCTTTTTCTAAAGCATATCTGAAAATTTTATTGCTTATATAGTTTATTTAACATCTTTTAATCCAATGAATTAAGCATTTGCTCAATATTTCATATCTCTAATCCTAATTAATCTTAATTACAATTATATTTAACATTTACTGTTACTTAACTCAAAATTTTTAAACCATCAATTAAGCAATGATTCTGATTCATACCGATCCTAATTAAGAGAATGATAATTAGTATGATAACATTTCATTTGTTTGTTATCATCTCCGATTATTGTTATTATTTCATTTATAAAAATGAGAAAATAAAACGAGAATTGGAATTATATCTAATTTTTAGCATATAAGATTATGATAATTAATTAGTTTTAATTAAAAAAAAAATTGATTTAATTTTTTATCTTAGATCGTAACAATTTTAATTGACTTCAATTATATTATTGTCAAGAATATTAATTATTACATATAAATAGGTCGTAAAAATGGACGAGAATCAAAGGAAAGGAAGATTACTTTACCAAATGGTACCTTAATAACCTTGGCTTATAGGCCAGGACAACATGGTTGCAATGTTACTTCAGCGCAATCGCAATTTAATTCATTTGAGCGTATGCCAACAATTGTGGAAGAAACTGAAGTCTGTTTTTAATTATTTATCTTAAATTATATTTCATTTTGAATATTTAGCTATTTGTATAAGTCATAATGCAAATATTAATTTATCCAAATTTTGTTAATAAAAAATTATAAATTCAAATTGATAATTGAAATTACAAATTATGAATTATTTTACTGATTATTGGTTCTTATCAATTGAATAATAATTATTTTGAAAAAAAAAAAAAAAATAATTCATCAAAATACTATTAGAATATGGATGAATTAGTGAACAAAAAAAGATAAAAATAGAAAAGAGATTAGTCGGAATGATCAAATAAAAAAACAAACAAAGAAAAAAACCAGAAAAATTCGGAGAAATTTTATAGAATGATATCGAATTACAAATATCAAATCGCGAATTAAATGATCCATATAGATAAATATTTTTGGGCGCTAATTTGGGCGCTAATTGCAACATATTGCACTTCATATCTTTATACATAAATGATCACAAATACTTGTATCTTTAATGCATCTTTTTTGTTTTTCATTTGATGAGACGAATAAATAAATGAAAAAATTCATGAAACACTTAATTTTTGTAATAAATACTTAGCACAAAAATTTCTATCTAATTTTTCAAAATTTTCATTCATAAATACTTCTAGACACTCTAACTCTCAACAATCATCGACTGATCGATTCAATAATTCCGATATCAAATTAGATCTCATTTCACCAAAAATAACGCCTATCTTCATCCACTATACCCATCATTAATCATTACTAAATAATAACAAGGATAATAACGATAATAATAATAGTAATAAAAAGTAATTACATTAATATTAATGATGATAATAACAGTGATAGTAACATTAATATTAACAATGATAAAAATAACAATAATGATAATGAATAATTAATCAGTCAATGTAGGTTCTTGTGAAAAATTGAAATGATATTATCTAGGAATGTTGTTACTTAATTGTAGCAAACTGTAAATGTTAAACCAAAGACCAAGAAATATGAACTTTGAAATTCCATATTTCGAGATTGTTTGCTGTTTTTTAAAGAAATTTATAAGCACTCAATTTTGTAATATACAATATTGTTGATATATAATGAATAATATTACTGAGACATTTTCAAAAAAAAAAAGAAAAAAAAAAATTTAAAAATGCCGAGAATGTTTTTTCAATATTTCCTTATCAGACATTAGACGTCACACAGTTAATTCCGCTTGCAAAAACTCATTTGGTAAATGAAATCGTTTAAATTCAATGAAATCCGCTTTCAGAAAAAAAGAAAGAACTGATTTTCAAAACTTAAATGTTTTGCTTTGGATCGGTCTAATTTTTGCTCTCAGAAATAAATGATCCCGTATCAGTGTAAAATGGCTTTTATCAGCTGCAATATTTATTTCAAATTCATAAATTTTCTTTGCTATATAAATTGTGTCTCATTTGTGTGAAATCATCCCAGTTGTTATTTTGGCAAACAATAACTTAACCTTTACTAATTTCTTAATAAAAAATTGATTTCCAAAAACATGAGCAATCCAATATGTCCTCTTTAAAAGATGCGTCTTAATATCAAATTGCTTTTTAAAACTTCAAAATTACGATTTGTGTAATTTTTGCATAACAAATTTCAGAAAACAAACAAACAATTGCACATACACGTAAATAAAAAAAAAAAAGTAACTGAAGATAGAAAAAAAAATATGATTTGAGAAAATATAATAAGACTACCAAGACTATCGGAGTTTTTTACGTGGCGTTCTCGATGTTACCCAAATCACAAGTTATAAGACATTCATGTTTAAAAACTCCAAAAACTGCGGAATGTCCTATTACCACAGATATCGTTTAACGATATAATACGTACAACTAATATTAGAAATGTAGAAAACACAACGGAATTTGATACGAAAGATCCAAACTGATTATCATTATATTATATTGAGAAATTCAATAGAATTACACATAATTCAGTAAAGCAATAAAAAAAAGGTAGTATAAAATTGCAGAGAACAAAAAACGAAAAGAATAAAAGCTGGCAATTTTCACTAAATGATTTCGAAATAAGCTAACTCGGACGTAATTCTTCTGGAATAGGATGAAAAATCATATAATCTCTCAAAGATTTCGGAATAGGAAGGTCATCCAAAAACCGACCATGTAAGAGCTTTGATGTTCGAAAACACTTTCGCACAGCAAGACGGCATAAATGTAAAAGTTTTGGAATCTGCAATATACAAAATTTAAACATATGGAATATTGTCGTTCATTTTTTCGAAAAAAAAAAAAAATACTATAAAATAAGGTCTAATTGTATCGTAGATTACGAGAAAACATTTTTGTTTTCTCTCGTAAAACTTCTGCAGAAAGAATTCCTCAGAATAATACAATACTATCATATGATCTTACTCATAGTAATAAGAATTACACTTCATTTTGTCATCCCTAGTAGTAATAAGAATTATTTCAAATCATGATGTCAAACTTCGATTTATATCTAATCAGTGATAATTTTAGTAAAGAAAACAACATATGCATTACTTTAGGTTGAGCACCGATAACTTCTGCTACTTCATTACAGCAACTTGGAATACCAGATGAAAAAAGTACCAGCAGTTTCATCAATTTATCAACATCGGTAACATATGTCGTCTGCATAACATCATACATAAGTGAGTAGCCATTGTTGCATTTGCACCAATTCTAAAATAGAAAGTGCTGAAACAATAATTTAATCGTCACTAATCATTAATTAAATCGAATGAAAAAACAAAATAGTTTCATTTCTAAATATAATAGTTTTTCTGTTCACATCAGTTCAACAGAGCTAACCATAGCCAGTCAAATTTAATAAAGGACAGATATGCAGTTATGCAATATTGTAAAATAAATGATAGGAAAGAAATCGCAAACCGAAGGTCAAACCTATAAATATAAATAATGTCTTAATGATTACTTGTTTACCTTCAAGGCTGGATCTAAACCACAGCTCAAAAGTAAAAGCAACTGACGCCGATTACAAGTGCCCAAGGCACTAACCAATGCATCCGGTACGTCACATGTCCGCTTAACACTGGAAAATCCACAAAATTTATAGAAATCAAAAAAAAACAAATTTTCCACTTCTTTTGAATCATCACATTATGTTCATTCAGATTTTTTTTTTTTAAGGAAAGGGCAGAACTGGTAAGATGAAAAGCAAACAAAAGTACAGAAACCTTTACCGAACTTTCGAATTTCTAAAATTTCCAGGTGTGCTATTTTTTGTTAAATTATAAATTATATTTGCAGAAACTCAATATATTACATTTTCTTGACATCTCATAACTTCAGTATTCATAATAATAATAACCTAGATACTTCTCTACTTAAAACTACATACATTACCTCATAGCATTGATGTCAACGTCGTTTTCCAAAAATTTGTATAGGATGGCGGGATCGATGCGATTTCGAAATGCAAATAAAAATGGTGAGAAGCAATTCTTTACATAAGTCATCTAAATAAAAACATTGAGTTCTAGGCTGAATGTTGAGGTATTCATTAAAAATTCTAAATCAAAATAAACATGAGAAATTAAGAGTTCAGGGAAAAGGACAGCATTTAAAACGCTTTGTATTCTTAGAACAAGTAATAAAAAAGTACACCTTTGCGCCAGCTTTAAGAAGTCTTTCAACAACTAAAGTATATCCTTTCCGAACGGCTTCACGTAACGGTGTATGATATCGACGTGAAAATAATGGCCGTAGATATGGAATGATCATGCCAACCGGTTCACATGAACACATAGGGACCTGAAAAAAGTAGCGAGAATACTGATTTTATAAAGTGCTTTTTTAATTTCTTTGTTTAACATTTTCCTTAAAAATAGCTTTTCAATGTTGCATTATCACGACTGTATCAATTATAATCTTCAGGTTAAGGACAAATACTGCGCTAAATAATTAAATGGGTATGGTGGTATATCTAAAGTAAATCAATGATAAATTTAAACCTCAGTTGAAAAACCAGCATCGAGTAACAAACAAATACATTCGTATGATCCACTATAGGCAGCTGCTGATACTGGATCAATCTGGAAGTTATTTGCTTACCAATGAAATAAATGGATTCTGCTAAACATCAAAAGAATGCAAATGACGATGTATCATAATGCTACCCTATTTTCATTTCCATTGAGAAATGATTGAAAGAAAGCATTTTAAACTAAAAAAGACGATAATATGACTCAAGCAAGTTACTTCTCTTGTCTTTCCATCTGATATAGAAGATTTCTTTAAAAAAAAAAAGCAAATCAAGAAAATGGAAAACCTAAACCAACTTCTGTTTCCTTCAATATTTCCTTATTAACATGAGGTATAAGTAGTTCCACACACTTAGGATGATTGTTTAGGGCTGCGGCAGCAATTGCATGTATTCGACTGCCATCATCACCCCAAATGGGATGCAGGGTTATGTTACAGTCTGCCCCGTGATTTATTAGTAAGAGAAGAATCTGCAAGAAATTTGTTAAAATCCCGATTGTAATTAGAGTACTCTGTAGATTATATAGATCTTAAATTCTTAACTTCATAATTATACTACTTATATTGTCTTGTGACACTTCAAAGTGAAGTAAATCAAGCTTTTCTTGACATTGCAATGAATCCCTGAAATGTTTCAAAAGTCCATCCTTCTACTGTTTGAAAAACTTACATCTTCAAACCCAGCATCAGCAGCAGCCATAACACAAGTCAATCCATTTTCCACTGATATATTAGCCAATTCGGCTGCCCTATCTAAATTAAAATCAAGTATTTCACTTAGCCATGTTCAAGAAATAAGTAACGAAGAAAAGAAACAAAAAGAACAAATTAAATTAAATTTAAAATCAAAGAACAAAAAAATTAAATGTCAAATATCATTAATAATTGAAAAGATAACCACAAAAGAAATAAAGAACCGAATCAATTTAAAATTTTCGAAAACAAAAAAAAAAAAAAATTTATAACATTTGAAAAGCAACCATACCTCTAGCTACTTTCAAAAGTAATCTTACACCAGGGAAAAAATTCTCCTGCACAGCAACCATCAGTGCTGTATGCCTTTTCACATCAACAGCAAAAATATCTGCTCCTAGACTGATTAGTCGTTGCATGATAACCTAAAAAATGAAACAAAATTTCTTTAGCACTATGATTACAACTGTTAGTCCATTTCTCTCTTGCATCCTAATCGCACCGATACTGTTTTTGTTCTCATTTTTTATTTGATGCATCCAAGGGAATTAAAGAAATTCTACCCTAGTCTTCCGCTATATCTCTGTACAGCAAGAAATGCACAAATTCACTCCATTCATTTTGATAAGAAAAAAGTGTACCAAATCTTTGGTATCTGCGGACTCATGCAATGCCGACCATCCGTCATACCATACGTCCAGTGGATTGGCACCCCTGTCAATTAATAATAAAGCTAAAGCAGTATTTTTAGATTTAATAGCTTGAATCAATGGGGTCATTTCATCCAGAGTTCGACTATTCGGATTTGCTCCCTGTAAAAAGACGAATTTGAATGTTTTCGTAAATAAAAGAGACAACAAATTCCAGATTTTATCTTTGATGAAGAAGAAATGAAAGAGTAAACTTACACATACTAATTTCAAAGTACCTGATTCATTAAATTTCCAATAAGCTGGAACCGATTTTTTTGAAGAAAACCTTATTTTGAAAGTAGCTACAGCTCTTACATTATTATGAGCAATTCATTTTATATATATTACACATTAAAAGAGAAAAAACATACGTTATCAAGAAGATAACGTGCTACTTCCAGAGCTTCGTCATGCCTCGATGACATGCGACAAACCAGCATAAGCGGTGTAACAGAATCATGAGCTTGAGCATTTAAATTACAGCGTCCTTGAAAGAAACAACAAATAAAAAAAAAAATAAGTAAATAAAATTAGTAGAATTTAAATTGAGTTCAGAATGATATGCACAGCAGCACAGCAGCATAAATAGTTAATCCGTTTATAACATTACATCACATCTTAAAGATGAAATAGGCAAGAGCAAATAAAATTATCGACTGAATTTTTTGAGATGAAATAATTGCTCTAATAAACAACAACACCTCTAATCTATTGCTTCAACAAGTTATTACCATGTTTTGCATATTTGGATGAATTAACTGAATACACAGTAGAAACCCTGGACATCCTTCCAGAGCAAAAAGAATCAATAGGATAATGGTTCAAGCTATCTTTTTTTTTTACACAAATGAGAATACAGCGAAATGTTCGCATTAATAAGAGATAGAAAACCACTTTATTTACTTCAACAAATCTAGGCAAAAAATGGATCTTACCACTCTCAACAAGCACTTTACAGCAATCCAAATGCAATCCATAAGCAGCTTCATGAATCGGCCACCAAGAACGATCATCCGGAAATGCTCCATAACCAGCATGTAGTAACTGCTGTGTCAACTCGACATTGCCCAAACGACAGGCAACTCCAACGGTTACATTGCTTTCTACTACAATCGATTCCTCTTCAAATTCCGGAATACTGCTACTAGTCCAATCTGATCTTGCCTAAAAAATCATAATTATGTGAAACATATTGCACTGATACATGATTTAAACAAATGATAATCAGGAAATTATTTACTAATAAGAAAAAGTGACTTTTATTATAGGAATAGTTAATGTAACATAAAGCATACCAATAATTTCTATTTTCCTACATGCTTCTAAACATAAAACACGCTGTTATTACATACTATTACACATCGTCTACATAATGCACCATTTATCGTAAATAGTAGCATCGCTGTTTGTTCTGTTTCAAAAAATTAATGAAAATTAAGCAAGAAAAATGAGTCGTCGACAAATTTGCTATTGAATTATAAGTTCACAGAACGCAAAATATGTAATGCAATTGTTGCTACTCGTAATTTTTCTTTTCTTTTTTTCATTATGAAATAAGAACCAGTCATACGAAAGTTTTAATAAGGTACTAGAATAAGCAGTGTTCACGTAAAGAACGAAAAACAACGCAGAATTTTCCTCAAACCGTAAACTGCATTCACGCATTTATGCATCATGTGCTACGTTTAGTAAACATACTGCTCGCAATCCATGTAAATTAATTGAGTAAGCTACTGAAGTATATATCCTACTGAAGTTTCATTACTGCGTAGAGTAACATTTGCTTACCTAAAGAGAAAAGTGTGTATATAGAATATTATAAAAATTAAATGCTACTAAACTTAAATAAGTCCAAGAAAGACTGAAAATAAAAAAGATACCCAAACAAAAATATCTTACCCGTTTCATAAGTGATCATATTACAAATCCGCCAATTAAATAAATTATTCCTGTAAATTCAATATTCATGTAAAATTCATAAATAAGAAAATATCACGACTAATATCCCACCACGTTAAAAAACAAGCAAATTCTCAACTAAATCCGGTCATTTCTTCCGGATTAGTATCTCGATGATCAATTTCGCAATTCCTATCTTCGTCTATCGTATCCACATAACTATGCTATTTTACTACCGAGCATTTCCATTCCGAATCATCTGGTGGGCCGCATTAACCTCTCCTTTACACGGCCCACCGAATAATTGGAAATCTCATTGTTCATTAAAATAGTATTGTAATTCAGAATTGTAAGGTATTTTCAATGCATAAGCGATGGAATTTGCATTTGCTTTTCTTATTTTCTCCATGAATTCTCGGGCAATTGCATCAAACATTCTCATATTAACTTATCATAATTCTTGAATTTCATACTTGCATATCCCATTATTCTTTAATCTTTTCATGTTTATTAAATTTCATAGTATTTTATGGTTGCTGCGCAAAAATTTTTTTAAATCGATTCCTTTTTTTTATTTTACTTTTTCAAAAATAACATCAATAGTTGGAAATTTTTGTTGCAGATTTTGCAGTTATTTACGCTAAAATTTTCTCAAAAATTTGTCAGGTCATTTTTGATTACTATACATTGATTTAAAAAGAAGTTCAAAATTTATGACGTTCTTTTCTTAGAAGAAAACTGAAAAATTATTATTGCTATGCTTTACTGCTTTCGGTATTTTCCGTAAAAAAAAAAAAAAAAAAAAAAAAAAGGAATTTGGAGGACAGTAATGAAAATAACATTCAAAGGAAAGTTTCCAGTGACGATAATCATTTTCGATAGTATATGATTAGTGAAAAAAGAAAAATTAGTTACTTTTTCTCATTTCGCCGTTAGAGAAATAATTTAAACTTCTCACAATATCCGATTTATATGATTCTAAATGGATTGAAAACAGACGATTGGTTGAAATGATTGAAGTTTTGATTAAACAACTTCATGAGCCATAAGTATTAATCCCTTACAAATCACAAATAGTAATTCACTTTTCAGTTTTTCTTTCTTTCTTTATTCTATTTGATTTTTTTAAAAGATATTTCCAAGTTTAGTATTTCTCCTTATCCTGATTTAGTGATGATATTCTGATATTAATCAAAGAATTGAGGGGTATATGTTACAGTGCTGCATATTTCTTAACAACGGAATATCAGATATTATTATAACACAATAAGTGTAAATTGACGTCGATTAGCAGATTTGAAATGAACGACACAGCAAGTATGGTAAATGAGCAAATTGAAGAAATAAGATTTAATTCTATCTCATCAATTTTGATAAAATATGATTGATTGCAAATTTATGAGTTATAAAAAAAAAAAAAAAAAAAGAAGAATTGTTCTTTTACTTTACTAAATAATTCGAGTGATAATTTTCAAAATTTCCCAGAATATTTATTAGTAATCAGATAAATTAACAAAATTTCGAACAATTTACCAGGCAAATATGCAAGCCACTAAAGCAAAATTTTGATATATTTAATCGTTAATTGTTCGCATGAAAGTTATGCAGATATTAATTAAACGTAAAACATGGAAGTTACTGATAATTTTAAATGAATAATTAGATAGATTGTAAAGATTTAAATCTATTTCATATAAAGAGAGAGAGAGAGAGAGATATACTTACTTTCTGATCACATAAGCTATCACATAGTTTGGAAAATTTTCTTTTATTTTGCAATCAAAAAAAAAGAGAAATATACATATATATTTTTTTAATTTAAAAAAAAAAAAAGAATTTTGTTTTTTTTTTTTTTTTGTTAAACACAAACTTCAAAGCATTTTTTTCCTACGATTGAAAATAGATAAATTTTGCAAATAATCAATTAAAAGCAATACAAAATTATGAGATTTACAAAAATACTAAATACATTTGTAATAAGCATGTAGCAAAACGTTAAGAATACGTAACAAATTAATATATAATAAATTAATAACAATTTGCAGTAGATAAGTGAAACTTTTTGACGTTTCTTTCTTTTTCGTGACAATAAAAAATTAGAACATACTACGTACTTTTTTTATTTCCAGAGCTACTACAGAATTTTTTTTTTTTTAGTAGGAAAGTTCGAAATCATTTTATCAATATTCAAAAGATAATATGAAGAAATCTGAGTAGTATTAATTCTTTAATCCTAATTGAAGCAATCAAATTCACTAAGTATAATAATAATAATAACATTCGCATCGACTGAATGGTACAAATGTTAACTTTACTAGTTAAATAAACGGATAAAATGAACATAATTTTGACATTATCACTTAATTACTAGTAATTTTAATAAACATTAGCAATTGTATTTAAACAATAAGGGAGAAATATGAATTCATACAATTTTTTTAATTGCATAAATTAAATTAAAATGTATCACTATTTTGAAGAGAAAAATAGATTTTGCATTAACATTCTTATAGATAAAAATATTATAAAAAACATTAACATTTTCCAAACCGATCGATCATATCATTCCAATATCTTAAACATTACTCACTTACTCTCACTCAAACAAAATCAAATGAATTAAATATTAGCTCGCAATTTCTGATATATTTTATTGTAAGCGTACTTTGCGTACCTATCACGTGACTGAATAAATTGGATGACTTACGACACTGTCACGTGATTGAATGACGGAATTATATCTAGTCAACGGACAGTATAAAGATTATACTGAGCACTACTACTGGTTAACGGATAGAATAAGAAATAATTGATTTGAAATTTTAGTCGAATCAGTAAGAAAAGCATATCACATATGAGTACCGATAGCAATCTCATGAGTTCAAGAATAATCGATTTGAAATCTTAGCTAAATTCAGTAACAATGAGAATGCAGTACAAGAAAAAAAAAAAAAAAAACATAAGGAAAAAAGAATAATAAATGATCTGAGGCGCAAAAATGATGAGCTGCCCCATTTTGTTTCTCTTTCATTCATTTTGTCCGTTTGTGTGTTATCAATACTACCGTAACATTCCTTTCTTTTATGTAATAATAAATTGATTAGTGGCGCTATTGTACATATATTATATGGTTTCCTTTCCTTTAGTTTTATCTTTTCTTATTTCTTACTGCTGTTATTCATGAAGGCACTTACTTCGATTATTTTCTCATTTCAGAAATTAATTAATTACTATTCGATTTGATCACTGTCGAGAGTAGAACATTCATTGATTAGTATAGTTGAGATCAACGCTGCATGATGTTACGTAATTATGATCTACTTGTTTTGCATTTATTGATTAATTAATTAAATCATAAGTTATGTTATTATTCATTGTTTCGTCATAATATATTCAGTAATAATTATTAGCTATATAATTCCTACTATTACTGCCTGAAGGTAAGAAGCAATTTAATTGTTTAAAACAAACGCAATTTAAAATATCAGAAAATCACGTGTAAATATAGAAATGTATATTTGACATAATGGAATGTATAATTTAACCATCTAAGCAGCTATTAATTAATTTTTTTACACTAATTAATTAATTTCCGAAATGAGAAAATAATCGAAGTAAGCGATATAAATAGCGCCTTGATGAATAACAAGTAAGAAAGATAAAACTAAAGAAAGCCATATAATAAGAGATGCATGTGTACAATAGCGCCATCCGATCAATTTATTATTACATGGAAGAAAGAAGTGTTACGGTAGTATTGATGACACACAAAAGGATAAAATGAATGGAGAGAGAGCAGCGCAACGAGAAACAAAGTGGGATAGTATCGCATCATTTTTGCGCCTCAGATCATTCATTATTCATTTATAACTCTTTGATGAGAAGAAATCTTTTCTTTTCCTTATGTTTTTTTGTTTTTTTTTCTTGTACTTCATTAAGTTTTGTTTCTCATTATTACTGATTTAACTAAAATTTCAAATCGATTATTTCTTATTCTATCCGTTAACCAGTAGTAGTGCTCAATATAATTTGTAAACTGTCCGTTGACTAGATATAATTACGTCAAAGTGTCGTAAACCATTCAGTTCATTTAATCACGTGACAGTGTCGTAGATCATCCAGTTCATTCAATGAAATAGACAACGTCAGGTGGAATTAATACGTGACAAGATGTTTGGATATTTAGACGGAAAACTACGCATAAAAGAACTCTAATTCCAGCTGACGTTGTCTATTTCACGTGACAAATGGACAACTCATAAAAATATGTTTTGATGAGAAATAGCTTATTAAAATGAGAATGGTGAAGAATATGTCGTCGACATTGATCATAAATTTGAATTTTGTTTCTTCATTTCTCTAAATATAGTTTTTCTTTCCTAGTTCTAACAGTCTACGATGCTGTCAAGCCCTCAAAGAGCTGTGGTACCATTACATACCGGACAACTGGCAACATCACCGATTTTTAATCAGAGACGTACTATTATTGAAACTGCTGTTCCAGTGCAATTAAGCCAGTTTCTCAAGCAATATTATGGTTTTGAAGAGGGTGCTGATTTGTACATTTTACCTAACAATCCTAATAAGTTAGTTTCATTTTTTTAAATCTTTAATTATCTTTCTCTTTTTTTTTTTTTTTGTCTTTTTATTTTGTGTTCTTTTGTTTGAACTTTAACAATTCTTGTCATGTTTTGGTGGGAACTTATCATCCAAGTATGATAATAGGTGATTAGGAAATGGATTTGTTTTGTAAATTTTATCCTTTTGTTAAAGGACTTCATAAGACTAAATATTCAACAGCGTAATTGTTTTATTTAGTATACTTTGACTCAACTAATTTTTTCTCAATTATTGAGCTGATCTAGGTGCTCATAATAGGTTTTCTATGCACAGGAAATTCTTCATTGTAATTAAACTGAGTAAAATGATTCCATTTGAAGGAATTTTTCTATATTGAAATGAATGATACAACTTTAAATAATAATATTTGTTTAAAATGCACGATTGCATATATTTTAGACTTTTTGTCTTGTGTCGAGGACAATTGCGAACGGTCGATTTATCTACATGGCAAATAAGTCAACAGAGTAGTATTCCTCCGGTAATAATTCTTCATGTATGGTTTATGCGTGGAGCAATTAAATTTACATGTAATTTTGCGTAGCGATAGTAACGCTCAAAACTTTTGTCGCAATGATTCTTAGCTGTTTTTCAAATTGCTGTCCTGTATCTCTTGTTTTTATTGTATAACTTGATACATCTGTCCGTTTCTATAATTCTTAGCTGTTTGGATGGTTGAATAAATTGCTTATATTAACCTGTACTAAGTTGTGTATGTTATGGTAAGAATATTCATCTTTTATTTCTATGTTACATTTTGACTATGTTTCCCTGTGTTCGATTTTTCCTTTTATAGGAAGTTAGCAGTGATGATTTGAAAGTAAGTCCAAAGTCGCCTTTGGAAGATGCAGAAAAGGATGGACGAGTGGCTCCACCTGCAACACCAGTTACACCACTTCGAACACCTTCGACGGTAGCGGAATCATACTTTTCATTTATTGATTCACTTGTGATTTGCTTGCTTACTTTTTCTCAAGTTTGTCCAATTTATTTCAGGTTATTGAGAAAGTCTCTCACCTGAGCATTATGCTATTTCTTCCCTTTCTGATTTTTCTTTTGTCACTACAGTAATGTGTATTTAACAAAATCATTCTGTGTTCTAATATACATGATTTGTATTAACATAAAAAAAGGAAAGACATAAGAAAGCACCTTGTATATGAACCAGAATGCAGATCGTTCAAAAATTTTGATGTTATCATTTAAGTGGGTAAATGTAGAAGTTATTCCTTTTAATCTTCTTAATTTAGCACCTTGTGTATGAACCAGAATGGCATAAAGCAGTTTCTGATAAAGAACGAGAAGTCCTTCAAAAAGGTACATTTATTTCATATTAAAATGGCGCTATAGGCTGTTGACTTATTCTCTTTTCATCTCAATTTTCAGAACGTCGTCGGATGAGTGCATATAAGACTTCACTTTGCAATGCATTCCGAGATACAGGACAATGTGCATATGGTTTTCACTGTCGGTTTGCACATGGCATCGACGAATTACGTGCTGCACCAGGAGTAATTTCTCTTTAATTATATTGATGAAATTTTATTTTAGAGTTGATTCTCTTGATTCTTTCCCACTTTCCATTTGAGCCTTTTTGTAAAGTTAGCTGCAGAGAAAAATCGCATCCTAATGCTTTCTGGAATACCATTGACAACATTTCATTAAGTATTTTGACATAATTTCCTCACTTTCTTTTTAAGTTTGATATTTTTTAAGCCCCATCCCAAATACAAAACGCGGCTGTGCAATAAGTTTACATTATATGGTTTATGCCCATATGGCAGTCACTGTCAATTTATTCATTGGCCCCCATGCGAACAGCAAGATGATTCGGTAGGCTACAATTTGTTGATTACTGTGAAATAGTAGCTGTTTAAATTGTCGAAAGTATTCGTTTACTTAGCAACTGTTGATTTGTGTATGACAGGACCGTACACAGAGGACAATCTGATTAAGCTATCGATAGTTAATGTTTGTTTGAATTTTTGAAAGATTCTATTAAGGGGATATGATGTAATTTATTATTTGGGGAATTTTACAGATCATTTTTCTGAATTTTTCATGATGTTCTTGTATTTTTGGTGCAATGCTTATCTGTTTATTTATTTGAAAAATATCGAAAGTTATGGACAATTTCAGGTGCATATGAACTTCACGGCAAGTCTCGACAGTGGTAGTAAACATGCAATGCATTGTCGGCATTGTTCAGGTGCAAAACCGAGGTTAGTAATCTGTAATTATAGTGATTATATTTTATCTACACTTGAAAAGACAATATTGTTTAGTAACCTCAGTGGTTAGAGGTTTTGCTTAGCAATTTCAGAAATAGGTGATAAATCATCGAGCCTCAAACTCTTTAAGTTATTGGTCACACTGAAAAGCTTTCAGATTTTGTGCAAGGAATGCATGCTGTGTTAAAGTAGCAGGTTGTAATCGCTGTGATTCGTTTTCACAGCATTATTTTGGTTCTGGTAACAATTTGCAGGCCATTGAAATGTCATGCAATCATTGCAATTCAGAAACTGCCCAGGTTTTTCTCTCTTCAAATGTGTTTCAATAGTGTAATAGATGGGATCTGCTACCTGATGATTTCAGTTCCTTTTACATTAAGTTTTTTCTTATTACGTTATATTTCTTATCGTAGCTTTGATTTTGGAAACTTCACTGTTTTAGTTAGGTAACATTGATGCATGACCAGCGTTTAATAAATTAAAAATTTATTGTTTTATGCTGAAGTAAAATAGTTCAATTACTGTATCATAAAATTTTTAGTAAAATGGACAGTGATTCAATTTCACCAGCTTTTGCTGTACAAATTCAACGGAAGTTTTTTGTTTACTAAGTTTCAGAATTTTTGGTACCACCATCTACCGCATACAAGCCATATGGCAAGCAGTAATGCTGACACAACACTGGACATTATGCCGATGGTTGGCTCGAACGAACTGAACTCTGACATTACTGCAGTGAATGACTTGTTTAGTACAGTGTAAGTTTGGGTTATATTCATACTTCGGTTTCTGACCTTTTCAATGAAGGCTGTTGTATTGTTTTACAGTAATTAATTTGCTATTCCACCTTGACCAGCTGTACTTTGAATCTTTTGAATTATATTTGTAGGAGTATTGGTCAACATAATAATCCATTCACGCAGTCGTGTTTTCCACGAATAAATTTGGAAAACTGTGTTGAAAAAAGTGCAAACGTTAGTGATATATCGTGTCGTGCACCGTAAAATTCTTCGAAAATATTGTTCGTCGACATCTTTTTCATTTTTTTCGGAATACTTATGAATTGCAACCTGTTGGGCTGCTTTTCCATGTGAGTAGCCTATCATTTACTAAATTGTACATCTCATCGAAACAAAGCTTCCTGTAACATATTCGGACACAATGCATTCATATGTAAATATTTTATTTTTGTATTTATTTTAAATCGCTTATCCTGTCTCATTGTCAGATATCGTCATTTTACTCCTAGCTATATGTGCTGATTTTTTTTTTTTTTTTTTGTATTCAATAATATGCATCGGTTTGATCTTATCATTTTTCTTTTCAATATGTAAATTTTTGGGTTATACGTTTCACTTTTCATCCATTTCAGTACCATACTTATATCATGTTGTGTATATCATTGTGTGTGTGTCGTTACTTTTTATTTCAGAATGGTTCGTAGAACAATCATTTATACTTTACTCTTTTATATTTCTGTTTTCTTTACAAATTATTTACATTATTTTTCTACTAGTTGGCAAATCCGTTTATGTTTTTTTTTTTTTTTTTTTTCGGATTTGGTTTGCCAAATATTTTATTCGGTAATGAATTGCGAAAGAGATATGAAATTTCGAAATTTTAGAATTATGTGTGTGAAATTTTAGATGAAAGAATAAGCAAAATTGACAAATTCTAGATTCATGTTTCAGTTTCAAAATTCATCAAGAAAGTATATCATCATCTGTTTATTATTTTCATGTGTGTTGTATTTTTATATTTGAGTTGATTTAATGATGCATATTCACTGACTGTTGGTTAATAACATTACCGAATTTCTTTTCCAGTCAGCATAAGATTTAATTATTTGTTTATTCATTGCTTTTCATTACTACTTACTTTGTGCTGTATTACATTTATTTTCATTGTATGAAGTATAAAATGTTATCATTCTGAAAGGTTTATTACTGTGAAATTCTGCACATTTCTGTTTGTTTTTTTTTTCTTGCTTTTCAACATTGAACATTTGTCCAATTTTTTTTTTTTTTTTTTTAATTGAAACTTCCGAGCATTGTTTCCTTATATATATAATCTGAAGAAGTTACAATCGCAAAGAAACTCTTAAAGATATATTTACTTACATTAGTGGTATTATTCCGATTTACAATATGCCTTCTTTTTTTTAACTTTAGTGAATTGATCGATTGTGAGGGTAGTGTTTGTGATGATGGATTAGCAGTGACCGTGGTGTAGTTTTGGATTTGAAATTATGATGGTTGGTATTTTTGATTGGTGATTTAACACGAAATATATCAGTATCTTTGAATAGAAATTTCTGAAATGTTCGGCGCGAAGTTCTGGAGAAAGGGTTAAATGAGGTCAAAGATAGCAGACTTGAGGTTTTTCGTTTCCTAACAATTAGTAATTTCGTGATATAAACCGATGACAAATTTGGTTGATACTCGTAAATAATTAAAAATCATTATCTCATAAATTATGGGAAATTCATAGATGTACACATTTCTGTGATATAATTTTTTCAGAAATCACTTTCAACTGTTTTCATACTCCTAATATACAAATCAATAAATCATGCTACTAACAGTGAGCGAATCAAATATAACTTCAACTTCTGTATGTCAGCGATCGTTTATGACTTAATTTACCACAAATAGTAAGTTTCTTTGTTTGAATGTTTTTCGTGAAATTTACTATTATGCTCCTACCGTAACCATCGCTTTTCTTTGTGTTGGTTTCATTAAAAGGATTCCGTCATCGTAAATCATTTGTCCTTTGAGTGATGAGAAAGCGAAGACAGGAAATAGCATAAATGTATTGTTAATCTTAGTCTATCGCTCAGTTAATTTCTCTCCGATTTAAAGTGCTTGGTCGTGTATCAAATCAGCTGTTTAATAAGAATTAAAATCAGTGCCACAATGTGGGAATATGATTGATTAGGTACTGTAGTAGGAATTGTTGGTTGTTCCATCTTGTTAATCATTGTTAAATTATGTTAGAGCGTGAGATTGCTCTGTTACTGGAATTATGCTAAGCATTATCTCATATGTGTTGTGGTCTTTTGATATCATGCAGGCTTAAGGTTGAAAGCTTAAGGTCGACATGTGTATAGTTGACTCGGTTAGTTTCTCATTTTTGGTATTGTTTGTGTATCTTTATCATTACTTTGTGTTGAAAGATAGCACTTACATTAAGTTTTCATCCGAAGAGAGAAGAAGTAGTAAATCTTTTTGAATGAAAAAACGCAGAAGCTGAATTGTTGTTAGTTACTCTTATGAAAGCGATCATGGAATCGCGGTAATATTTTGAGATGAGATAGCAGTTATTGATATTATTGTGTTGGATTTTACAGACAGTGCATAAAGGAACTAGATTCTCTTTAAAAGCATTGTAGATGCGGTCAAAATTGTTCAAAAGATTTAAGATATGACACGAAGTCATGAAATGTTGTACATACTAAGATTAATTTCATGCCAATATTAGGAAACCTGAATGATTTCTGTCACTTATATTATTGAATATTTCTTTAATCGGCGAATTTCAGATTTATTTTTAATTTTTGCTTATGCTTATGCTTTTGTGATTTCTGATATTTCTGATGGCTGCAGTGGTACATTCCAAAAAGGAGGAACAAGATCTGTGGGCACAACAGTTTAGTATGGTGCCTATGGCAATGGAATTTTGGGATTTCTTATATCAAACGTACGGTATAGAACGACATATGACATATTTCAACCAAGAAGATCCAAACAGGTTGAATCCTTGTCTTTTCCTTTTATCTTTTTTTTTTTTCGGGTTAACATCAAGTTTTTCATGCAGTAATTTCTTGCTAGATATTTTAATCGAATCACAAGTACACAATTTGAATCAGCGGAGTTTCGATTTCCATAAAAGTTGAAGCTTTATATAATAAGGCAAATTTAGCCAATAGTTTTGCTCGTTGTGTACTTCTTAAGATGGAGGAACATATGTACCAATCAGTTAAGTATCGAAACAATGGAGTCATAAATCGTCGACCATTTAAAAACTGCTATGTTTCTTGATACAGTAATTAATTTTATGGCCAATGAACAATAAGATGATATCATTGTCCCCATGATTAATTCGCTTTATATAATTTGTTCATCGAAGTCAATAAAATATAATTCTTCATCATGATTTTTAACAGTTCTATTCATTATTTTATTTCAGAATGTACTTCATCACTCATGGCAAGCTAAATTATATTGATCTATCCAGAATTAACCCAAATTTTTCAAGAACGTTTGAAGTAAATGTTATACCTTATTTACTTACTGCCTGAATTTTCTTTTTTTTTTATTGTAGACAGAAGGATTTTGTTTTCTGGAGGATTCTTGTCTGTTTGAGAATATTATATGTGACTTAATGATCTTCGCTATGAATAGTGAAATTTAGTTCAAGAAATTTAAAAAATGATTAGTCGTTTATATATGAAACATATTTAGCGCCATCCGAATATGAAAAGTGGGCCACGTAATTGGCTTTTCAAAGAAAGCTTCATTTAAGTTACTTATTCTTACATTTACATAATTGTAGTTATAAGCTTAGATTTGTTTTCTTTTGATGTGAGTAACTTGATACTAGTATCTCATTCTTTCCTGGTAGCCCGTGCTTTGTTTTCCAATTATGACAGTGATATCTTTCTTATCTTGAGAGATTATTTCTATATTTTGATAGCATCTTTTACCTGGGATTAGGTCTAACATTAAAATTTTCTCGTTTTTTCTTTTTCTTTCAATAATGGATATTTACTAGTGTGATATTTTCTGCACAACGGTATGGTTTGTTTGTGCAACGTATAAATAATTCAAATATTTTTGAATGTTATAGATACGATAGGCAAATGTATAAGGGATGCAATGAGTAGTTAATTTTGAAATAAGCAAATGTGTGATATCACGGTGATAGAGAAAAGATGAAATTAGATGTGCTTTGTAACAAAATAGGATCTGATTGAGTAGTCTGTAGAGCCGAAAAAGGAATGCCTTTCAGAGAAGGCGGTGTTTGAAACCATTCTTTATTTTGTTAAGATAGAGAATATCGCTAATCCAAGTATAGAATAGAAATGAAATGGTTAGTAAAGATCTCTCTTTACATAGTAAGAGTTGGAGTTCATATATTTATTAACAAATTGTAAAATTCTTGATAATGCAAATGAGTATTGGATAAAAGATTTCTTAATTGAAGTATTTATTTAGGAATTATTGAGATAAAGCAATCTCTAATATTACGGATCTAATGCAAATTTATTTCAGTGTATTATATTCAGTCTTTCCAACATACTTGTCGTTTTTTTTTTTTTTTTTTTTTTTTCCTTTCTTACCGTAAAATTTAATTCAGATATTTGAAAAAAAATTATTTTAAAACGATGTTGAGATGAACTTTAATTGAGATCTTTTTAGATTATCAATTTTTGTAAGTTTCAGAAGCGCAGTCTTGCCCCGTCTGAAGACAGCAAAAGACCTATACGTCCATGCAAATCTGTTTGGCAAGCCTTAACGGATGTGGAACGTAAAGAGTTTCAAAAGGGTAAGCCATCTACTGCTAGAATATTGTAGGTGGCATTTTTTATTTCTACTTTATTGCTATTAAATTGGAAATGTTTATAAATTCAAGGATCCTTAGTGTTCGCAACCAGATAGGATGTCTTATCATTGGTATGAATATTTCATTGACGGGATGATATTTTTGGTAGATATGACAGATAGGTTAGTGTAATATATTCCTATGTTTTGTTGGATTTTTTTTTTATTGGAAGAGGGAAAGAGAAATCGGAAGTCATTAAAAAGTTAAAGCTGTTTGACTTTTGTGTTATATTCAATTAATGTCTTATGGATTTATTGATTGTAGAGGCAGGGAAATTGCATTAGGTCAAAGGAGCACAATAAGAAAGATTACATCCTTCCATTACCGTAACCTCCTTGTCTTGCATTAATTTGTTGCTTAGTTTTTTCTACAAGGTCATTAATTATCCGCTGATGTTGACTGCCGATAATGTAAGCAAAAGAAAAAAAGGGGCAAAGCTAAATTTGTTTATATTCAGCGAATAGTGCGAATCATAGTGAGGCCATAAAAAGGTGCCATAAAAAATGAGGCAGGACTAAGTTTTCAAGAAAATTTTCTATTCCTCTCTAATAATTATAATTATAAAAGAAATTATGGCAGCACATTCAAATTTTCGGTTTTATAAGTTATCGACACTCAGTGATATACATCATTGCATCGTTCGTTTTGGTGTCTCTTCTGTAAATTCTATCGTTGAATCGAAAGATGACTTTCCATCCTCATATGATTTTCATTTTCGAATAGACTATAGATGAATTCTTAATTAAATGCTCATTCAGCTATTAGTAATATTGCATTTCGATTAGGCCTATTACATCACAATCTGCAATTGTGTGTTTTCACACTTTCATTCCAGAACGTTCGAAGAAGAGATCTTACAAAACATCTTTATGTAAAACATTCCGAGAGACAAAAAAATGTGTTTATGGAGACGCATGCATTTTTGCACATGGTGAGAGGGAACTTCGTCTGCCACCTCAGGTAAAGTGAAGAGCTTATTGAGAATTTGGAAAGTTTTGAGATGAATTTGGATAATTTAGACATGACATCTGGTAAGTTCAAGGTTATGTGGTTTTATCTGATAATAAGTGATAGAAATCTCCTGATATATTTGCAATCATGATAGTTATTCAGGTAATGGTGTAAGGTACCTGAAGTATGACATTGAGAAATTCGTGTAGCACTTGATATTTTTTTTTTGTTTTTGTTTTGTAGATTCATCCGAAATACAAAACTCAGTTGTGCAGAAATTTTAGCAAATGGAATTATTGTCCCTATGGAGCCAAATGCCTATTTATTCATGAACGTTCCTACGAAAATGTGGACTTCACTAACGTGATGCATAATTTTTGCTTTTTTCTATTATTCATCTATAACTTTGATTTTGTTCCATTTATTGGAATAAATTTAGGTGAATTCAACTAGACAATAAGTTGATCAATTAAGTCATTGAAGTATTTCACTTAAGAAAATTTGATCAATTGATCCTAGATTTATCGACCGCTTTTTTAAATAAATTTACATTAAAGTTGCAGATAAGAACGGATGATTCAGCAAGTATCAATAATTTTTCGTACGCAAATAGCTTTGATGTGGAACAAATGAATACAAAGTGATTATTAATTTATTGATCTTTGAAACCTCTCGCAACTCGCAACTTATCTTTTTGAAACCTCTCGCAACTTATCTTTTCTCATAGTCAAGATTATAGAGTAATTTTAGGTGCAAAAAGAGCATAAGTTATCTACATGCATACTTTCTTATAATTCCTTCTATCACATTCATACATAATTCCGTGTTTTTCAGTAATAAATGTATAAACCCACAGGTTAGCTTCGGAAAATCTGCACAGTTTGCTGAAAAGGATGGCTTCTGTCACTCTGCAACAAGCGCTAGTTTCAATAGAGCAGAAAATATGGGACATTCTGTATAATTTTTTTCACATTATATATCATGTTTTAAAATTTATTTTAGTAATTTTGATTGGGTTTAATCGATAATTCAATTTCACAAAGGAGCATTATTCTAAAAAGTTCAATTTTATAATAATGTAAACTATTTATACTTATTGTCGTTAGTTTGTATTCATATAAAATATATTGAAAGCATTTCATTTTTAGACAGTCAAAAATCAATTTCCTGAGAATATTGCATATGGAGATCGGTCAATGGATTATGCTGCTACGATTGCGATTAACAATGTTTTAGATAATAACGGTATTATCGAGCAACTTAGTGAACAACTCAGTAATGTGTAGGTCCATAATCTTTTAGAAGTTTATCCATAATCTTTTCTGAAACATAAATTTTTAAATATCTCTATGCCAAGGATGATATTACTTGAGGTTTGGTTTCCTTTCATTCTTTTAAAAAACGGAAGAATGTTATCGTTTAGGACGGAATGGTTGTGTGGACATAGGATTAAAATTTTATAGGAATGGAATTTAGGCAAAAGAAAATTGTTATAGGAAAATGATGGATAGTAACTATATGTTTTCGCAGTTATCTTGCTCCAGAAAATAATTCAGTTGATCTTAAATCCAGGATATTCGAGTTTATCACTTATTAAAACGATTTTATTTTTAAAATATCATAAGATATTGACAATGTTTCTTTATGATTTCATCACTGTTTTCTTACCATTTTAGGGAGAGTTCTGTTGCTTTTCTTATTTATTTTATTGATTGGAATTATATTAAATGCTATCTCATGTAATTTCATCTCCTCTATTTCATTGTTGTGTATTAAAGATGTGTAATTAAGGAATGATATTCATTATTTTAGTTATCTTTTATATGTCTGCTTTTCTGTAATGCTTATGCATATAGATTCCTGTTTGTTTTTTTTTTTTTCTATGAACATTATCATGAATTGTAAGATGTAATTTTTTATAATCATAGGTAAATATTTCACAGAAATAATTTTCAGAGCATTCTAATGAAGTAATTTTAGAAAAATCTAATTCATAAAAAAAAAAAGGTAAAGGTAGTATTTGAAAATAATACTGAAAGAGGATTAGGTTAAGATGAGCTTTTGGATAAAATAAAATTTTTAAAGCATTCCTTTTTTGCTCTATTTTGATTTTCACTTACAGTAATGTTTAGCTGTTGAAGTTAATCTATTAAACATTCACAGAACAACAATTGTGAATTGTTTGTTATTGTGTTCGGGGATTTTATTTTTATTTTTTCAAATTTTTTTTTGTAATAATTATCTGTTTGGTTTGGTAATTAGGATGATTGATTGGTTAATTGTATGGTAACAACAGTATAGCGCTATGATTTGTTTTCAACTATGATCTTCAAACTACACAATGAAAAATAGATGAAATGTTCATTTGAAATGGGAATTACATTAATTGCAATTGAATCTTCAAATAATATTTTTTTTTTCACTTTAGTTTTTGTTTTTAACAAAAAATTGGAAAGATTTAATTGGGATTTTATGTTTAATATTTGAAGAAGAAAACGGTTTATCAAAAGGGAAACAGTTGTCTGTTCAATGTAATAACAGAATGAAAAGTAAGACATAAGGCGAAGAAGAAAGTCTGATGAAATGTAAAAAGTGGCGAATTAAAAAGCGATCGATCTAAATCGTAGAGAATGTACAACTGAAATGAAATTAACATTTGTAAAAAAGAATTTATATTTCCTTTTTTTTTTTTTTTCTGAAAATCGAGGAGGTTTCAGTCATTAATAAATGTTTAAATCTAAATACTGATTAAATTTCAAATAAAATCGAACAAGTTCTTTGCAATTTTTTCATTTTATTTTTACAAAAGTATGAGAATCAAAAAAGTAAGAATTGATTAAATAAAAAAACGGAAAAATGTGATTGCAGTGATCAATCACAATGATACTGAGTGGTTGATTGTGTTTGTGATATGCTAGGAATTCAGATGATCGATTAAGTAAGTTATCATTGTTTGAAATTCACAAAAATATATCCTTAGAATAAAGTATTGAAAGTTTAAAACCTTTTTTTTTTCTTTTAAAAGAGTTAAAAAAGAACGATTTGTAGTTACTCAAATATAGAAATTTTGTGTGTACCAAATTTCAAAATTACTTTCAATTCTACTTCCTGCGAAACAGAATTTCTCTTTTTTAAATTATAAATTTACTTTCCTTTTTTTTTTTTTTTTTTTTTTTTTTTTGTAAACCGCATTGTCAGTGTTTTAAAATAAATAATATTATTCAGGTAGTAATAATTAGTTCATCAATTTGATTATAGGAAATTACTGCAATTCTCTTTTTATTTCATCAATTTTTTTTTTTTATTTTACAATTTATAAAATTTTAATTTCAATTTGTATCCTTTATACTTTTTGCAATTTACTAACTATTTTAATAAAAAATGCACAAAATCATAATTTACATTTGATATACATTTAATAGTTTGCCTTTTTTCCATTCTTTTTTCAGTTAAAAAACGAAAAAATTTATATACTAAATAAGAATTATTTGAATTTGTTAAATGTTTCAAAATTTTTTGTAAATTTAAACTAAATTTTTCTCCTAAAATGTTACATCTTGTTTTGGAATAAGAAAAAAACTACATTTTCTTAGTCATATCTAGAAGTAATTAATCTATCTTTTTCGTTTTTCTTTTTCCATTTCTGGTTTTCATAACCAGTTGCTAAGCAAATGATTTAAAATAACAAAAAATATTTCTGTTTATGGAACAAGTTCTTTTTCCCTCACTTATATCATTTTTTCAGAATTATTATCGTGTATGCGTGATAAATATTTAGAAATCTTGTTTTAGAAAGTATTAATTACTCAAATATATAAAATAATCAAATCATTAATTTAAATATTTCATACAAATTCAATTCGTCTTACAAAATCTTTTTTTCTTCATTACAATTTCAATTTTTGATTTTTATTAGATAAACATTTTTTTTTTTTTTTTAATAAAAATTGAACTTTTATTTTATGCATTTATCAATTTATGTGCTTCCATAGGTTAATAATTAAAAATTTTTCACGGCTATTGATTAGTCCATTTTTGCTTTGCTTTTCTTATTTTTTTTTTTTTGATAAAATTTGATTAATGTGAAATATATTTTACTATAACAACATTATATGATTATTTATCCAAATTATGCAAATAAGATAGTGATAAAAGAATGATAGAAAAAATAGATATCAACGAAAAAATAAATAAATAAATAAAAATTTAATTTAGAAATTTTGCTTCATGTATTTTAACCTGAATATGATGATAAAGAGTGAAATTATAATTTTGATTGTTTAAAAATTCTATTTCATTTCATTTGAACAAGTTTTATGACAAATTAATAATCAAATGATACAAACAAGTTTTATGACAAATTAATAAACAAACATTATTTGTTGTAATGAATTACTTCGATATTGCCTAAATTAACAGGTTATTTTATCCATCATTGCTGATTATTTTTGATTGTTATCAACGACAAATCTATTTTTAATTTATTTATCATTATCAGTTCCATTGTTATAAAACTATTGATTTGTTGCCCATTTCATGATATTATTATTGATCTATTTGATAACAACAAATCACTGTTTGTATGTGTCTGTATGTGTGTATGGTATTGCTATAATATTAATGATTATTAATCGTGATAACAATTTAGGATTATCATTTTTAGTTCTATTTTAATTTTGTATAAAAAATAAGAAATATAAAAAAGGAAATGAAAAGATAAGATTATTCGTTTATCTTTTCTATAATCAAAAATTTATTAATTTTTGTTATAGTGAAGAAAAAAGGAAAACAACACTTATTCTCTATTATTTGTTATATTTACCTATTATTGGCTTTTTTCCTTCTTTTTTCTATTATTTTTTTTTTTCAAATTTGAAATAAAATTAATTTTTCGCAAATTCTTTTTTTTTTTTTTTTGAAACACTTTAATTATTTTAAATTTAATTGTTAAACTAGCAAATTTATTAACTGGTAAATTGAAAGAAGTTAAATTGCTAAATTTAATGATGCATTTTAATATTTATTTAAAAAAAAAAAAACATTTTTTTTCCTATTTTATATTAACGATTTGTGTATATTCTTAATATTTAACAATTAAATTCACATTTTCAAAAAAAAAAAAAAAAACCATTTTTTCAATTATTACTTTTTTTTTTGGAGTAATTTAATTCAATTATTACTTTTTTTTTTGGAATAATTGAGAAATAAAAATGGAAGAAGCAAGGACATTATATTATTGTATAAAATTAATATATCAAAAAATGGTTACACCCTCTGTCGTAAATATTTCTTTCTTTCATTTTTTTTCCCTCTCTCTCTCTCTCTCTCTCTCTCTCTGTTTTTTTTTTCTTTTTCAATTGCGTTGATTTTTAAAATGTGTTAATTCATTGCTTATTCTTTAAAATTAAAAAAAGAAGTCAATCATCTCTTTTGTCCTTTTTTTTTTTTTTTTTTTCCCCTTTGTCCTTTGTCTTTTTGTATAAATGAAAATCAAAAAATTTAATTGATAAAATTTCAATTTTTTTCATACAAACAATTTTTTTGGTACAATGTTTAAATGAATTAATTTAATTTAATTCATTAATTCATTTTATTTATTTTAGATCATTATTTGTTCTTTCTTTTTTTTTTTTTTTTTTTTTAAATTTTTTTTTCAGTTTAAAATGATACAATTAAATGAGAGATGTAAATTTGTTAAAACGAGAAGTGGTATTGTTGAAGGTAAACAGTTGCATTGTAATAAAGGTTCTATTAATGTTTTCCTTGGTATTCCATATGCAAAACCACCAACGGGTGAGCGTCGATTCAAGGTTAATTGAAATTGTAATCTTTAATCTTTTTTAAAATTTCATTTTAGTTTCATTTTCAGTTAAACTTTTAAAAATGTTTAGTGCTTAAAAAAAATCTTTTTTCATTCTTTTTTTTTTTTTTATGTTTTTTTTTTTTTTAAAAATGTATTTAGATAATAACTTTGTATAATTATAGTTGTGTAATTTTTGTTTTCTATTAATTCAATTATAGTTACAATTAAAATATTGCTAAATTATTTGAAATAAATAATTCCTCAGAAAAGAATGTATTTGAATTGAGATGAATTAAATTAGATTAATTAAAATTAAAATTTCAATTAATTCTTTTTTTTTTTGCTTTTTTTTAGTTTTTTTTTTTTTTTTTTAAATTCATAAATCCTAGAATAAATTGAAATCTACATAATATATTATTTTAGAAACCTGAAATAATTACACCATGGACTGGCATTATGAAATGCAAACAATATCGAAGCCGAGCACCTCAAAAAGATTTTTTTTGGGATCGAATAGATTTACGTGTTGGCAAGAATGAAGATTGTCTTTATTTGAATATTATCACACCGGGATGGAAGCCACAACCTGAATTTGTAAGCCATATCCTGATAATTAATTAATTAATTAATACGATGTAATAGGACAATATTTCTTGGTAAAATTAAGTACTCATATTTGCATAACTTGAATTTTATTAATTTTAAATTTAAATGAAATATGATTAATAATTTTAATTGAGCTTATTTAATTTCAAATTGTTTTAAATTTTGATTCAACATTTTCAAAGTTTTCTTTTTTTTTTTTTTTTTTTAATGGAATTTTTTTAATATTATTGTTATTCAGAAGAGCGGTTTTCCGGTAATGTTTTACATTCACGGTGGTGGTTATATGATCGATTCAGCTGTAAAATATCATTACTCGAAAATTGCTAAGTGATAAAATTTATTTGAAAATTCTTAAACGAAACCAAATAAACAATCATTTAAGCGAAATCACATTTTTTATTTCTTATTATAAAAGAAAACAGCGTTTTTTTTTTTTTTTTTTTTTTTCCAAAACATTTATTATCTGTTAATTGTAGTATTAAATTTAACTGAGCAATTTAAATTCTACGATTTTCACTGATTTCTTTTAGACTTTTAGTATCTAAGGATGTTATTGTTGTAACAATTCAATATCGCCTTGGCTTTCTTGGTTTTTTTACTACTAATGATGAGATTTGCCCGGGTAATTTTGGCATTTGGGATCAGGTTTTACCTTTTTCTTTCTTTGTCATATATTGTTTTAAAGCAAATAAAAATTTTAATTACTTAACAAATTTAATTGAAAACTAGACATATGGAGTAACTTTTTAGATTATGGCCTTAAAATGGATAAAAGAGAATATCGAATATTTTGGCGGTGATTCGGATCGAATTACTGTTATTGGCCAAAGTGCTGGTGCTGCATCTGCTGATCTATTAGCTTTGTCACCTTATAGCCGAGGTTTGTCACATTTTACATATCTTAGCAAATATTTATTTAACTTTAAAAATGAAATATTTTTATAAAATCATGAAATGAGTTATTTTAGTTATAAGAAATGCGAATATCCATTGAATTGTTAAAATCAATTAATTTTTTATATTTCACACGACAAATTATTCATTTTCATTTTAATAATTAATTTAAAAGAATATTAAATCGATTCCTGGATTTAGAGATTTTAAAAATTCAATCGATATATCTTATCTGTTTATGTTCATTGTCAACAATTTCATTTTTAGGGTTAAATGAATTTTTCAGATCTCTTCAAGCAAATCATATTATTGGGCGGTAATGCCGAATGTTCCTGGGCAGTATCAGATGCTAAAACTGTAAGCGATTATTGTCATCAAAAAGCTCGAAAATTAGGTTGGCAAGGCAAGAAATTTGTTATTCCTTCTTACCTCTATTAACTTTATCATATAATTTAGCAAAACAAACATTGAAATACATCTTTTAATAGTTTTAATGTAAAATTTTTTTTGCTAAAAAAATTTGATATGACATTTTACACTTTATTTCAGGCACTGATAATGCAAAAATGATAAAATTTTTGCGTAAATTACCCGCTTCAAAATTTGCTTCGAGATTAATTGGTAACAAAGATTTATTTACCACTGGTCGTTTACCATTAGCACCGATTATTGATGGTGATTTATTGCCGTGTCCCATTACTGAACTTCGAAAACAATCACCCACAAAATCTTCCATTGTTGGTCTAACCGAAGATGAAGGCTTACTTTTTGGTTAAGACTTACTCTCCCCCTTTTTTTTTTTTTTTAAACGATGTACAATAAATGCAAGAATTATCTAATTAACAGTTATACGTATCACTTGAGTTAATAATCTAATTAAGAATTATAATTAGGAATAACACATGCTTCATTTGCTATCAGATTTATTGGCAAAAAGATACAAATCAGTCATATTATTGGCCATCTAATTAGGTTGACAAAAACATTCGTTGACAAAGGTCATTTTTTATTTTTCAATCTGATACTGTGTTCTACTGAAAAGAGTTTTTTTTTTCAATCGAAATTTTAGCAGCAATCGGTCGATTGGCATGTGATATGGATGATGTTAAGATGGGAATTGAACTGATAAAGAATAGCATGAAAGGAAGTGAAATTGATGCTGAAGAAGTGATCAGTGAAATTTACTTAAATCGTGATAACAAATGTGACAGTGCTAACAACAGTCGTCGAAATGTCCAACGAGCATTTATTGACGTGACGTGCAAGCTCTTTTTATTTTCTAATTTTTAAATTATTAAATATTCCTATAATATATTTAATTAAATATATAAACAAAATCAATGAATTAAACAAATAGATTAAACATTGAAATAATTAATGCTTGAAATTTAAACTAATAAAAGTAACTGAATGTATATCTTAGAAATTTCAGGTAAATTTTTCTAAAACTAAAATATGAACTGGAAAAGTATGATAGATGAGATTAATTAGGACTTTTATTGTCAATATTTTAAATCTATAGCTAATTGTTTTTGTAAAATGCGCTATTAAAGTTTAGTCTGAGATTGAAAAATAATACTTATTTATTTTCATTTTTTTTTTTTTTTTTGCATTCAATAAATGCAGTAAATTTGATAATTTTAATTCAAATTTTAATCATACATATTACTTCGATCATTTGTTAACAAATTATTGATTAGTCGATTCATATCATCACAATTTCTCGATACTTATTATTGCATTAGCAGTAATTGTCAGTGAAAATGAAAATGTTAAGCATATAATTGTAAAAGCAATTTGTACTTGAGAATTATAAAATTAAATTGGTAATTTAATCGGAAATTAAATATGCTAATTGCAGATGCTTGGCGATTTAACTAGTAATTATGGGACACAATTATATGTGGATAAATTAGTTGAACGAGGTGAAACTGTTTATATGTATTCATTAGAGCATTGTAATCCGGCTTGTTATGGCTTACTCAACTTTTATCTTCCATTCAAAAGTTTGTTCCGGTTTTTAAAATTTTTAAATTTCATAAATGAGTATGGTTGTAAATGATTTTATTAATAGTACAATTAGAAAATTATCTCTTTAAAAGTTCAATAAATTTTTTATATTATAATTCATTCAAAAATTAATAATACTTGAATATAATAATAAATATAATAATGAATACAAATATTCATGTATATTTGCTGCTTTTCATTTATTCCTAATTAATTAAATTATTCATATATTTTAATACTTGAATTGTTGAATGTATTTTGATGCTTTTTTTTTTTCTTCGAGATAAAACTATTAATGTTTGTTGTAGATAATAATTATTTATTATTATTATTATCTAATTAATTTCTTTTTTTATTTCTATTTGAAATAAAATTAATTTTAATATAATTCAATTTTAGCAGCTACACATGGAGTAGATTTAATTTATTTATTGGATGCTAACATTTTCTTATCACCATTTTTTAAAACAACAACTGATAAGCAAACTACACATTTCTTGACGCAATCGATAGCTAATTTTATTAAATATCGGTTAGTGAAACTCATTTTTATCATTTGTTGTTTCATTTCTTTTGCACTTTTAAAAAATTAAAAAAATTTAAAATCTTTTAAAATATATATAAAAAAAAGAAAATATTAAGTGTACATTGTTTATTATTAATCATCTTTTTCATATTTGCTATTGATAAAATAAAATAAAGTGATAATTACAATTTATGAATGCTTCAATCCTTTGCTTTCGACTTTATTAAAAAAATTTCATATTTTACTGAAAACTAAAATTTGTTCACTTCATCATTCAAATAAATTAAAAGCAAAAAGTTTTTTAAATACGTCTACTTTCTATAAAAATGAATAATCTCTTATTTGATCTTAATATGATAATTTCAATAATTATAATATATGTGATAGATGAAAAGTTGGAATTTTGATTTAGTTCAAATTAGATTATTAATTTAGTTAGGAATTCGAACATTCCATTTTTTTTTTTCTCAATATTATCTAATCATTTCAAAATTAATTTATCATATAATTATTAATATGAAATTTATTTCAAATAAAATAAATTTTAATACTACAGACAATTTGTTTTATATTTTATATGAATCATTGGATACATTCATAGATTATTTTGCTAATTCGATTTTAATTTATTTGAAATTAAATTCAAATTTTTAAAAATTTCTAGCAAATAATTCTTTTTTTTTTTTTCAAATTATTTTTAGTAATCCAAATATTATCAATGATAAAATGGATTATGCATTTCCATTTGTATGGAAACCGGTTACATTAGATAGTCATGAGCAGCATTTACGAATTGCGCACACTATCGAAATGCGCAATGAATTTAAAAATGGACGAATGAGGCAGTTAAAAAATATTTTTGGCAATTTAATCTTAAAATGAATAATTTGCTCATATATTTTAAAAGATTTAATTGTATTCGTTTTTTTCTTTTTTTGCTTTTATTATATGAAACTATTAATTAGTTATAATAAGTTGTATAGTTTAATTATTTATCATTTTCATTTACATGCATTGTATATGAAATAAATATTCAATCATTTCAAATATTTTCATATATTTAATGAAATTCTTAAACGAATCAAATATAATTGGAAATTTTAATAATATAAATATTTGTTCATAAAAAATAAGCATTGTTTTTTACATTCCTTATCATTTATTTATGACAGATCTATTAATTTTAACTGTTACATTCTGTTTTGTAATAATTAAAATAAAGCAACAATTTAAAAAAAAGTTTTGCAAAAAAAAAAAAAGAAAACTTTTTTGTGGGAAAAAAAATTACTTATGGAAGTAATTTTATAAAGTTTTTAGATTTAGATAGAATTAAAATATTTCATCTATTGCTACTAATCATTGTATTAGGCTTAGTTACATTGAAATATCATTGTTCTTACATTCCTTATCATTCATTTATGACGGATCTATCAATATGCAAATTTCATTTTGAATGTTTTGAAAACGATAAAAGAATTAGTGAATGTTTTTATTCATAAAAATTATTAATCTATCAAAATTTATCAAAGTTTCGTATCATATTTTTACAACAATAACATGTAATGAAACAATGTGATATGATATGATATGATATGATAAATACAACACAATACAATATGGTATGTCATAATGTATTTTATATTTTTGTTTTTAAAATAGTTTGTACGTATTTCAAAATATTTTAATAAATTATAAATTATTATTGGCTAACATTAATTGATTATGGTTAAAATTGTGATAATTAGAATTAACAATAATTTATTACGAGAAAAGATTAATATAAAATTGAAATAAAAAGAAAAAAAGTTTTTATTTTATTGAATAATAATAAAACAGAAATGAAATCATTTCAGAATGTAACCTTTGACTTCGTCGCATATATTTATTTATTACATCTTTTCGTGACATTCTTTCTCAATATCTGTTGCTGGCAAATGATCTTTCTGTGCAATGATAAATTCTTCCAAAGGACAAAGGTCAGATGTTAGTGGACATCCTCGTATGAAATGAGTTATTGATTGTGGTTCATCCGAATAAATATTTGAATAAAGAAACTGAAAGTATAATTAATTGAAATATGAGAGAATTGTTAAGCAAAATGAGGTCATATAATTCGGAATAAGTGAGAAAATACATAAGAAAAAATTGTTAATATAATTTTAATTTTTACTCGAAATTTTCTTTTTAAAATTTATCTCAATTTATTTTATCTGAACTAAACCAAATGTCTTCATAAAGCGGAGGAATTTTTGTTGACAAATAAAAATTGATCTGTTTGATATTATAATAATATTTTTTCATCTATTAAAAACAATTAACTAATGAAAGTGTCGTATCAATTTATTTTGGGAAAAAAAAAGAAAACCATTAAAAAATTTACATCTAAAATTCAGTTTATTTCTTATTTTTTCATTTTATTTTCAAACTTTAATTAGTAATTTTACAATTTGTTAATTTTTTCTCAATCAAATAACTTTAATGACAAACTTTGACGTAAGGTTGGTTATTAAATCGGTAAAGTTCGAAAAATACGGTAGCACCATATTGTGGATGATAGATGTCCATATTTTGAGAATTTATTCCTAATGCGACCAATAATGCGGAAATTGTCACATCATGCTATAATTTGACATTTTACTTCAAAAATTGAAAAGAGGTGAATTAATTTGTGAAATTTTTTACAGAAAAAAAGGTTCATTAAATTTGGAAATTTAAAAAATTAAAAGTCAAAATTTAAGTTTGAAAGTTGCAATTTTAATTTAGACCATAATTTATGGTTCGGTAGTTCAAATTTGCAGCTAAATTTTAAATTTAATACTGAATTTTAAATATACAGCGGATAATCCATAGAATTTGATACGTTTGTACCAAATACATTTGCTGCTATTATCATTTAAGCATTCCCATTTCTGTTGTAATTTATCAATGATACCATTCAATATGGCACCTCCACGTAATCGAATTAGTCTACCGCTTGAGCCAAAATATTTTGCATTTCCAAATCTTTAATCAATTTAACATTTTAAATTTTAAAATATTCTAAAAACAAACCAAAATTTTAAAGTTGTTAATGAGAGCTGTAATGAAATTGCAACAAGAAACTAAAATGTTGAATTTGAAAAAAAAAAAAAAAAAAATTCAGAAATTCAAAATTGCATCAAAATTACTATTTTAGTAATTTAACAAACAATTTTGGTAATATAACAAAAGAAAACTGTTAAATTTTGCAATGATAATAGGTAATTAATTAATTTTTTATATTTACCGATATTTTCGTATTTCAGTATACAAAGCTTTCATTTGTTCTTCAATCTCTTTTGTAAACCATTCTGGCAATTTCAAATTATGAAAACGCTGTAATTAAAAAAAAAAAAAAGCATAAACTATATATCCTGAAAGGTATCAAAAAAAAAAAGAAAAAAAGTGAAATTAAAAAATCGGAAATGTTATATCTTAGCAAAAAATGTAGTATTGATAAGAAATATTTGATATTTTGCCTATAAAATATCAGAATATTAATAAAATAATATTCTTCTTATTCAATTTGCATATTATAGTATTATTAAAGAAAAATGACTTTTAGAAAAATATATAAATCAATTAATTAATTAATTAAATACTAGTTTGATACTTACTTCAACTATTAAAGCATCAAAAATGAAATTGAAACTATCGTTCGGTTGAAGGTTTTGATAACCTGTCATATTCGACAAATATGCCAACAAATCCTTAATTTTATCATTTTATATATACATGCAAAATAATAAATGAAAAAAACTTGTGCAAAAGATTGTAATTTACAAAGAACACAATTCTGAAAAAAAAAATAATTAATTAATTAATTATGTAAGTATCCGTGAGTTTATTCAAAAAAAAAAACATAAAAAAGGAAAGAAATGAAAAAATAGCTGAAAAATAAAGAAAAAAAAAAAAAAACGAATTTAAATTAGAAAAATTAATAAATTGAAAAGTTAACAAATTCAAAAAGAAAAAGAAAAAAAAATTGAATTTAATTATGAGTAAAAATGAGATTACAATTGATCAAATACCGCCATTATTCATTATAATTCTTTTCTCTTTTATTTCAATTTTCTCTTGTCCTCACTGTCCCCACTTTGTCACATTTCAAAATCTAATTTACCTTGTATTTTGCTATCGTTTCACGAAAAACATTGCTTTCATATCCTTCGTTTTCCAGCAGTTCTGCTCGAATACAATGATAAAATGGATTACCTGTCTAGCATAGAATATACATGAATACTATTCAACCCATTTTAATTAATTCAAATTTTTAATTGCTCAGTAAAATTACTATTAGTAGTAATTTGCTTATTGTAATAGAAACTATTATTTGCATATTAACATAGTTGATATAGTCATAAAATTTGTTCATAATTCATAATTTGCATATTGTAGCAGGAATTACTTCATAATAACTTAATTGATATATAAATATTAAAGTACGTTAACATGCCAAAAAAGTTGAGCATGCAGCATGCAATGCAATACAATGTAATGCAATGCAATGCAAATTTGCCTCAAATAGAAACTATTAAATAAATTCATTTTTCCTATTTCAATTCGTTTTCCTGAATTATGACAAATACTGAAACACATACATGATCATGTTTAAGTTCAATCGTATGAATGGGTATTGGTATCCAACCGCGTGGCCAATTTACTTCATCACTTTCTTTTGGATAATCTTTTCCGGCAATTCCATTCGGAAACATTCCGGCTAAGACTGCCATTGCACTTGTAATAGTTCTATTAACATCTGTACTTCGAATATATATCTACAAGAAAAATTTTTCAAATTCAACTTTTCATAGTTTATTCATAGCATGAAGGATTAATTATTAATTTTGCCCCATTAAGTTTTTGTTTAATTTTAATTTCGCTAAATTAATTTTAATTAAATGAATGAATGAATGAAAGGATGTAAAGTGTAAATTTAAAATTTTTTCCTGTTTTTTTTTTTTTTTTTCTTTTTCTTATTTTTTTTTTTTCTAAACAAAAAAAAAAAAATTAATTTGATAAATTTACACCTCTTTATTGTAATAATTTTTTGATAGAAATGGTGACGTTGAATTGATGTATTGTTGATAGAAACGTTTTCCAACTTGAAATAGTTGTCGTATACCAATCTGTAAGAATGACAAAGAATTTTGCAAAAAAATTAAATTTTATACGAGAATATTTTAAAAATATTTTCAAAATATTTAATCATTGAAAATAATCCTTAAAAAATTATTTATTAATATTTTTTGCCATAAAAAAATGAAATAAAAAAAAAAAAAATAAAAACTTCTTTAAATTAACCTCGGTAAGTTCACCAATTCCGTTTGGCCATACCGTTTCATTGTACGGATCATTCGGATATATTATTAACGGTCCTCGATCACCATGTCTCCATAACTATCGTAATTAAAAATACAACTTATTTAAATTCTATTTAAAATATTTAAATTAAATATTGATTGATTAAAATTAAGAATAGCAAAATATATGTAATGAGAGAAAAAAAAAAGAAAACGGATACACTAACAGTATGAACGAAAATAAGTTCCGGTGATTCTTGTTTCGATTGATCAATCGTCGAGATTTCTCGAGTTAATGCATCGGTATGATTCATCACTATTTCTGTTCCTTTTTTCATATCCGATGAAGCATTTGAATCGATCCATTTCACAGCAAAACAATTGGAAATAATAAGGAAAATTAAAATAATTAGCATAAAGAATCTGAAAGAAAAGCAAAATTGCTTTATGATAAAACAAAATTGTTTATCAAATTATCATTTTTCTTTGTTATAACTTAACTTATAAAACAACTATTTAATTAATTGTTAACATTTTTTACTCTTTCCAAATTCAAATAAAACTGAATGCAGTGATAAAGTAGCACAAAATAACAACTAATATTGACAAAGGTTAACATCGATGATTGATTATTTTCAATCAATCACTTTGATCAGATTAGGAATGGTTATTAATTCCTAATGATAAGTTATCTCTGTTCTTTTTACTATTCAAAAGTTGAAACTTTTTACAAAAGTATCATTGTATTAAGTAAGTTTTTTTTTTTTTTTTTTTAATATAATTTTTTATGCTAAATTTATTGTTCCTTTGTAAATTGATCTATTTTGAACTAATCAAAGGGAGAAAATTCATTTAAATTTAATTTTTCTTTAATTTCATTTATTTGGTTTAAATAAACAATAATTAATGAATTGAAATGATAATATAATTTAATCATATGCAGATGAATTTAATAAATTCCAATATAATTTTTCAAAATTTAGCAGTGCATGAGAAAACGAAAACATAAAATAATATTAGTTAATCATATATAATTGATTTTGAATTTATTTGAAGGAGAAAAAAAAAAAAAAGGATTATATGAAATGCTATGAATAAGTTATTTTGTTAATTAGTAGTTCAAATTTTAAGGCTCAAAAAATTTAGATCAGATGATACAAGTGGATATAAAATTTCAGTAAAACTATACCGATTGACAAGATAAAATTTAAATTATGTTTAAATAAAAGTGAAAGACTGAATGAAAGAAAACGAAATTGTAAATTGAAAAAAAAATGAGAAACAAAGGACAAAAATTATCGAAATAACTCTGCTAATTTTATAAAATTGTCGAAAAAAAAAAGCTATAATTTATATTTCTTGGATTTTTTCTACGAAAAAGAAAAAACAAATGTGTTTTTCTCATTATGAGAAAACGATATTTTGTTTCTTTGAAATTAAAAATGTAATGAAGAAATTTTTAAATGAAGTTTTGAAGTATGTAATGAAATCGAATTTGTAATCAATGATATATTAGATGTCACCATAAATTCTATGGTGACAATGAGCCTTAAACATACGTTTTTCTTTCTTTGATTTAAAATACTGGAAAAAGAATAATGGAAAAGAAACACGTGATTACGAATAAAAGGGAGAACATGTCACATCACGTACGTCAAACTCCATCGAATATCACACTCAAAGATTGAGGTACGAGTTTCTTTACGATTTAGTTAACTGAATGAGAATGTAGAGAGAGTCACTTCTGATATACCCTAAAAAAGGATTGACATAAACAATTCCAGGGAATAGGTATCTTGCTAGAATAAGGATAAGTGGTGAAGAGAAATGATTTGATCCAATGTCAAATGAAAGTATTGACCTTAGAGGTCAAAGTCTCATCACTAAAATATATAGACAGATAAACATACAAATAGACATAATGGTATATTGGATTTTTATAAGAGTAGAAATTTATCCTACAATGATTACAAAGTGATCGCAGCGGTCAGTCGGTCAGCTGATTTTAGCTCTGAATTACCCATCCAATGATTATCACTATTATGAGTATCTTTTACTTATGATTCTGTCAAGCTGATATTGTTTGCGTTCGACTGCACTAATTTCAAATTTTTATTGGTGCAAAATTCAAGAAGCATTAATTTCTGTGTATCTATCATTATAAAAATATATTGCCATAAAGCTAAAATATTTTTCAATGCTAAATGTCATCTAAATGGCTCTTTTTGTCAATGTTATCAATAATTATAGCATTTACAGACGAAATTATACTAAAGATTAGAGACATTTCAATTGGTGTAAATGCAAATTTGAATTAAGTTAATCATCGATTCATTTATCATTTATTTATCACTTGCTTCTATTTAGCATCCTTCTTTGTTTCTCATAATTTTCATCCTGAAAAGCTTTGTATTTTTTTTTTGTACTATTTCGAGTTTCATCCGCTTCTGTCTTCAAATTGAATTCAGTTTAAATTTAAATTGAGCAACGAGGAAATTGAAAATGTTCCGTAATAAAAAATTTGTTTGGCGTGCCAGGTACTGCTAGTTGAAGCATGCACACGTTGAAACGCACTTGTTGAAATGTATACTAAATTATTTCATTTGAAAAAGCCTTGCACAGATACAAGGAAGAAAATGATACAAGTGGGGCGGGATGCAGGTTGACTTATGGTTGTACATGAATTTGGCGCATATGACGGTAAGTTAGCTGAACTGATGATTTTAAAGTTTCAGTAGTAATTGATCTTGACTGATGAATTTTATATATTTTAAAATGACTTAGGTTTAAGAAGTGAAATAAGTAAAAATTAAATGCTAAGTACTTTTGCTAACAGTATTGGAAAGTTTGAAATGATTCAGATAATCTAAAAATTAAGCATTAAAGATTATTGGAAGAATTTTTTTAACTTAGAGAAATAAGTTAACACGAATCACATTATAAAATATAAGTGAAGAATGAAGTGGTATTACGTATTGTAATGCGAAATGGAATTAATGAAATTAAATTTTTGCTTGAAATTATTATAAAAAGATGGAATGAAATTTAACAAAGTAATTTGTGAAAAGTAATTTTTACCATTTATTTTTTAAAATTGTATGCTTGATGATTATCGTAAAGATGAACGAATATTTTTTGTAGTCAATTTATCAATTAAATTTATTCTCGTATTTTTTAAAACATAAAATATGTTTAGAAATGAATAAATGTTTAAATTAAATTCAATTGAGTACAACAAATACAATTAATCGAATAGAATTATAGGATTGATAATTGTCAATTTCTTTTGTTTTTTTTTTTTGTTTTTCAAATATTTCTCAGCTATATCGAAAATAATTTTTACCATTTCATATTGATTAAAGACCAATTCAATTATTGATTTACTGAATTAAACTTAAATTCAGTTAGACTTTTTACTTCAAATCTGAATTATTAACATTTTCAGATTCGAATTTTATTTAATTCAGATTTCTCCTGAATCTTTTATGGCTTCTTAAATGATAAATGTTATCAAATAACATTATCAATACTATTAGCAAATAATCGGCATTTTTAAATGCACTAAATTTAAAAGCATCCAAAAATGTTTTCACTATAACCAATTTTTCGAATATAACTCATTCAGAGGTGATTATTTACTGATAGCTTAACAAAGGAAGATTATAGCATATACTTTTATCAGTAGTTTTCATTGGTTATCAATTGTCATTGTTCGTCAACTATCATTTGCAAACTTATCACTGAGAAATTTTAATTGATTAGTTTAAAAACATTTGAAAATTGATTTTAACCTACAAAATGCTAATGCAACATTACTCATAAATGTGATATATTAGTTTTTCCACAAATACTCTTAATGAAATACTCAAAATGTAATCAAATTCGCATTTTTTCTCACATAATTTCATCGTCTGAATTTGATATATTATCGCTTAGTCTACTAAATTCATTTCGATTTGAAATTTGTTTCTTTGTTTTTAATTTATAAATTCTAATCATTGATTTTAAACAATGAAATTACAGTAGTAGGTCATATGACATCAAAAATTCAATTATTTAATTATTTTTCTCATAATGATAATTAGTGTATTGATAAATTAAAAGGAAATTTTATCAGAATTTATCATAGATAAAAGAAAAGCAAAAAAAAAAAAAAAAAAGAAAAAACGACAAAAATTTTGATTACAGAAAAATATATTGTTGAATATATGCAATATATTATCATTAATAAATTAATGAAATATTTTATATTAATTAGACTAAAAGCTCACAAATTAATTTTGCTTCTTTTTTATCTTTTTTTTTCTTTTCATTAATGCTATTATTTTCTTTATTATAACTAATTTATTTTGCTAAAAATAGCAAATTAATAATAATTAATAGAAACTAAAGACATAGAAATAATGAAAACAAATTTTAAAATTGTAAATAATAAAAAATGTAATAAAACTCAAACATCAATGATTTATTATTTTGACATTAATTAAATAGAATTTATAATTTAATAATACTTTAATTACAATAAATTTTTTTTTTTTTTTTGTAAAATTGTTATTAAAAAAAAAAAAAAAAAACAGACAACTGGAAATGAAAATTTTGAAAAAGAGAAATGTTAAACAAATGAATCATAGTATCGTGTTGTATGTGATAATTTTCATTCATCTAATTAATATCTTAAAAATTATTTTTTAATAAAGACACTAAGTGCTCTATGGAAATTACGCGTATTTAAATTGAAAATAATAAACATTTAAAAAAGAAAAAAAAAAAGGAAATGAATTTTTAAAAGGACACAGAAAGTTATCATATCAGTTCTTGCATTGTTGCACTATTGCAAAATAGAACGATAATGCAGCAATTCGGAATTTGTTTTCCTATAAACAAAACTTATTAAATCGATATTAATCTAAATTGTATTACTTAAATTGCAAATGCAGAATTACATGCAGCTGCAAAATAAGCGATTGAATTTGTATAATTGCAAAACTACAATTACACAATAATCAATTGTTGAAACTATAATAATCTACTATGAACTGAAATTACCAGTTTGTATACCTTATTAATTAGTGTTAATTAATTGCTGTAAAATAAAATTATCCAAAACTATTCCAGAAAACTTATAAAAGAGCGCAAAATATAAAGCGCAAAGCGTAGAGCATCACTGAACATCGATTATTGAACATTAATGTTTATAACAAAACTTTTGCTGATTTAAGTGTATTTTACATTTTCATTTTCACTTTTTTTTTTTTGTATAATAATTTCAATAAACTAATTTTAAATGACTAAATGAGTTATTTTTTATTATATCCACTTGAACTACTATCAAAATATAAATTAGGAATAAAAATTAATCATCAAAAATGATTTTGCATGGTGTAACATTCATTTGTAATTTTTAATAGTTAATTTGCATTCCAAATTTTTTATCATTCAAAATGAAACGTATATATGAATAGAGGTATAATTATTTGTGCTTAAATAATTAAATATATTTAATTAAATACTAAAAGATTTTTGTAGAAATTTAATAATATTAAATTAAGAAAGAAAAAATTAATCAAACAAACAGTAACAAAAAAAAAAGCAAAATGTGCAAAGAGGTAATAATCAATTATAAAATGTAATGAGAAAGGAAAAAATGAAACAAAAAAACAAAAATGAAAGAAAAAAGAAAAAAAATGAAATAAACAATAAATCAAAATAAATTTCTTTCTTTCTTATCACAAATTATTGCTAAATTATTCTTTTATCATTATTATTTTTTTAATTTAACAATTACAATTATTATTTTAAACTTTTTTTTTTTTTTTTCATTCACTGTTACTACTAAATTTGATGATGGCATTTGTCAAAACTTGTTTAATTTAAATTCTCGATCTAATTTAAAAATTTTTTTATCCTTATAGTTGGGAAAAAAAAAAACGAAAAGAAATGATTGGTCGAAAAAAAATTTTTTTCTGTAAATTTGAGATAGTTTTGTGGAATCAAAAAATCTTTTCTTTAATGATAATCCTATCCTATTGCTTCAGTCATTACATAAACAAAGCTTTATGTAAAAATAAACAAATGAAAAGTTAGCAAAACAAAATTAAAAAGAAAAATATGAAATGATAAGACTGATAATTGTATCAATTGTTTATTTTATTTACAATGTTAATTAAAATTTAAACAAAAATGAAACTTTTAGTTGAAAAAAAAAATTACATAGCATATGATGAAGAGAATGATAGGAAATGAAATTTATTTGAAATAAAATTAAATTTTATAAATGAAATTGTAAAATTTTCCAATTTATATCATTGAGTAAGCAAATATTTGATTAATTTTTCCTTTAGTATGGAAAAATTTTTTTTATTTGCATGCATATAAATAATTGATTATTTGTAATGCATGCAAATAAAAAGCATGCAATAATATTTTATAATATTTTATTAATCATTTTAATTATTTGGATAAGATAAAATATTAGTTATATGAGCAAATGTAGTTGAGAAATTGGAGTATAAATTTTTATTATCATTTTTTTTTTTTTTCATTTATCAAAGTTTTTTTTAATAAATGATAAGATTAGTGAATATTTGAAAAGAAAATAATTATTAATAATTAATTAATATATTTTTATAATACAATATTTATAGGAATTACTTATTTCATTGAATTAAATAATGTATTTATTTTATTTTTCTCATTAATAACATTATCCATTTATTTGTTTGTTTATAAATTATTTGTTTCAATTTAAAAAATCTTCAAATTCTTATTGTCATTAAAAATTTCAATAAATTTTTGATATCACAAAAAAAAAAAAAAAAAAAAAAAATGATGTTTGTTTTGCATTATTTGTTATTCTGAAAATGATTCATTGATTTATAAATAAATTTTCTTTGTATACAAAAATTGCAATATTTTATTTGCTTTTTTATATTGGATTTGCTTTTGAATCTAAAATAATTTCATACAATTTTATTAGAAATAGACATAATTTAGCTAACAATGAGTAAAATCACGAAATGAAAAAAAATATTATCACTTTAAATTATGTAAATTAAATGATTTAACAGTATGAAATTTTCAACCAATTAATCTTTTCAAGTTTTAAACAAATATTTTGATAAATTTTATCACTGCAACATCTAGTTGCATTTTTCATTCGTAAGAATTTTTATTCTTACTTAATCATCACCATTAATTAATATTATCAATATTTGTTATCATTATCATTAGCTTTATCAACCATCTATTTTTGTTATATCAAATTAAATAGACTAAATTAAACGATTGCTTTATAATTAAACTATACCATTTCAATTCATCAATTTCAGAATGATAAATGTTATACGAATGGTTATATCATTGACGATTACAATAATAAAAGTAATAAGTAATAAGCAAAATTATTTAATAAACTATAAATTAATTTATTTATTCTTTTTTTTTTTTTTTGATTATATGAATTGAAAAAGTCACTTTAAAACATTGTACTGTCTCATTCAATGAAATTTATATGATCTCAGCAGAAAAAAAAAAGATTAAAATTTTTATGAATTAAAAATGAAACATGCAAATTCACGTAGAAAATTTTGAAAATAATGGCAAATCATTACAATTTATACTTTTGAAGTTTTTTTTTTTTTTTGTTCAAAACAAGTTTTCCGAAATTTGTTTCCACTTTTTTTTTTTTTTCTTTGAGAATAATAATTTATAGTGACAGGTTAAACTTTTAACCACTGGGCAAACAACATCCATCTCATACTGCTCTCTTCGAAAATTTCAAAATGTTATCTTCTAAATGATTCAATCTGTTGCTTTGAATTTTTCAAATTTATAGCAGGTATTACATTTTTACTTCAAATTATTGATCCATCAATTGATGGAGAGAGTAATGCTTTGATTATAAATGGAATTGTATATGACATATTTTTCATATATTTCTATTTTTGAAACTAAGCTATTCAAAAAAAAAAAAAAAAGAATTGTATGTTCAAAATAAAATAAACGTACAAGTACAAACGATATGGCAAATAATAACACTATACAAAATGAATAAATAAATGAGGTGAACAAATGAAGTAACTGTAAATGAAAGAATTTGATTTGGAATGGAATTTTCAAACAGATTTATCATTCATTGTTAACAAATATACCAAAAAATTTGTTGGAAAATTTCACACAGTAAACATTTGTTTCATGAAAATTTTCAAAATACCAATGAAAATTATAAATTTTTGCCATGTATCTTAATTGAAAATGAAAACTTCTTCATCATTCTTTTGTTTATCACTCGCAAATTATTAGTTGCAAAATGAATTTGATTTGTACTTTAACTACACTATTCATTTTCGATCTTGTGTTAACAAGGAAAAGAAAAAAAAGTAAAACCAAAAGTAAAAAAATATAAGTATCATTTACTAATATATATATCATTTACTGAAAGTATTGAAAAAATAAATATCATTTACTAAATGCTGAAAAGTATTTTGAAAGCAATTTTAATCATCTTTTATGGAAATTAGAAATTTTTGTCTTTTAAATGCTTTTTTTATTGTAGAGTACAGCGTTTGTGCTAACACAAAAATTTAAAATGATAATGATAAAACAAATTTTTGAATATTTCAATCAAAATAAATTTCGCAAATTATTTAATTTGAATGTGAAATCAAAGAATTTTCAAAAAAAAAAAAAGTAAATTCCAAAACGGAAATTTTTTGCCTATCCAAAAGTCTGACAATGATTTTAAAGGTCATTGCTAGTTTCAATGAATTTTTCATGACTGAAAAATACACAACGACCATTAATAAAACGAACATTTCATCTACGAATCATAGTTAGAATCATTTTTTTCTGCTTGAGTACTGTCATCAAGTTCCTCTACTGGTGTTGATTTTCCCCCCGAGTGTCCATTTTTGTCATCAAATTCCTCTGCTTGTGCCGATTTCTCCTCCGAATGTCCATTATATGAATGAGCAGATCTGAATTGATCAAATTTGAAATTTTTCAAAAATTTTTTTTAATTCAAGATTTCAAAACGTTGATTCTGCACGAATAATATGATGCTATATTGAAGGAAGAAAAGAAAAAATGCTAAAAACTATCTTCATTATTATTATTATTATTATTAATTATTATTAATATTAATATTATTACATATCTGACTTAAAAACACAGAATATTAAAAGGGTAAGTATAATAAGCAGAAAAAACTTGGTAAAGAGAAAAATGTTAATAATACTTAAAATTTGCTCATTATTTTAATGTCCCAAAGATGACTTCTGACTTCAACTGCTATACACTTACCCGCTTGGATCCTCAGTTCGTAGAAATATACGAGAAGTTATTGCAGTACGCTTTCTAGGTAATGTTCGAATCGATGGCAGTTGTTCCTTGCTTACAAGTATTGCGCTGATTTTCTCAATACCTTTCTGTATATCATCAAGTTGTGATGCTGTAAAAAGCACTAAGTACCTTTAAGTAGCCATAATGAAAAAGAATGAGATATATAAATTTCTGATAAATAAATAAATAAATATATATATATAGAAGCCTACAAAATGAAAAACAAAAATTTTTTAACTTGAAATGAGAATTCAAAATAATCAGAAAAAGTTTCAAAAATGAAACGCATTAAAGCTAAAGTAACTCATATCCAGAAGTAATAAGTTCACAATGCCTAAACTTCTAATTATTATCAAAAGTCTAAGTTTTAGAAAAAATTTTGAAGAATAAGGAAAAAAAAAGCTTACAATTACCACTGCTTTGAAATAAAATACGATCCGTAATATTTTGTTTATCAATAAGTGTCTGCAATTTTAGAAGCAATTCGGTGGTTACATCTTGCATCATTCCTTGCAATTCATTCATCTGCAAGAATCAAAATACTTCAAGAACGGAACCAATATGAAAAAATAAATAAATTTAAAATATCGTTCACCATTAAATAAAACATATATTTATTTATTCAAAAATACTTATGTTTTAAAAAGAATTCATAAATTAAATTACTGCTGATTAAATGAAAACATTCATGAATCACTACTGTTAATAAAAAAAAAAAAAGAAAAAACTTCGGCTTATTCGTTTACCAATTAAGTTTTTTTTTTCAACCAAATTTTTCAAAATTTTTTGAAAATGTTAATAATGTTAACTATCAAAGAGTTCCTCAAACGACGTCCGTCCTTCCATTAATGATTTTACCTTAACAAAACTGTGAAACATTCAAGAATATTATTATTTATGTACTTTCTAGCCTAAGATTCAATAATGCTTTTCGATGAAGTTTTTGTCGAAATTCCTGATTCTGGAACTTTCCTAGAAGATTTATTTTCAATTAAAAACAAAAAGATAAACTTGGAAACAAACTTTTTCTTCGATCACATGAACCCTTTTATCAGTCGGTTCCGGAATATTAAAAAAACGTGGCAAAATGTATGAACGTAACAAATGCCAACCAGCATATGAAAAACCCGTGATAATCATTGCATATTTTGTTAAGCATAGCAAAGTATTAACTCCTGATGATTTAGTTGATAAATCATACGAAAGACCAGATGTAACCGTATGTCCCATTGCTGTATTATTCATATTCTATAAGTAATGATGAAGTAATAATATGAATAAAATTGACACACAAATATTTTAGTTAAATAGAAAATTAAGCAATTAAAATTTGATTTGGATGATAAATAATGTGAAGAGTAAATAACCAACTATATCATCAGTAATAGTAGCAGTACTATCAATATCAATATTATGCTACTAATAGATCGATCTATTTTATGTCAATAATAATGGCGCCATATTATTGACCAAAAGAAATACATCACGAATAAGAAAAAAAAAAAAAAAAAAAACTATAATTCTTCAAATAGTGATATCACTGACAATAATTATTACTTCCTCACTAATAAAATTCCTCATGTCTAATATTATAATGTGTGTATAAAACAGTGGTAAAAACTAAATTTATTACTGCTACACTTTTATCATCAAATGTTGTCAATCATAAAATATGAAATTGAAGCAATTAAACAGTAAAAGTTAGCTTTCGAAATTACCCACCCAAATATCTTGCTGTAATGGTAATCCTTTCATTGCTTCATTAATTTCATCTTCTCGCACACCCTTTTGAAGTAGGAATTGTTTTTGTTGCAATAAAGGTGTTTCCCGAATCTTTGGTATCATCATGAAACGTCGTGCCATATCCACCATTTCAGGTCGAACCATTTCAACTGGTTTTGCCTCATATCCTATCACAGTTACGTCTTTTTCATCACAAATTTTGCCTTTCTGATCATCGGTCATTAGTATATACCAACCAAGAAGCTCTGATGAATCATTAATACAAGATCAATTAATATAAATAATAATAATAATAATAAACTAGGAAGACTTATGCAGTATCATCTTCAGAAGATATAAACAAACTTCTTTTTGCATTCATCAGCAAACAATATCACAAAATTCCGTGAAACTTATACGATGAATAATGATGATATCATCAATCAATGATAATAAAAGAATTGTTATCTGTGATAACTTGTGATATTAACACAATTGATGAAAAATATTTGAAATACGAAATTGATTAAAAATGACTGAGTTTAATCTGCAACTGTAAGAACGAAAAATTAGTAAATCTTTTATTGCCATAAAAAATATGAAATTTCCTTTCAACGTTTTTCTTCTTTACAAACATATTCATGCATAGAGGAAAAAAAAGGCAAAAGCATCATAATTACAGCAGCTATAATTGCCTTTCTCTCTATCACGAAAAGTATACTATTTACAAAACAGAACTAAATTTAATCCTTTAATTATCCAATATATGGTTTTGAACTTTTCAATTAATACATTTTAGAAAGCAAAATACAAACAGGTTCGTAATATTTCATTTGAGCCCAATGGATAAGCTTCATTTTGAAAAAATGAAAAGTGAAAAAATAAAAAAGCTATGTCTAAAAGGTAAAAGATAAGAAATTGTTCTAAAAAGAATTTCCAGAAATAAAATTAACGATCGATCAGAGCATCTTATTTTTTCTATAAACAATTTTTTTCTTCAACAGAATTGAAAACAATTGCTGATAATGCCCAAATAAGCTGTCAATACGTAGCGAGATTCAACTTTAATAAAAAGGTTCAATTTTCATCCAAAAGAAAAATAAAGGTGTAAGATCATATATGCAAATAAAAGTTGCCATATGAATTATGAGAGTTTTGGCTCAAAAAAAGATCTCAAATATCACTTTAAAATTGAATCTTTTCACCCAGTTTTATTTTTGAAGGACAGTAAAGCATAAATTAGTAAATCATAATATTCATAATGTTTATAAAATATAGCGGAAAATTTTTTATTTAGTCCTATAATTGCTATATACATTAAATAAAGACAACAACAGCAACCTAATTTATTCAAATGAACAACCAAATTCAATACTCAAATGCTGTTGATGAATATTAGTTAAGCGCATTCGAACATCATGAGATATCACAAGGAAATCCAATGTTGTGAAATATTCATATCGAGCTAAAACACATTCTAAACGCGCGTGTATATATCTGAAATGGAATAACTGTTTATCAAACCAGAAATTTACTTAAATAACTGTCACTAATATTCTTAAATTCCATTAAAAAGTTTTTCTTCCCACTCAAAAATTTACTATTTTTGTAAAAAAATGCACAAGGAACTGCCACATCATTATACTATTTTTTAAAATGTTAGTGTACAAAACAAAAGAATAGATCAAAAGTTTTTAAATGAGATTTTAGATTCCAGTGTCAATATAACCAGTGTCAAGAAACACGCTGAGAAGTCTAATATGTCTCTTTAAAAAAAAAAAAAAACAAAATCTTAAACTGAATACTTAAGTAACTTTTTCAATTACAATTAGCCACTTCGTTCATAAAAAATGAATCAAAGTGAAGTTCCAACCTTGATCTAGAATCTAAAAGTTAACAATGTATTTTCTAAACAACTGGATACTGAGCATATGAAGAAAGACAAATTGGGAAGAAAGTAACTATCCGTATTACAATACTAGCTCCCACTTAAACTTCGAATAAGATCAAGAATTTTTTTTTTTTTAAATAAATTTAAAAATAGTATTGTTGATGCCCAACTGTTATATATATCGAAAAACCATTTCACAAGGGAAACCATAATAATTTCTATCTTATATTTTTAATTTCTTTTTACTCCAATAATATATATTTCGATATTCATTTTTTTTTAAAGTTACTCATTCATTAAGCAATAAGTATAATAAGGAAAGATATCAGAATAAATAAAGTATATTAAGGAAGGATGTCAGCTCAATGATAATGGAATAATACTTCTTTTGCATTTGTTGAGTAGAGTAGGTACAAGTTCGTTGGTTCCAGAAGCGTTCTACATGTTCCAAAACCAAATCTTCGGGAGGTTGCGGTTGCCGCGAAAAATCAACACCACACGACGCACATTGCACAATGCCTACATGCTGGTCTAATAGAAAGACCACACTGAACGGTTCGTCATTATGATAGGGTCTTGTGAAGCGCCGTAAACTCGGAAGTGCCATACGACTCATCTAAAAAAACTTCTGGCAATACTTTTTAAAAGGAAATTCTCCAAAGCAGACCAATGCAATTCAAGTTTGAAACAAATTTCCTAAAGAAATTAGATTTAAATAAGCATACCAATTCTTCATGTGTTAACGGATAAGCATCTTCAACTTCTTCATAATTACTATCTTCATATAAGGTGACACTTGATGGACCAGCAACGTAGGAACCTAGTCGAGCATGCTTCATGGCTACAAAGGCATCTTCTGGTTCCAAGGAACTTCTCTCGCTTCTAAAATATACTTAATTTGAAAAAATTTTATCTGAAAAAAGAAAAAAAAAACCCATTTTCTAATAATTAGTGTACCGAAAAGAACCTAATAAAATTGTTTACAAAGCAATCGAATCCATCGCTTCAATCCGATAATTAATTGTTAGACGTTATTCACGTTATAAATATAGGAATTATAATTTATCTCACAATCTTTCAAAGAAATCCTATTATACACGTAGTTGAGGAAAATAAATACTGAAAATTTAGTGAAATGTGAAATACGATTTATTTCATCTGAAAGATGCTGAGTAGAAAAATCACATAAACTCACAATCGCTTTATCTTTTCACGTTTTCTTTCAGCAATCAAGCTTGGTTCTTTGCGTTGGTAGACGGCAGTATTGCGTTTTGAATTACCGTGAGGTATGGCCTCAACCACAGTGTTTATACCAATATCATACGAAATTAACGCGTACCTGAATTATTTTAAATTCAAATCAAAAAAAAAAACAATTATATGCCAACGATTTCAATTTCTCAGACTTCAACTTCATTTCAGCTTTCCCTTCCCTTTCGCTCTTCTTCTCAATTCTAACAAAGAAATTTCAAAAGAAGGAATATAAATAGTAAAAACTATTGTAGTTCAATACATTTTGTAATTTGAAACTTGATTTTACATGTGGAATTTAGTTTTTCAGCAAACGGAATTTAAAGTTCGATAAATACAATTCTTAAGCTGTACCGAAGTGCAATTAACTAATATCAAAATAAGATTAGATATTACGCATAAACCTGGCATATCCTTCGGGAGTGCAAGCTTGCCATATTATTTTCCGAACCATTCCATCAGGTATACTGTTTGGATGAACATAAGTTTTCCGTACAACTGTAAAATAATGAGCCCCTTCAAGACAACGTTGCCTATCACGAGAAAAATAAAATTTGCGAAGGGTCATACGTCGACCATGTGTCGTATTCCATTGTCCTAAAATATTTGGAAGCTTCAGAAAAATCTCGATATTTGAGCATTTTAAAGTATCTATTAGTACCAATTAAAAGTACCAATTACAAATGATACAAAAAAAGACTCAAGAAATCTCGAGAAGTGATCATACCTAGATTATCAACGCTGAGATCACTTATTGCTACTTTTTCCGTATCAATTAGAAATGTCATCTGTAGTGGATAAACAGTTGGTTCACGTAATACTGCTATATGTGGAACCGCGTCGCATACCGGAAGATCAATTCTGGAAATAAAAGCAAGTGGGCAAGGAATTATACCTATTAATTATTAAAAATGTGCAATCCATTAATTCTGGTTCCCTGCCATTTGTTTCTTTTAATGAGGAAAAGTAATGCTTTGAGTAAAGACACATAATTATTCAAACGCGGCAGTAACTAAGTAATTTTTTGAAGTAACTGAAAAGTACACGAACAGTAATTCATCAAACGTACATGAGACTATCAATAAAAAAAAGAAACAACTTACTGATCTTGTTCGAGCAGGGTATCCAGTGGTAAATCATTAACATTATTGATAAACTGCTTTAGGAATACTGGACTTTTTGTCACGCGAGCAATTTCATGATTTATTTCGCTTAACAAAAATATGAGATAGTTTGGAAACCTTAAGCAAAATTTAAACTTCAAAAACTTGATTTTTCTTCAAGTAAACAACATCTCAGATGTTATTTACTACTTTTAATACAATTTTTGTTAAAGCATATTTAATGACTCAATGCGGATTAATTTATTACGAAAGCAAATATCTTACTTTTGGTCATAAATTGTTTCATCAGCAAGAATAGACGTTCGTTGCATTCGCTGTTCCGATGCTACCTGCTGTTGTATTCTTTTAATCGTAACAACCGCATCACGTTCGATTTTGTATGTCACAAGCATATATCTGTAACGACATTTTGTTTCTAAGTAAAAATGGACAGCAAATTAGCTTCATGTGAAGATTGCAAGCGAAAAAGATTATTGTACTATAGATTGCCATAGTTAAATTATAGTGGTGCAAATAACTTAAATGTAGCAAAATAGTAAATGGCAGTACAAAGTATCAATAAAAAAAAAAGCAATTTTTCTTTAATTTGACAAACACACTCATGTTTTTTTATTTTTAATATACTTAAATATAAAACGGAAAAACAGATAAGCAAGTAAAGAGATTAAAAGGATAACGAAATGATTCCAATAAGAAAAAATAAACGAACCAAAAAAGAAAGTACAATCTCCACTTACCTGTTATAGCTGCCATCAACTTCCTTGATAAGCCAAACAACTTTCCGCACAGCACTGGGTGGTACCGAATACGGATGCACATATTTCTTCTTAATGACGCAATAGGCATATCCTTTAGTACCACATCTACTATCGTTTGTGTCATAACAGTATTTACTTAAAGTGACGCGGTTGCCACGTGACGTGTTCCATGCACCTAAAATTAATAGGACAATGTTTGCAACAAAATAACATTTCTATTCAGTTCACCCACTTTTTTACTGATTATTCGAACAACTTCTGATTGTTCTTTGCTCTATTTATTCAACTATCGCCATTAGTAATATTATTGCCCAAGTTTCGCATCATCATGAATGAATGTGTCACTATAAATGATAAATTCAATAACAAAGACGAACCCAATCCATCCCAATTCCACTCCACATATGGAATCTGCGAAGTATCGACAATGAACGACATCTGTACGGCTTGACTAATTAGTCGAATTTGAGGTACTGCAGTGTTTACTGGTGCAACATCATTTGTTCTGCAATAACATAAATCCTGCATTAAGTTATACTTCAATTTCCTTTTACATTTGTTTGTTCCTGACTTCTAATTAGCTTGCAAAAATCAAGCACATCTAACAGACATCAACAATAATAGCACTTAACTGTCCTATGTTTAAAACCTCTTAAAAAGGAAAGAAAACTAACATTTCTGGTCGTCGAAGTAAAGAAAGCGGTAATTCTGTTATGGCATTGATATATGCACAATTAAATGGTGTACTTGTTGTAACCAAACTTATTCTGTGGATCATTTCACTAAAACCAATTATTTTAAGATAAATATAGACATGAATTCAGAGGAATTAGATTTTTGTCTCAGGGATACTTCTCACTGCTTTCCATTGTGTCCAATATTAATATTTTTCCCGATTTTCCAAATTATAATGCTACTGCATAAAAATCCAACTCAATCGATAATTTTGAGTAAAAAATGATGAAAAATAATGCGAAATATTCTAAAATAATCCATTAATTAAAAAGAATTAAACTAATGATTAAAATCAGGATATACCTGTCGGATATGAGAACGTCCTGAACAGTAGGACTGCAGACTTCCTGAGGACTGTTACCGTCGACGTCTACTTCGGAGCTCTCCGAAACATCATCAGCTTCGACATCCACCTCAAACATATATTTTGCATTTCAAAAACGAATTTCAGCATTCTTTTTTAGCAAAATCATTTTAATAGTTATTATCCTCTTCATTTTCCAGAACGTAACAGTTAGAAATTTAAAACAGCTTACGTTGCCTTATGTATTTCATCACTTACCTCGTTACCCACTTCAAAATCCGGTTCCTGCAACATAAGACTCCCCGCGGTATTTGCCGTATCTGCAAGGATCGCATCTTCCTGCTTAATGTTGCACGGACGTTTCTTTACTTCACTTGGACATGTTCGAATATAGCTTTTCTGGTTGGTACGCGAATTACCATGAGGTATTTGCATAACATGAGCATCTGCTTCGATATAGTACGAAACCAATGAGTAACTAAAAGTATGAATTAAAATAATTGTATTTTGAACTAAAAATTTCGATAAAGCATCAGATTGCAAGTTACATTTCAACTAAAGTGATATTTCAACTATCAATTTCATATTGTTGATCATTTTTAAATTCCATATTAATTTAAATACAATTTAATGAACAAGCAATACTTACCGGCAATATTCATCACCTTTTTTGATCAACCAAATCACTTTCCGTATTGAATTATTTGGAATACAATGAGGATGCAGATAACGTCGTCGAACCACGCAATATTCCTGCTCCATTCCGTCTGGTTTATTTTTTGTTCGGTAGTAGAACTTACGAACACTCATACGACGTCCATCTTTAGCGTTCCATTGACCTGATTAAAAGATATTCAAATTCTACATATTATTATCCAACATATTATTACTATATTATAATGCAAAATTTTGTAGAATTGTATCAAACACAAAATTAGCAATTTTCATCTCTAAACTTCCAATGAATTCTTATTTCATTCATTCATACATCTCAAAGCAGTTAAATTACCGAGATTATCCGAACTGATATCTGACACAGGGAAACATTTCGTATCGATTAAAAAACTAAGACAAGCTGCGGCTCCATAAAGATTGATTTTAGGAACATATGTACATACGGGTATCGATGCATCCAATCTAAAACGGCACTTGCATACATTAAACTAAGGTACAACTCAGGACAGATTATATGTCGATTAAGTGAAATTCCAATTTGACGTTAGTAGAAACAAGAAAAAATTAATAAAATGGAAATCAATGTTGTTCTAAAAAAAAAAAAAAAATAGAAAAAGAAGAGATTAGCACTTACTCATCTTCTTGTATCAGCAATTCCAATGGTGCATCCGCCAGTGTTCCGACAAATTTCTGCATGAATACTGGTGCATCCGTGATCATGCAGAGTCCTCTGAAAATGAACAAACCTTGGTTAACAATAAATATCCATTTTCATAAAATACATACTAAATACAAAATACAATATATGCTCAAAACAATTATTATTATATCACACTGATTCTCATATAAAGAGGAAAAGTAAGGAAAGCAGAAGAGATTTATCCGTGAGCAACACGAAAGAGAAATTTAAAAGAAGGTCGATAATAATTCATGTAATCCAAACAGGAAATACGAACTCTGTATCTAGTTCCGGAATTTCTTCCATTTGTCGCTTGAGACTTTCCGTTCCTCCAGCAAAGTAAAACTCAATATCATCGCCATCTTCTTCACCTTCACACATCAGATCATCAGAAGTCTATAAAAAATTCTTTAAATCCAATTCAGTTTTCCTAAACAACCGTACTATATGTAGTGAAAGATTCATTCAAACAAAACATAAAAAAGATCAAGTAAAGTAAAAAAAAAAAAAGATAAAAGATTTGAAAGGTTTAATATATACATACATTGGCGTTTTGATTACCAACATGCACAGATATACCATCAACTCCTTGCACGCCTGAGGATTCAACACCTGTACTTTCTGTCTCAACAATTTTATCACGATCCAATACAAAAGCACGGCTATCTAGCACCGCATCATTAGTGATGTTGTAGGAAATTAATGCATACCTTAATTATATAAAAAAAAATTGTAATGTTGAAATTCAAAGATCAATCTACGGCAGTAACTTTTTACTATATACGGAGACACAGATACTAATCTACCTTTCTCTTTGAAAATCAATTCAAACAATCAGTAGCCCCAATAGCAGTTAGACTAGATAAATGTTACATTGATTATAATCTTTTAATGAAATGTCCAATTTATGCAAATGCAAGAAAAGCTCTTTGATTCCACATAATACTATGTGATATTAACAGCGGCAATATTGCGCAGCAATGTAAAAACAATAATTAAATGAAACTGTACAAAACTAAATAGACATTACCTACAACATTCATTCCCTTTCATCACTTGCCAAATCACTTTTCGGACAGAACTTGAAGGAACAGTATGAGGATGGATTAAAACTTTCCGCAGAATTGTATATTCATGCTTTCCCTGAGCACACTTTGCCTTATCTTTGTTGAAGAAAAACTTAGAAACCAATCCACGAGAACTCCAACCATCTTCAATTTTTATTCATTTGATTTTGCATAGGAATACAGATAACCTTAGGAAATCAACTTAGAACTAAGAAAAAAGAACGAATTTTCAGGGCTAGAAATTTTATGCAAAAAATAACCTTTTTTTTTTCTCTCTCCCCCACTGTATCATTAAAATGAGAGGTTATAAAAATGAATTTATAAATTCAAACTTGTAAATTAAAAATACAGAATCAAATGAAAAGTACAAAGAAGTATGGAGTATACCTAATCCATCATAAATGAGATCTGTAATGTCAAAAGTTGTTAAATCCACGATAAATGAGAAAGATGCTGATCGTCCTGTAAGTCGCACTATTGGTGGTCTATCGCATGCATTCATACCTAACCTGAAAAACTCAAAATTTTGAGTAGTTTAAAGTACAATGAAATAGCATTCTTAATAGTTAAAACTTGAATTTAGAAAAGAAAAATGTTATTCAGAATCATAAATTCATCAGAAAATTGAAACGGTTAATTAAACAAGCAAACACACAAAAAATATATGCTAGATGATACTTACGGTCCACTACGCATTAATATGGCAAGTGGGACATCAGCAATAGTATTGATAAACTTAGCACGGAACACGGGACCATCAGTCATTTCAGCAATGTTATTATCCTGTTCACTGAAAAAAAAAAAGAAAATATGTACGCAAACTTTAAAAATGGAATTTTCATTAAAGACTTCTTTTTTTTTTTTTTGCTTTTCTGTCAGAAATAACAAAAACGAATAAATCAAAATTCTTAGAGAAGTAAAAAATAACATTATATGCTGCGTGATAGCTTCGTGGCTGATTATTTCTTTCGTCACGTTCTTAGGCATTGAACTTCTGAAGTGCATTCTTTCATTATATGGTAATCATGAAAAGTTTTTACGAAAATTCCCAAATCTAAACAGTTTTGGCATACGAAATACATCTATTGAAATAGATAAAAACGTTCAACTAACTAGTCTTCTTGTGATAGGGTTGCACATCAGTAATATGCCAATTTTCCAAGAAAGACACCAAAAAAAAAAAAAAAACAACCTATCTCAATCAAAATCTTCTACCGATATAGTCCATCGGATGGCACCAGCTAATAAATTTGGGTTTAACAGGATTCTTTCATCTTGATATTATTTGACTAATACCATCTCACATTGTTAATACATCATTAAAATAGATTTTTCTATTTTTTAAATGATTTACTATTGCTTCGAACTTACTGCTCAGCATGATGTGGAGCAAAGCATGACTTCTTCTCGACGGATGACATATTTAACGTCCTGTAATCAGCTGGACCTGGAGAATAACGTCTCGGCGGTATAATCCTGAAACTTGTCAGTATAAATTTTAGATGTATGCAGCCATAAACATATACTGAAGCCTGATATTTAGATACATTTTCAGTACTTTTGGTGCACTGCTACCATTATGAAAAATTCTCTTTAAACCAAAAACAAATCTGTTAACTGAAACAGACAGCTTTTGAAAGCACAAATTTTTCTACTTCATTGTTTCTGATATTATTCTAAGCTAAAAAAAAAAAAAAATAGAGTTAATATTTGCCAACACCAAATTAACAAGCATTACATTATACGTTTTCACAGATCCAAAAAAGATGGATTATGCGATCTTTTTATCTAACCTTCTTGTAATAGTTCCAGGAATTGGGTCGGTTCGCTCGTCACTATTGCGATTGTTGGCAATCAACCGGCGATTACTCCGTCGAATCGAATTTTCATGCTGTCGTCTTGCTGGATAAATTACCGGTTCCGAACGACTTGCAATAATATACTCATTCTCCTCTGCATCATCATATGAATTCACTACGACAAATTCTCCTTCATTTTCATTTTCTGTCGCTGTATATTGCGTCATCGATCCTAGCTTTACTGCAAAAAATTTCTTATACCTAGAATTCAAAACATTTCTTAAAATTTAAGTTTAAAAAATCTGAATTTTTCAATGAAATTATTTAACATGTAAGAATCATTTGTTCTAACGATTGTAAATTCCCAAAACCTTAATATGTTTGCTGACCATAACATACGCCTGTAACTTTTCGCAATGCATATATTATCTGTGAAACAAGTCTGCATTTTTCGGAATCTTTATTTATCCAAAATGAAAGATTTCCATGCAACCTGACGAGTTTTAAAAACTGAATGTTACAATTTTACAAATTCTAAAATCCAAATAACGATTACAAAACAGTTTGCAAAAATAGCCGACTGTGGTAAGGTAATTTATGAGTACTTTACCTAAACTTTATTAAACTTTAGAGCGAACTTGATTATTGCAGTTACAGGCTTATGTAAACGGCCAGCAAATGCTTCAAGTCCTACTCCAGCAATGCCAAGCAACATTTCCAAATGGTACAATACGATGATGTGCTTGTAAAGCAAACTTATTTTTGCTACTATTGCTGAAGAGTTTTAAAATGATGGAAAAGAATCTGCAGACACACTAAAAAATTTGTTATACAGAAAAATTTTAGCTTCTTAAAAAAAATGCACTGACATCAACATTAGTTTTATCACTTCACAGATTACACAGTAAAATGGAAAGTTGATATAGTGGTATCAGCTGACAATAAACTAGATGTTAAAGAATCTCTAACGTGGGCACATAGCGTGACGACCACCATCAACTGGAATTGATGCTCCGGTGATAAATGATGATGCACTGCTCGCCAGAAATGCAATTGCATTTGCTACTTCATCTGGGTTACCCACGCGACCAAGCGCATGAGTACTTTCGGAATGCTTGATAAAAGCTTCATAAGCTGCTTCATCCATACCACTACGTCTGTGAAGATCTGTTTTCGTGACACCGGGACTAAAAGAAATTTAAATTCAAAATAACAAGAGAAATTCGTGTATGCTAGTTCCAGAATATCGCATAAACAAAACATAACTAGTAATAAAATAGGATTATTTACTTACTTGACTGAATTGACACGTACACCTTTTGGTGCTAATTCAAGCGCAATACACCGCGTAAACTGATCAACGCCAGCTTTTGATATGTTGTATGCCAAGACACCAGGGAACTAAAACAGGATAGCAATTAACGGAGCAATATATGGTATGAATAAATTTTAATTATAATAAAAATCCAAAATTAGGGAATTGTTTTTCATTTTTTTTTTTTTAATTTTCTAACACCCAATACAATTTTCTAACACAGTAACTCTAAATCTGTGATATAAAAATCCTTTCAGAAAATTAACGTAGCTTCAATTTTTTCCAGAATAGTAGAAGCCCATAAACAAAATGGATCATCATTCTAAGTTCAACTACCGAAGTTTAACACTATGTTGAATGAAATACTAATACTAGTCTAGCAAAACATTTAGAAACTAGTCCTTCACTGATAAGTTATTAAGAAACGAACCGATCTTATCCCGTTAACACTGGATACATTTACAACAGAACCTTTAGATGCAATCAATTGTGGAATGAGCTGTTGCGTCAAGTAAAACATTGAGCGTAAATTGGTCGACATTATTCGGTCATATTGCTCCAACGTTGTGTCTTCAATCGTACCTTTGCCAATAATACCAGCATTGTTGACCTAAAATCACAATCAAAATCTATCACACCCTATTTAAAATACAGTTCCCCTACAAAAAATAGAAATGAGCCGCAGAACCAGCAAAATATATACAGAAAACTTTCGAAAAAAAATCCAACTTCAAAATCCTCAAATTAATATCCCTCTTCAAGATTCTAAAGAAATAAAATGTTGGTTTTTGCAATTATACTCATCCTCCATCCCGCACTTTTCACATGTAGCAACAGAAAAAACCCTCTCCATCTTCTTGAATTCTCAGTTCGAAGTCCTAATCAAATGAGAAACAATTTTTATTAGGAGAAAATAAAAACGGCATGATTTACTCCACAAATTTTATCACAAATCTTTTATTTAGCATACGTTATCTTTAATTTCAAAAATCATATCAAATTAGTCTAATCTGTAATAATCCATATTTTACAAAACGTTACTGATCTAATTTATTTCGTTAAAATTTTTCTTTCCTATGGAGCTAATCAAAATATAAGATAATTACCAAGATATCCAAGGTGTGAAATTTATCGACAGTCGTTTTAGCGAGCCGCCGGATTTCTTCTTCCTTCGTAAGATCTGCAGTGATGGCCAAAACTTGACTCTACAACCGAACAATTAATCCCTTTGTAAAAAAAAATAAAAAAAAGGATCAAAAGAGGTCACCAATAAAATGATATTTCAAAGATTTTATGAAGATAATTACCAAGATATCGCACCGTCAGCTAGTTTGGAAGCTCAAGATGTCAAAAGTTTCGAAGTGAATGGATTAATCAAGATGACTTGTAAATACATCCGTTATTTTAATTTTGAATGTAGTCCGTATAAGGAACACTCAGCTTATGAAGTTCAACGGTTGATAAATTCTTGATAATTCTTAACCTACTCTTAAAACTAATAGTAAACAACCTTTCCATCTTGCAACTGTTCTTCGAGCGTTTTCAACCGCTCAGAATTTCTTCCGGTCACAACAAGTGTTGCGCCGAGCTGGTGAAAAAGATGTGCTGTTGAATATCCAATACCAGATGTTGCTCCTTAATGAATTTTTGTAAAATCAATTAATTAAACTGAAAGTTCTGAAATCCCAAAAGGGAAAAATGGAAGTGTAGAAATGTTAAATAGAGATCTCTACCAATATTATCTTTATCTCTTTCCATCTTCAGATAACAATTGCAACAATACTTTGCGTTTGTTACATTCTTTCCAACTTTCGATCAGTTAGTAATCATTTATTGAAGCGAATTTAATTTTGCAGTTGTGATGAATTTACTGAGTGAAAATTCCAATCCAAAAAGAAATTTTTATAAAATTCCCTCTCAACCTGTTCTATTCTTCATCTTTTCTATGCTACAAAACATTCACGGAAATGTATGCTAAATACATTATCTTCATCTCCTTTCGTCTTCAGTCCAAATTACCAAACATTAATCTCTGCTATAACTGTTGTGTCACTTGGTGATATTTATAATATACTTCTGATTATTTAAAAATAATTCCAACACTTTCCCACTACTTAATAACAGTCCTGATGACATTAATCACCACTGGTTAGAACTATTTTTGCAGCACCACTTTTTTTTTTAATTAATTTAATTAGCAAACTGATATACTTAATACATGATATATTATCTGTAAATAATTAATTATAGGACAGCATTATAAATTATACTAAATCCATCTCCAATACGTCATTATCACGGCTTAGAACATATTCATTACGTCAAATTTCACGTCCACCGTGTGCCGAACCTCATAACACGAACTTTGATCAAAAAAGTCGCAAACCAAAAAAAAATAATAAATTCACGAACTTTGAATTTATCGGTTGATAAAATTCAGTTCTCTTCTCCGTTCTCAAATACTGGACTTTATTGCATTTTCCGTTTATATTTTTACAGTGCTTGTCAATAACAACAATAGATTTAATCATATTTAACTGGGAATGATCTTCAATCTAACCATTCACAAAGATAATAGAAAATAAGCACAATCCTAATTTAGCTTCTTATTTTTCAAGTTAACTTACCCGTTATTAGAGCGACTTTTCCCGAAAGATTGATAACTGTTGTTGACATTTGTCCTGAATAAATTATTGAATTGTGTGTTAATCGATATGTATAATGAAGCTATATCGAATAAAGCTGTCATTCTAATAGTTTCATTGTGGAGAATTGCATTAGAAGGAAAAAAAAATAAAATAACCTTCGATTTTTTGATTATTCGGAAATATTTTTCAAATGTTTACTTCTAAGTTACAAAATGCATTAATATCACTTTCAAAAGAGCTATCTGAAATGAAAATCCTGAACGTATGAACTATCCGATCAACGGATCACGCAACAATCGAACCTTACGTCCCGCTGAACGCAACACATACGCCGAAAATTATAACTGATAGGACGAACTTTCTACCTTTGCAGCACTCTATTTTTCGTCACTTTCAATAAGCATACGGTGTGTAGGGTTTTTAAATTGGTGAGCACGTGACGGTAACGCGTTACGTGTTGCTGTACGTGCGTTACGTAGCTTTGTGTGTGTAGCACTTGCATGTTAGATGCTATATGTACGTGGTACTTCATGTTATGTGGCATGTGACACTTGTTAGACTTCTACATATACGCTGCGTTGGATCTTGTTTTATGTATACGTATACCAATTGAATGAATGTGATTTACAACGACGTAAAAGAATGGTTCGCCATAATATTATTTAATACGTCATCAAATGCAGTCGCTAAATGATTAGGAGGACACGTAAAGTAATTCATTTATGAAAATCTACTGTTTATGTTCTAACTGAATAATACGGTTACGTGAAGAGTAGTACTTCGAAGATAATAGGACACATCGAAAGAAGAATGTATCATAATGACAATGAGTTATGTGCAGAAATGATCAGTGCGCAATAATAAATGGTCAGAGATTCATTTTTACGCCAAATTACGCCGTAGTTACTTTTTAAAATAAACACAAACGAATAAAGTAATAGGATATACATTTCCGATAAATTCAAAATTATAATATTTTATTCGTATTATTTTGTAACTTGTACTCAAGTCACACGTTGTAAAAAAAGTATATAACATATGATAAGTAGTAAGATTGATACTATACATTGCCATCGTTTTTGATCCCCTGAAAATAGCCTTTTCATATAACATTGAAAATAGATGGATGATGCAAAATTCGGATTAAGTATGAACTGTGATTATAAATTAGATTTAGACCAAATAATGAGCTTTGATATGACAAATTTCAGATTATATATACATTAGTTATAAATTGATTATTAATTAGGTAATTTATATCGTTAATTTATAATATAATCTTAATTATAGATGAAGTAAGAATAGCTTCTTTTGAAAAAGCAATCAGTTACTTTTTCCTTTACTAATCGATTCCGTTAATAGTTTCATATTCATAAGCTCAATTATAAATCCGTCATCTAAAAAAGTGCGTGCAGAAATTAACAAATTCAAAATTGCATTTGAATTTAGAATTTAAATGAAAAGAAGGAGATAAGACAAGGCGACAAGTTAATACTGAGAGAGTTAAGAAAATGAAAGAATGTTACCTTCCTCATCAAAGGTTGTTATTTTAGATGAACGAGACTCTGAATAATACTCATCCTATAATATACAATTGTAATTAATAGAACTGTTAATCAAACATATTAGAGATTTATTCTTTTCACTCTTTTCATCAGATTAACATTTCATTTCTTTTTTTTTAAAAAAAAATTTGCTACTACAGTTTTACCGTTTTATACATACATAAAACTGAAAGAACATTAGGTTGCATGGAACATTCCATTGGTATAGCATATTTATTATTGCCAACTGAAAATTTTCATTTTTTTTTTTTTTCTTTTTCAAAAGCAATTAATTAAATTAAATTTGTTTTTCAGTGTGGTTCTATTTTTATATTGATTTTTGCTTTAAGAAAGAAGAAAAAAATGACTTGAAAGTTGAGATATAGGAAAAATAGATTTTTGAAATAGTTAAATTTAGGAAAATATGTATCCATTTATTTTGAAACTGATCCTACAGATTTTAGAAATTTTTGAATTTTTTAGAGAAAAAAGCAAAATATAATGATGTCGAAAAGTTTAAAAGATTTGAAGTTTTGGTTAAAATAGAATTTGCTAATATGAGTTGAAAATAGAAATTTTTAGCTAACATGGAATAGCTAAAAATCGATAGCATTGTGATATGTTTAATTGAGGATTGAAATTAGGATCGATAAATTCAAAATTGAAATTTTGCGAGAAATCACTCCAACGATAGCCAGCTCCACGGAAATACCATAAACCAAATAAAACAAAATGATATCGATAAAACATTGGTTGGTCAATTTGAAGATCATCTTCAAATGGACAAATAAATAAATATGAATAAGATAAATATATAAGGAAATTTTTAGAAATATTTTATTAATTTATTAATGAAATAATTGAAATTATCAAATATTAACGTTGAATTTCTTGCATAATAAATTCATATTCATTTTTATCTTGAAATATTGCTGGATACATTGCAATATGTTTTCGTTGTCGTTGAATAGCGCACAATGTATCATCGATGGAATAAAGTTGCTCCTAAAAAAAGAAACAGAAATTAAAATTAAAAAAAAGAAAAAGAAAAATAAAAATAATTTCTTTTCATTTTTTCTCTTTCTTTTTTTTCAAATTTTTAGTGAGATGAAATATTTAACAATATTTAAGTACAATTCATCATTTAATAATTTATTATTTGCATTTTTTTTTTTCAATTTTAGTTTTTCTTTTTTTTTTTTTTTTTTTTTTTTATTATCAATTTTAGTTGTTCAAAGTTTTTTCTTTTTTAAAGTACCGTATGATTTGACATTTTATATACAATTGAAAAACAATAAATTTCACCATTTGCTCGTTTCCATTGATGATCACCAAGTGCACATCTTTTAGGATTGCCTAATTAATTTAATTTCAATTTAAATAATAACAATTTTTTTTTTTTTTTTTTTGTTTACATAAATATATGACAGAAAACTAGAAGAAATGAGTTAAATAATTTAGAAATGGAACGAATATATGAAAAAAGAATAATTTTAAAAGAAAAATGAGCGCAAATTAATTCTATATTTTCTTAATTGATAATACATGGATAAATATGTTTTTAATATTTGAATTATTAAATTAATTATTAGTCTATTTGAAAAAAGAAAAAAAAAATTGGAGAGAATGTTGTTTACATATCAATCATTTCTGTGAAAATTTAAGAATAAATGAATATAAATTGTAAATTTATTAGGATTTTAAGATTTCGTGACACTAATTTAGAAAGGAAATTTAGAAAGAGATGAGAATTGAAAATGAATGAATGAATTTTTAGTAGTTGAAATTAATTAAACTCACTTAGATCTTTATCCATTATTAATTGTGTATTTTTATTCCAGTTATATTCATATTTAGTAATTTTTCTTGGTAAATCCTTAAAATTACTCATAAGTATGAACTTGAAATAATTTGTTATCAAGAAAAAAACTGGAAAAAAAAATATATAATGAAAAATTTTTTAATCTAATTTAAAATTAAACTTAAAAAGATTACAATTAAATAGCTAAATCCAATCAAATAGTGATTAATTGCAACTTTTTGATTGCACTCAAATGCCATAATTTTAACTAAAAATTATTTTATTAATTTTATTTGGCATAAATAATTTTTGATTCCTTGAGTGAATTGAATATTAAAAAAAAAATATTTAATTTAATGAACATTTCATCTATTTAAAGAAACATGAAATTGAAGGAAATTTAGAAAAAAATAAGCAATTATTTTATCAGTATGATAAATAATTTTGATAACATATTAAAAAGTATTAAATTATTAGTATTCCTTACTTTTCTATTGGCAATTTTATAAAAATAATTCTTACTGCTATTAATTACCTTGTTTTTTGTTGACGAAAATTAAAATATATATATTTGCGCCCTATTTTTTTTTTTTTTTTTTTTTGTTTTTAATAAAATGACAGAATTTTTTTTTTTTAAAAAAAAAAAGTAAAATTTTTTTGGTTATATAAATTAAAGTTTTACTTACAATCATTGTCTTCAATAGCCCATGTCATGAAACGATAGCAATTAGACTTATTTAAACGTGGATTAAATGATGAATCATAAAATGAGCTAAAATCGGTTTTAGCTAAAGTACCATCATACCAAATCATTTTTCCACCGTACATTCCGGTTGAATCATTATTAACAAAACCATTTTGTCGTATGAAAAATAATCCAAATAATGCACCTAATAAACCTTCAGCATATTCCGGATATTCTAAAATATAAAATTTTAACAAAAAAAAAAATTTCATTTTATTAATATAATTTAAAGAATATTCTATATATTCTGCATTGTTTGAAGTTTTTTGAACTTTCAAATAATTTCAGTTTATTTTTATTTGATTTCAGGATGGGCAAAAAAAAAAAGTTGGCAAAACAGAAAACCATTTTATGCTTAATAATTAATGATTATAATTATTCCAACTTCTTATTTTCTCTCTTTCATTTAAATTAATCAGAACTGAAATTCAAATTCAACATTAAGATAAATTATTTAATTTGTGTAAATTTAAGCAATTTTTAGACGACTTATAAACTGTAAAGTAATTTTTTTTTTAACAATAATTTAATAGAATAAAATGTTTTTGTTTTGAAATAGCAATAAATTAAAGTATTTTTTACAAATAATGCAACATTATTTGCTGATAAAATATTCATTTTTTTAAAATGCTTATATGTAAATTTAATTTTATCTGCTAAAAACTGTAATCATTATCGAGTAATTTCATTTAAATTATCAGTTAATATTTAACTTTCAATGAGCAACAAACACTTTCTCAGCTTCAGAAATTGATTTTAAATTATCAGTGAGTGATATTTTATCATTTATTATTATTACTGTTATTATTATCATTGTTATTATTATTATTACTATTATTATTATTCACTAATTACGATCATAACTTTTTTATCTATTTACAAAAGTCCAATCTATGAAAAATATCACTTATCAATCATTTCCAATAAAAAAAAGAGTTTTAAAAATTATGTTTACAATAATTTTCCAATCAAATCTTATGATATTTACATTTTAAACTTAAAATTTGTGAAAAAATCGTTAACAAGAAAAGAGTTAAAATTATATTTAAATATTTTGAAATTATCACTTTACTTTTGTTTCTAAATTGTTTGTTCAAAAATAAATTACTCTAACTCTTTCACTAACAAATGACAATAATTTAGTTTTAATTTTTAATTAAATAATTAATAATTAGTGTAATGAAGAATTCAAATTAATGAAATTATACCTACCAAGTAATGCAGCACAATGAAAATTACTTAAATCCTCCAAGGTTATTGCAATTGCTTCCGTTATATTATTTTGTTTATATTTTTGAATAACACGTTGGAGTGCATTTTCAGTGCTAATATTAAGACTTACCTGTTGTAATTAATGATAAATTAAAATTAATTAAGGTAAAATGAACAGAAATTAAGGAAGTAATCAATAACTTATTAATTACTTTAATAGGAAGCAATTAATAATTTAATACTTTAATAGGATGTAATTAATAATTTATCATCTTAATGAGAATCAATTATCAATTATCACTTAGCATCACCATATTATCATTAATTATATTACTTGAGAAATTATAATTTGTCAGTAAACTGTGATATGAATATGAAACAGTGATACCTTTACCTTCTAATTTACCTTTTTCTTTTTTTTTTTTTGCTTTCTAATATATTTACCATCTAATGATTTTTTTTTCCTTTTAAAAATTCATTATTTTTGACTTTATATTTATTAATCATTATCACTATCATTATCATTATCATTATCATTTCTAAGGAATTACTTTGATTGAAAATATTAACTTAAACTAATTTGATTCTTTTAATCTTTTTCATTTAAAAATTTCACACAAATATAAATTAACTTCTTTTATGGGAAATTGATGAAAATAGCAAATAACTTTTTGCTTTTGTTCCATTGAATAACGATAAAATGCACGACCATTATTAAGACAACCTTGAAGAAAAAGAAAAAAATATTAAATTAAAATTTTTTAAATTTCAAAAAATATTTTTATAAAAATTATTACTTTTCATTAATCTATATATTACTATAATTATTTTACATTTTACACTTTTCTTTTTCTCATTAATATTAGAAATAAATTGATTAAAAGAAAGAAAAAAAAAAAAAAAAATGAAAACTAACGAGAAAATTGAACACAATTTATAAATGCTATGGAAAAATAAATTGAAATAACCGCTAGTAATTTCATTTACTACAAATAATAATATTTTTTCTCAACTTTACTACCTTTTTAATCTATTCAATTAAGAAAATGAGTAATAATAATGAATTGTTATGTTTTAAAATAAATTTTAAATATTTTTTTTTTTTTTAAATTGCATTTAAAATGCTACAATTATTTATTTGAAATGTTAATAATTTATTCATGAATTATTCATGTAATTCATATATTTTAAATAAATATAATTAATCTATTTGATTTTATCGCAACATATTGTAATAATTATAGAGAAAATGATCACTGTATTTTATTTAATCAATAATTTTTGATCATAATTTTATAATCATAGTAGAATTGATTTTATTATTCGTTGATAAGTTATCATATTCTATTATAAAGTATGATAAATCAAAAAAAAAAAAAGTCAAAAGAATATAGTATTAATTTAATTTTATAGTAATTTCTTTCATTCTTACAATTTATCATATTTGATAAATTATTTAATAGTAATAAGTTTATAAAATAGTTTTCAGATAAGCAATTTGTAGTGTGAACAAATAAAATTGAATCATTGAAATGGAATATATAATGATATTATCATAACGAAAGTATATGATCTTTACGTATAAAATTATCATTTACTTTCTATGATTATCATTTTTATCACTTTTTTTCTATAATTATCATTTTTATCACTTTTTTTCTATAGTTATCATTTTTATCACTTTTTTCTATAATTATCATTTTTATCTCTCTTTTTTACAATTATCATTTTTATCACTTTTTTCTATAGTTATCAATTTTATCACTTTTTTCTATAATTATCATTTTTATCACTTTTTTTCTATAGTTATCATTTTTATCACTTTTTTCTATGATTATCATTTTTATCACTTTTTTCTATAATTATCATTTTTATCACTTTTTTTCTATAATTATCATTTTTATCACTTTTTTCTATAATTATCATTTTTATCACTTTTTTTCTATAGTTATCATTTTTATCACTTTTTTCTATGATTATCATTTTTATCACTTTTTTTCTATAATTATCATTTTTATCACTTTTTTCTACGATTATCATTTTTATCTCTCTTTTTTACAATTATCATTTTTATCACTTTTTTCTATAGTTATCATTTTTATCACTTTTTTCTACGATTATCATTTTTATCTCTCTTTTTTACAATTATCATTTTTATCACTTTTTTCTATAGTTATCATTTTTATCACTTTTTTCTACGATTATCATTTTTATCTCTCTTTTTTACAATTATCATTTTTATCACTTTTTTCTATAGTTATCATTTTTATCACTTTTTTCTACGATTATCATTTTTATCTCTCTTTTTTACAATTATCATTTCTATCACTTTTTTCTATAGTTATCATTTTTATCACTTTTTTCTATAATTATCGTTTTTTTATTTAGTAATTATTAATTAAATGAATTGATATAGTTGTAATTGTGCAAGAAAGTAGCATCGTTATTTTATGAATTAACATAAATGAATTCCATTAATTTAAGCAATATGATAATGAAATGATATTGAAATGTATTATATTAAAATTGTTTTTTCTTTTTTTTTTTTTTTCCAAATAGCAATTATCATTTGTTTAATAAATGCACGTGCTGATAATAATGATAATAATGATAATGCATATACGTATATTTAGCCAATAATTTATTTAGGCGGAAGATGGTAAACCGCCACGAGCACGTGCAAGTATTTCAAAATCTCGTAAGAAACTTAAAATTTCATCCCTTTTGATGAGCTGAAAAATTAATCTTACATTTTTTCAAATTCAGTTTAGTTTAATTTAATTTAATAATTTAACTTTTCATCTTTTATTTTCTTCAAATTATAATTTAATTTAATTTTTTCATTAATAATTAGTGATTAAACAATATGTCATTATTGTAAAATAAAATAAAATATAAAATTAAATTATCACATCTATTATATATCATTTTTACCACCCAATAAAAATAATTTATATTTTTCATACAAAAATTCAATTATTTTTCTCATAAAGATAAAAAAAATAAACTTTCACCGTTTTTCTTGAAGAAACTTTTAACTATTTTGGTATAATTGAATAAAAATAAAATGCCAAAAATTTAATTTAAATGAAATTTATAAATTTAAAATATTATATTAGTAAATGATGAGAGAGTAAAAATGAAAAAAATTGTATTCAAAATGATAAATGAAATACTTAGCAATTAATGCTACAATTAAACATAAATTATATATCAAAATTTAAAAGTAACAGTAAGAGAGAGAGAGAGAGAGAGAGAGAGAGAGGGAGGAGAGGAAAAAGAAAACAAAAAAGAAAAAAGTAATACTTTTCGATTTTCCGAAAGTGCTAAAATGCAACGATGTATGTAAACGTATTGAATATCCGTTTGTATGGATCCGTGACGTTGAAGACGTAATTCTCGAACTACGTCACGCATAGTAACTTTCATACCATCGTTGAACATTGAATCTGCTATATCTAAACCAACAACTGTTCCTGTTCGACCAATACCTAATTAATAAAAAATAATAGATAATAGATTTATTTAATAAAACAATATTTAATAATAATATTACAATTAAACATAAATTTTAATATATTAAAATTTTAAACATATTACGTATTCAATTATAATATTTATTTATTTATTTAAAATTTTTTCCAGCTTTTTTTGCTAGAAAAAAGCAAAACAATTTTTTATGTGATATTTTAGCAAGAAAAAAAAAAAAAAAAAAAAAAAAAAGGAAAAAATGAAATTTATAATAAAAAATATTACAAGTATGTTTAATTACTAATTGTTTTTTTATTAAAAATTTGCCACAAAATTTTGTGGAAAAATTTTTTCACACTTAATACAAATTATTAAATAATTGCTTTTTTTTTTTTTTTTTTTTTTTCTGTCATAAATTATTTGCTTGCTAAATATTTATTTGTACTATAAAAAAATATAAGTAATACCTGCAGAACAATGAATTACAACATGTATTTGATTTTTGATTCGTTGTAAAAGTCGAAATGGTGCCAAGAAATTATTGGGGACACCACGATCTGGCCAATCATTCCAAGCAATATGTTCCAATGTTAATTTTTTATTTCCATTAGTTACAATTAAATTACTAATTGTTAGCATTTTTTCTTCTTGTATCACACGACTACATGTTACCTTTAGTGTTCCATATTCTTTCTGTATATTACAATTATTATTTAACTAATTAATTAATTAATTAATAATTAAAAAATTTTTTTTTAATTCTAAATTTACCTAGTTAATTAATAAACTAATTAATTAACAATTTTTTTTTTTTGAATCACTATTAAGCAATAATTATTTTAGTTAATGATAACAACTATTGAGTGATTAATTAATTAATTAATATGAAGCAAAATAAAGAACGAAAAGAAAGGCAAAGTATTACAAATATTATTTAATTAATTAATTAATAATTAAAAAATTTATTTTTAATTCTAAATTTACCTAGTTAATTAATAAACTAATTAATTAACAATTTTTTTTTTTGAATCACTATTAAACAATAATTATTTTAGTTAATGATAACAACTATTGAGTGATTAATTAATTAATTAATTAATTTGATGAAGCAAAATAAAGAACGAAAAGAAAGGCAAAGTATTACAAATATTATTTAATTAATTAATTAATAATTAAAAAATTTTTTTTAATTCTAAATTTGCCTAATTAATTAATAAACTAATTAATTAACAATTTTTTTTTTTTTTTGAATCACTATTAAACAATGATTATTTTAGTTAATGATAACAACTATTGAGTGATTAATTAATTAATTAATTAATTTGATGAAGCAAAATAAAGAACGAAAAGAAAGGCAAAGTATTACAAATATTATTTAATTAATTAATTAATAATTAAAAAATTTATTTTTAATTCTAAATTTACCTAATTAATTAATAAACTAATTAATTAACCAATTTTTTTTTTGTATCACTATTAAACAATAATTATTTTAGTTAATGATAACAACTATTGAATAATTAATTAATTAATTATAATAAAGAAGGAAAAAAAGGCAAAGTATTACAGATTGGCCTTCTTCAGCTGGCCAATACTGTTCACATTTCTTCTTGCCACATTCCATAATATTACAAAGCATAATTATTGAACGACAACTTTCTTGCCATACCATACGCCAGAAATCTTCTATTGTATTCTCTTTTGGTGCCTTAAATTTTGTTTTTTTTTTTTTTATCATTTTAAAAAATATTTTTCAAATAAAAAAGAAAAAACAGAAATATATATTCTAATATAAATTAATTTAATTAATAACAATAGCAATTATTGATTGATTAATTAATTTAATTGAATAAAGAGTTCAAAAAAAAAAAAAGAAAAATAATACATTCTAATATAAATTAATTTAGTTAATAACAATAGCAATTATTGATTGATTAATTAATTTAATTAAATAAAGACTTCAAAAAAAAAAAAAAAAATACATTCTAATAAAAATTATTTTAGTTAATAATGACAGTAATTATTGATTGATTGATTAATTTAATTAAATAAAGACTTCAAAAAAAAAAAAAAAAATACATTCTAATAAAAATTATTTTAGTTAATAATGACAGTAATTATTGATTGATTAATTAATTTAATTAAATAATGAGTTGTAAAAAAAAATACATTCTAATATATTATGCAAATTAAAATTATATTCTAATTAAATATATTTGTTAGCTGAGAAATTTTTTTTTTTTTTAAACCAAATAAATTTAGGTAATTTAACAATATTTGCCAGATTTTATGATTATAAGATTTATAATAATTAATTTTTATTGACTTTTTTTTTTTATTAAAATTTAAGACATTTTATATATCTAACATATAATCTTTGTTAGAATTTGACATAATTGTCTCAAAAATTAATATTAATTACAACTATAAGTGCTAAAATTTTTTGAAATATTTAAAATATAAATTTTAAAATGAACGCTATGAATGAAATATTATTACAATGATAATATAATATATATTTTAATTTAATATAATATTAATGAAATTTTAAAAGAATGAAAAAAAAAACAAAAAAAAACAAAAAGTATTAAAAATGAAATAAAACAAAGAAAAAAAAAAAAAAAAAAGAGTGGAATAAACCTGAGTACAGATAAACCGTTGTTTCATAGAAACTACATCAACCCAATTTGCATGAATATAATCATTTGTGGTTTTTGATGGATAATTTAGCACAACTCTTGTTTCATCAACACAGAATACATCTAATGAAATATGCAAATTTATTAAATAATTATTTGTAAACATAATTTGTAATTATAATAAACAAAACAAAAAAAAAAAAAATGGCTGCAAAAAATCCGATCATTTTTTTCAAAAAATAAAAGCAAGAAGATTAAACAAATAAGACAAAAGAAAACTAAATGAATGGAACTGAAGTTTAACTAATTAAATCAATTCTAATTGTCAATTTCAAGGTTTAATTAATTTTGACTAATTAAAATTAATTAAACTATCCAATTAACCCCTGTATCTGTTTTTATCTGGATTTTTATCGAATGCAGTTTTAACCAGTTGCGATGGTGGTATACTGCTTTCTCGTATTTCCTTAAATTCTTTCATCAAACCCTGTAAATATTACTAATTATTAAGTTTAAACTTCAATAAATATTAATAATTATATGTTATTTGCATAAATATTTGTATGAAATTAATAATAGCATAAATTTATTATATTTATGAAAAGAATTATCCAATGACATAAGTATTTACTTTTAATTTTATGATATAAGTTTTGTACTTTAAATTTTAATTTAATTTACAAAAACTCATGAACATATGCAAAAAAATTGAACTTATAATTATTTGAATGTTTAATTAATAAGAACAGAAACAAAAAACAACAAAAAAAAAAAAAAAATAGCTGAAAAATGAAAATGACAAATTATTTATTCCTTTTTTCCTATAAATAAATAAACATTTTGAGCAATCAGAGAGAATTTAATTTTTTTTATAATATTAAGTTTGAATTTTTTTTTTTGTTCACTGCTAGTTTTTTAATTGTTTTATAAGTGTTCCAGACTATAATTTTATTTTTTAACTCTGTTTGTTGTTATGTCTTTTTTTTTATTTTTTGTTTTTATGTTATTTTTGTGAAATGTTTTAGTTTTTTTATTTTTTTAAAAAAACATTTAAAATTCGGTTTTTGAACTGGATTACTATCCAGGTAATCAAAATTTATTAATTCAAGAGTAAAGTTTTATTTAAATCGAAAAAATATTGACTGACTTTGAATTGTTATCAGTTATTTCAGTGCTTTTTTTTTTTTAATTTTTTAAGTTTACGCACGTGATATGAAACGTTATACGTATTCTATTAGTTTAGCTTATTAATTTAAATACGTTGCGTCACTTTCAAACAATAAATAAAACATTAGCTTAAAACATTAAAGAAAACAAAAAGGAAAAAAAAAATGATTTGAAATTTAGTTTCATAAAAAAAAAAGATTTGAAATTAAAATGCTAATAAAAATTATTTCACTTTGTTTATAAAAAAAGAAACTGTAAGAATTATAAATCTAAAAAACAGGAGAAGGAAAGGGAAGGAGAGAGGGAGAGAGAGAGATGACTGGATAATATTAACCTGAACTCCAGTTGCAACAGTAGTTGTGCAAAAAGCTTTCATCTGAACTATCATATCCCGGTTTTCCGGTCCTTTCCGAAGTGTAGCAAGCCGGCGACGACTTAGACGAGAATCACGTTCCATTTGTGTGCCATCCTCATCAGCAAGTTCTATTCATTTTTTTAGAAAAATTTATTTTTTATTCCATTTTATATTTTATTAAATCAAGATATGATAAATTATTGTAAATTATAATTTTAAGTTAAATCATACATTTCGTGTTATTTTTGTTACAATTTAAGAATTTAAAAATTTTCAAAATTTTACTAACTTTGAAAATTCAAAGAAAAAAAAAAGAAATGTTATTGCAATTGAAAAGTTTTAAATTTTCAAAAATTCAAATAATAATTATTAGAGACATTAATAATAATAATAAATCTGCAATGTTGCAATATAGTTTTTGCAATCCAATTGATAATTTTATCATTTAATCATTAATAAAAGAGGCTATTATTAAAATGATAATGAAATTGAATATATCTTAATACCCTTTCTAAAGCTACGAGTAGCTGATCGTCGTCTTACTGATTTCTTTTTACCTGTTCGAGATTCTTGACTCACTAAAATGATCAATAACTGACTATAACACTTATCAAGTGGGATTAATATGTGAAATTCTGCTCAAATAAATTCTCCAATGGATTAGCAATTCAAAAGAAATTTTATAGCATTTTATTGAAATAAACTGAATGGTTGAATTATGATTTTATTTTATTACTAACTGTATTCTATTTGTATTGTCGTATCAACAAATTGTTTATAACGACAAACAAACCGCTACACAATCAAACTGAAACTATCAATAAGAACAATTAGATAAAAATAATTCCATTATAGCTAATTTGTCATTAAAATATACTTATCAATTAGCTCTGTATGTAAAATTATTTGTTTAGAAGTTTAAAAAAAAATTGCTATAACTGATATAATTGTTTATCAGTTAATTGATTAGTGATAATTAATAAATGGAACACATTTAATGAATATATTTAAATAAATTAATGAAGGAAAAAAAAGAAAGATTGAAAATGGCATGACACTTGATGTGTCACATATGACAAAGTTATAATTAAACTTTTGTTCTGAATATCACGTGAAAATTTCACGTAAAGCTTACTGTTATGGTCAAATTGAAACACTGCTCTTTAGGTTAGCAAATAAAAATGTGCAATAAATGAAGAACTGTGTGATTAAATTGTGCATTTGATTAGACAAATCAAATACCAAATTTTCAGATTTAATTCCAAATATGATTTATTAATTCCAAAATTTCAAATTCGAGCAGACTGTATATTCCAAAGATTAAGTGAAGCTCGCAAAGTTTTTTTTTTTTTTTTTGACCTGAATTTTGCAAATTTTATTCTCTTCTTTTCCAGGTAAAAATGTATTATTAATGAGATATTCTTTGCACAAAACATTTACAGAAACGGGCAATATCTTCCCGTATTATAAAAAAAAATCAGTTTTTACACCAAAATTACAAAATGCATCCTTTATTTGAAAGAAATAGCAGAGAGAGAGGGAGAGAGGAAGGGAGAGGGAGAGAGAAAAAAAAAAAAACAATCATATCAGTATAAATACCAGAAAACAGATAAAAAAGCTATCAAAAAGTTTATCTTCCCATAATAATAATCTGTTAGCTTTGACAAATCCTGTAGAATTCATAGAATATCATTTGACATACATTTGATATTACTTTGAATTGAATTGTTGATAAAAGAACAAAAATTTATACATCACTAATTTTCTATACATAACAGTGAAGAGAAATAATGCCCTCAATCTATAAGAGTATTCGGAGTTTAGAGAGAATCTGTCTAATTATTTATTGACGACAAAATAATCATCTTGCTAGCATATAACAGAATTTGAAAAAAAAAAAAAAAAAACTATATTCCTGTAAATTATAATAAATACTTATAAGTAAATTTCTATTCAAACTACTCTATTTTACTGCGTAGCAACTATATCACGGAATAATTAACAAACAAACAAACAAAAAAAAAAAAAAAAAAAACATATATGGCATTTAAAAAAGTAAATAAATAAATACATATATATATATCGTGAATAAATAAAGGCATATTTCATAAATGAATGTGAGCTTAATATAAAAAACCAGAGAACATAGTATGCTGATAGAGTAATCAATTATCCCTTGGTATATTTAATAAATGATAATTCAGCTATAACTAACTATTCAACTAATCAGCTAGTTCTTCTAAAAAAGAGAAACAAAAACAAAAAAACATACTGATATCAATTTATCGCGAAAAATTTCTCACATAACTTTTCAATGGTTAAATTAACTACTTTTCAATCGAAAAAAAAAAAAAAAATTTCTACTTGGTAAAGTGTTCTCATTTCATTCATATAATTTCATGAATGATTAGCAATAAAGAAAAATCATCAATATTATAAGCAACAGTTAATCATTCAAATGGCACCAATTGAAATATTTAAAAAGACAAAAGAAATTTAACATTCAACATACAGAAAGAATATAATCCATTCTTTGATTATTTTATCATTTAAATTTCTTCGCCTTTCTTTTTTTTTTTTTTTGTTAATAAAGCCTGATGTTCAACAAATATCATGATAAAATCATAATTACAATAATAGTTATCAATGCAATGAAAAAAAACAAAAAAAAACAAAACAAAACAAAAAAATAAAGAATAAAAAAAAAAAAAAACATCATTTAATATCAAATTTTCACGGCGCTTGATTCCGAATAAAATGGATTAGTTGAATGAACCGGTACCGGATATGTCGTCGCAACATTTACAGCTAAATGGGACCATCTAACATCAAATGGATCAGTTTCGTCTGCTTTTTCGGATTCTTTATCATTCGTACATTTTTCATTCGTTTGATCTAAAATTCCTTCCATTAAAATAATTCATAAATTATATACAATTCTCTAAAAATATCTTCAGAACATATACTAATTCGAAATTATTAATAATGAAATGCAAATCAGCGCATCCTCTCACTTTCTATTTAAGTTTAATTTATGAGCACCGAAACATTTCAAAATTTCACTGTAAATTCATTGTAAATTCAAACGAAATTCACGATCCTCATAGATCGAAGATTGAAAACATAATTTCCAACTGAGCAAAAATGAACCTTTAAACTGCTAACGTCCATGTAATCGCTTTATTCCCTATCCATATATATGTAAATGAGACAGCAACTGACATAATTCTCTTACGCAAAGTTTACATAAACATTATTTATACTAATCATAAATAAGAACTACTCAACGAAAATAAAAACGTTATTGCTAATTATTAGAATTTCTTATGCGTCAAATTTAATCTAAATTTTCCAAATAATGACTACCTTGTTTCTGGGTTGTTTGAGAGTTTGACAGCAATGCACTAAACACTGGCTGACCGAAAATATCAATCTCGGATGAATCTGCTGGTATGGTTGTAGCATTCTATAAAATAATGTGCAAATTTTCAAGCACAAATTAAACCATACAGACTGTTCTTTATTGGCTCAATTATTAATATTTATTATTAAATTTGCATTAAGCATCCATCTGATAACAAAGAAAATTGTTGTTAACTTTCAGAAATCATGTTATTTATTTCTTCAATTAGTTTATCAATCATTCACAAGTCTATGTATCAAATTTGATATGAGTCATTGTAAACTTTCACTTTCTTTTTCAATCTTTTATCTTACTTGTCTGTCATTACAAGTTCAATAATTTAAATACCTTGTCCAAAGATGAGAAATCTTCGGTTGTCGTAGGTAATTCGTATTGCGAAAAGTCACTACTGAAACGGATTGCTGTTTCCAAACCTATATCCTGGAAGGTTGATGAACTTGGTAGCGGTGGAGGTGGATGATTTGGTGGTGGCCCAACTAAAGTAAGAAATATCAAATTTATCAATTAAAACATTCAAAGTTAACTACATTAAGCATTACTGGAAAGTATCTTATCTATTTCACTGGCAATGAAAATCCAACAAAAAAAGTAATTTGTGGAATTTACCTGGATTCTAACTAAATTATCTATATAATTACCAAAATTAATGTAAACTATAAATAAATGCAAGAAATTTATCGATAAGTGAAACAAATAAACTTATAGACTATCAGAAGAAAGGTAAAAGGTGAAACATGCATTTAATAATCAATAAAACAAAAAAGTAATACCATTACTCATCGCATGGCTTGTCTTAATGAGATCACTAGCATTTCTGCATGGTGAATTTAGTGACAGTGATGAGCGTAATGTTTGCTCCAACCATTCATCAGCTTTTGATTTTACCGTTGATGGACATGTTGAAATGGAACTACTTAACCTGAAACATTATAAAAATAATTGAAAATTTAACGTTCTTCTGAATTATATCATTGTGATACTTTAATTAGGAATCAACAAATTTAAATCAAAATTATTACATTTCATTCGCCAATTATTTATTGATGAATTTTTTTTCGTTATATTATTTTCACAAAAATGCATAAAAATTCAAACTTTTATGAATTTTAGCAAAAATAATAGTGCAAAAAGTCAAAGTTAACGAATAAATGGAAATAAAAAATTCTTTAGTAATATGTATTATTATTAGTTTGTTCTAATATAATTGAGTAAAATCTAAGAGCAACTCAAAACCATATACCATTGATTTTGATAGGTTGAACAACTAATAACAACCAAGGTTGAAGCATGAGTTAAAATGATTATTATATTTCTAGCGGGATTACTTCATAATTACACTAAAGGAATGTAACGAAATTACCAAGATTCCGGTCCACTAACACATGATGAATAATTGGTTTGAACTTGTAGCGGAGAATTTACTAAACTATATGTCTGAGTACCATTAAATTCATAGATAGTGGTGTATGGTGCAGCCGTATACGATAACGATTGCCTGCAAATGAATGAAAGAAAAATGCAAAAAGGAAAATATATATAATAAGAAATCGATAAATTAAAAAAAAAAAAGGATGATTAATTCATTATTTTAATTTTAATTAAAACACGAAGACAATAATAATTTCACAAAAAATGAAATAAATATTTTTACCTAAATCCATTATATTTCACTGGACAGTATGGAGCATTCTCGAAGGTACTTCCCTCATTCAATGTACCATCATTAAGCCAACTTTTATCTTCATCATCTTCAAAAATTGGCTCACCCTTTGCTATAGTTGTCGCAGATAGTTGTTGCTGAAAGTAACCAATATTTTGGATCATATATCTAAAATTCGGAAATAGATTATAACTGAAATAGAAGTGAATGCCATTTTTTTACAGCAAAAAAAAAAAAAAGACTCAGAAATATTTGACAAACTTTTTTAATCAAAGGATCTGGACAAGATCGGAGTGAAAGTTGTCGATGGAATGATGGAGTATTAGTGATACATGGAGCAGGAGTACGCAGTGATCCCTGAAAAAACGAATACAAAATTTCTGAATATTCTATGACTTAGAAATAATGAAACTTTCTGCGTTAATTATTTCAAAAATCAAACTATGTGTATAAATATAATGAAGTTTACAGTGTAAAGTTTACAGTTTATTGTAGGTTTAATTAACCAAAGTAACAAAATAACAAATATTACAGTGAGATTCTATGCAAACTCAAATCTCATTTTTTCAACAAAATCAATTAATCTTAAATGAAAGAAGAAAAAAAAAAAAAAAAAAAAGGAAATAAGAAAAGAAACTATAAACCAAATGAGCTAGTCAACCTGTCTTATAAGAAGTAGTGGATTTCCGATAGGCCGTGGTTTTGATGTAATATGTAATGCAGTTGACAGAGTTGACGTTGCAGGAGGTGGTTGTATGATTGCAGTTTGCGGGTCACGTAATCGTTCTGTTATTGATAATCGACGAAAAGAACCATTACAATTATTTCGTTCAAGTGAACTAGAAATTAACGTAAAAATTAACAGAATTAAATTATCAATTCAAATTTTATTTACCAATATTAAACAATTGCTATTTTTCACTGGTTAAAGGTCATAATTACTTGACAGTTACATCCTACTTCTGCCATTCATTAAAATAAGGCATTTGAATAACTCAATGGTTCAGTTATAGGTAATTTCTATTATCTAAATCCAGTCAAAAATATTTATGTAAATCTATTTGACATCTCTAGCAGATACACTCTGTTGTATTTTTGTGATATATTTGTCACTGCTACTATCGTAAAGATCACAATGCGATTTAAATACATTAATAGGTGAGAGAAAATTCCAAATTTTGCAATTTATAACTTTTTAGGAAATAAAAATTTAACAGTAAACAATCACACTACTAATTCTTCAAATGTTCTTAATACTTTCCAGTTTATCAAAAATGGAAAGATCAAATATCCAAATGTATTAGTTTGACATTATTAATGATAAAAATAAGACACCTTATTCTATCATGGAAAAATTTTAATTTTGTCTAAATTTTTGATAAAAATAAACCTAATTGGAATGGATGGTATTTGTTGGGCAATTTCATCTAAAGTAAAACCAGTGGCATTTGGCTTCTCGCAACCAACAGGTGGTAAACCTGCAGCTGCTTGCACCACTGCAGCAGCTTCTGCATCACGCTTCTTTTTCCTTTCCAAACAAATCGCAAACGCACATCCCACCGCATGACTTAAGCGTTCGCCCTTGAAGAAAACAAATTCAAAATTTTGAGATCTAAATTTAAAAAAGTATTAAAAAAAAAAAATAAAGTAATAAAATACAAACAATTAAATAAGCGTTGTATTTCCTCCTAAATGATTATTAAAAATTAAACTTACGGATTCTTTTATTGCATGAAAACCATGACACATCCATCGTCTTGATGTTCCATCTCGACAAATATATGCAAAACCTTTGTCATGACTTCGATCAGGTGCACAAAATGATACCTCAAATTTCGAAAGTACTTACGGTTTATTAATTACCATTCACATAATGAAAATGAAAAGAGGAAAAGAGCAATTAATAGCAAAGAATGAAATAACCAGATAGGACTAAATAGATAATGGAAGAAAATGTAGAGAAATGAAATGGATTCAGAAAAGTGGAAAAATGAAGGGATATAAGTGCAAAAACGGAAAAATGATATAGTAAATAAACATTTTAAAAATTATTTAAGACTAAAAAAAAAGCAAAAATAAAACCTTCTCAATGGTTTGATCGACTATTAAGCCACGACTACTTTCCTGATCTACAACACGTAAACCATCACCAGAAACATACAAAACTGCTTTAATTGGTCGTCGTCGTTGTCCCTGAAGAAAAAAAATTTTTCTGAACATTTTGAATTGATTTAATTTCACTGCCATCTTTAAAGTAAAAAAAAAAAAAAAAAAAAAAACAATAAAAGAAAGAAAAGTAACGCAATGTTTTGAATGCAAAAGGATGATAATTACAATTAAAATGATTGTAGATGATATATTACTTCAACTATATCAGTTATATTATATAAGTTAAAATTTAGATATTCCACTAGCAGTTAGCGACAGGTAGGATATAATAACCAGCAAAATTTTGATGAAAGCAACTATTCTCTTTGAATTGAGACAACACTTTAAAACTATCAAAGAACTTAAAATACTGCATGGAACAGATGTAGCTCACATTTATTTGAGATGTATTGATCTTTTTTCAACCATTGACAATTAATTCAAAATTTTTTATTGTTGAAAATAATTGAAATAAAGATACAAGAATTAACTGTGAAAGAATAAATAATCTACATATATCAGTAGATATCATTCAAGCAACTTTTTTAAAACATACCCTCAACAATTTCAGAGCTCCTTCACAAATTTGCATACCACGCGATTCAAATACTTCAATACCACCAAGATACTTAAATTTTTTTATAAAATTATGCATAACTCAAATAGTCATAATGGAAATTTAAAGTAAATTTGAAAATTTCAGAACTCAAAACAAATCAAGAACATTCAAAAGTTCAAAAAATATATTAAAATCAATTTCAAGCTTCTTAAAAAATAATTCATTACACTTGAATTCAATATTCGAAAAGCACTAACCTTAACGCTAAAATTGCAGGTACCATTCCGAACAGCAACTTCATCCGGTTGCCATAATTCTGCTTTATTAGAACCTGAATTATTTGCTGATCTATTCGGTGACAACTGTCGCCCAGATGGAGTCCTACGAGAGAAATGCTGCTTGGACATTCTACGACGAAATGATTCGCGAAATGAACGTCGTATTCGATCCATTCCACGATGGACAACGCTTCTAAAATTATCCAAGTTACTGATAAAAAAATTTGGAACAGTTACAATATCAACATACCTATGAATGCAAAAAGTATTCAAGATAAAATTCTCTTCCAATTAAAGAGAAACATTAATTAGTGTAACAATTCTCGACAATTTAAATCGAGAAAGAGGGAGCAGAGAGATCAATCATTATCAATTAATGAACATAACACATATTCACTAGTTACTAAATTCGACAAATTTATCTTATTCTAGCTCAAAATGAAACCTAGAATTTCAGCATAATGTCAGAGATGATAAAACGATAATTAATAATAAGTTCTATTTAATCAAAATTAAAACAACTGCCATCAGAAAAAATCCCACAAAAAAAAAAAAAAAAAAAATCCATGATTTTACTTCATTTGATCGAAAGGACGTATATAATTACAGCCAAACAGCAAGAAAACTTGATAAAACTTCATTACACTCAATCAAAAGTGTCACAGCTATTAAAAATGACAACGAAATATCAATCGGAGCAAAAAATATTAACTGATTCTAATCAAAAGTACTGCAAATAATTTTACATAATTTAATGGAAAATACACAATCGATAATGTCATTGAATAATTCATTTCATTTATTTAAAGTATTCCTAAAGAAATTTAAAATAAATTATCTATTCATTTTATTTTCATTTATTCATTGTATTCCTTAAAAAAATTTAAAGATGAAAAAAAAAAATTTTTAAAGTTTAGAAAGGCATAGAAGAAGATAAGAAAAACATTTAAAGCGAAACATAAATCCTACCTTAAACAAAAATATTATGAAAATCTCTCCAATCCGTATTCTGCTACAAATTTAAGATAAATCTTTCGAATGTTTGAGGAATGAAATTTACCACTGAAAGGAAAAAAAAAAAGAAACTCTGTACTTTTAAGCCAAATATTTGAGTAAGAAGTAGAAAATTAAAACAAAGTTAAATAAACGATTTCTGAAAAGTTAGCAAAATGAAAAACAGAAAAAAAAAAATGAAATTTCAAATAAACTATCTGCTGTTTAAGGAAAGAAAATTTTCCGTTTTGCTTTTTTTTTTTTTCTTAAAAAAACAAAAATAAGTATACGATAGATAGTAATAGTGGTTAATATAAGCAATGATTAGAATTAAAAATGATTGTAAATGAGGAAAAAGAAGATGAGAGAGTAACTGATTAAAATAAAATTAAATAATTTTAAACTGTAAATATGCTAATGCCAAACAAAACCAAATTTCTTTCTATCAATAAGGGTTGTCATGGAGCGAATAGCGATACATATGCATATTAGTGATTCTGTATAGTTTATACCTTTATGAAATTATGCTAATCAATTTTATGCATCGAATATGGATGATTAAAGCATGAAGAATAATCTTGAAGAAATTTATTAGCTCTCTTCCTTTTAGCTAGAAAAGATATATAAATTTCCTTTTTTTTTCCCTTTCCTTAGAAGCTTTTGTGAATTATATATTTTTTCTTTTTATTCACTTATGCTTAATCTTCATTCATCATTTACCGCTTTAATTTTATTTGCTCTATTTAATATTCAATTGCCATTCATCCAAAAGTTGCTTAATAATGTTTCAATTAAATAGGACTTGTTGCAAGTCATCTATCTTTATGCTAAAATAAGAAAATTATTACTGAAGCTATAAGTCGTGATAAAACAAAATTATTTACAACTGGAAAAAAGCTTACTTTTTTAAAAAAAAAAAAAAAAACATATTAAAAATGAATGTTGTAAGTGCAATCAACCAGAAAAAGCAATAGATCTCTTAAGTTATTCAAGTTTTTAAACTTTGACGAAAAAAAAAAAAAAAAAAAAAACCCACCATTGCTCTTTCTACAGGCATCACTGATGACTGATATCTAATGTTTAATTAACCGAAAGAAGCAATATATCTTCCAGACTATTTAAATTTTTGAATATGTCAAAGAAAATTATTGTACAGCTATTAATAATATTAGGTAATACGGAATGCATTCAGCTTGCTAGCTAGTTAAATTGGTAAATAAGAGATTGAGAGAAGAATTAGATTGATCAAACAATAACAAATATAATTCTAAAAAAATGGAAAAATAAAAAAAAAAAAAAAAAAAGCAAGAGATGAGCAAAGCTAGAATTTAATAAATGGATGAGAAAAAAAAAATATGGATTTAATTCAGAAATAAAGAATGCATTAAATTTAAGGATATTAAAATGTTCAATTAAAGTGATATATTTAAGAAACATTTGCCACTTCTGATATTACTTTCTTTACAACAACTTACACTTATGTAATAATGTAAAAAAAAAGAAAACTAACCGTATTTACTTTCTTTCTTTGTTTTCTTTTTTTTCAAATTCAATTCCCTCTTTATTTGAAGAGAAAAAAATTTTTTTTTCCTTTTTTGTTTGTTAATATTACAATTTGATGTGGATATTAATAAGGAATAATACTTGTTACTTTTAATTTAAAACAGAAAAGTTAAAAGAATACCTATTAATATCATTATGAACAAAATTTTTAAGAATAATTCATTATTACAATAACTATCTGTTTACATAATGCCATCATCAACATTTAAAAATTATTACAGGACTAATCACCTGATTATATCTATTCACCTTGATTAAAAACATTTATAGCTCTTCCAAAACATTTAAAGCTCTTTTATAAATAAATGAAAATAACTAGATGACAACAATGATACAAGTATGAATTCATTTCAAACTACGAAAACAATCCAATATCATAACATTCGTAGAAATTAGCATTTAACGACCGATCGTTAAGTATTAATTTCAACTATCAAATAAAGACCAATTGCTATTTTCAATTTTCTACAACATAATTTAAACATTTCAAAACTGAAAAAAAAAATCATCATAAGACTTTCAAACTAAAATAAATTAATATTAGAACTAAAAACAATTTTAACTTGCTCAAATAAAACATATTTTCCTCTCATTTAATAAGAAGGAAATTGAAATAAAATAGAAGAAAAATTAAATGAATTATATGTGAGGCATATGTTAAAGTTCAACTTTGAATGACATTTCTCAAAACTAAAGGAAAAATAGAAACTCCCAAGTGAAACATTCATGAAAAAGCTTACTTTGATACATTAGAAAAATAATGAAGATTGGCAGGCTAAAAGTATTACATTTGGCCAAACTTCTGATTCACCAATTCTAATGATATTTTTCCCATTAGGTGAAATTTTCAACTAAAATTGTGATGATAATAGCTCAAAGAGAGAGAAATTTTGGAAAAGTACGAAATTGCAGGAAAATTTTAGCCAAATGTGGCGTAAAATTTTAAATAACTTAGACTGGCCACAACTCACTACTACTCCCAGCCTAGTCAGACCAACTATCTTGGCTTTTCCATTCTCTTTCCATCTCATTCTTAACATTATAAATATGAGCTTTGTCTTTCAAAACATGCAAGCAATATATTATATATATATATATGTGAAATTTAAATTATACAAGTGGGCAAGGATATTAAAATGTGTTTTTCGATGTGAAAAACACATTGAAATATTTAGTTATAGTTTAAATTTAAGCATAATATAAATTATAAGCTAAAAATGAAGCAACATACATTTATTTCTAAAGAAAAAGCAAATTTTGAAAAATTAAATCATTCTGCAACAAATTTTTCATATTTATTTCTAAAAAATTAAACAAACTTTAAATTTCATTAGCATATATCAATTGATATACAAATTTTTCCCAAATAAAATACCTCATTAATAAATTTACAAGCCATTACTGCCTTTATTTATTGAAAAAGATCGATTACTGCAAGTGACCTTGGAGAAATGTAAACATCCCATAAATGTTATTTACACTCTCTCCTGTTTACATGCCTTTTCCTTGAATTTTTTTAATGCAAAACCATAGTGATGTGATAGTTATGATCACATACTCCGATGAATCTTTCATTAAAGTTACACTTCTTTTATGCTTGAATTCCAAATTTCGAAATGATTTTAAAACGCATAATTTTCTTAAGGATTTACTATGCAGAGATATTTATGTTTTTATGGATACCTACAATTAAATAACAAATACTGTACAAAATTAGTAGTCCTACAGTATTATCTGTTGAATTCGATAAAAATTTAGAAAAAATTCCAAATGTTTAGAACTATAATCAAATAATTAAGATATCAATTCGAAATGAATAAATAATGAAGCAATTTGAAGAAATAAATGAAATTTATAATCTAAGAGAGCCAAACAACGATTAATCGAACTATTTAAGTCAACTGGGAGTAAATATCTAAATGGCCTGCCTATCTTTTAAAAGAAGTGAATGAATGAAACATGCCAAAACCTTTACATATTTTTCATTCATATATTCAGATTTTTCATAGCTAAAAGATAGCATTCATTCTTGTTAACCAACAAAAGAAAATATAGTGAAGACCTAACAATCCGGTATAAATGACAAATGAGGATTGATGAAGAGAAAATGGTAATTTTAAAGTACAAAGTAATGAATGAACTCCTTATCAGGGAGTGATACCTTAGGGAATTTGAATTTAAGCCTCTACATTGGCTCCAATAATCAAGCTGAAATATAATAAAGAATGATTTTAGTTTGCTGAAAAATTTTGAATCAAATTAGTTAGAATTCAAATAAAATACACTCATCTTTCCATATACAATACCACACATATTATTATGTTATTATTCAACAAGTAAAAAGCATCCATAACCAAGAAACACAATTAATAGTAGCTTCTTTCAATAACAAAAAAAAAAAAACTTTTGTTGAAATTATATATAATTAATTCCAATTTCTAAATGTTATTAATGTAATTTCCTCACTGAAACTATTATGTACTACAATTTTCATCAATAAGTTTAATCATTTTTTACTTTACATCATCATACTCCTATATAGTTTTAGAAAGTACCTTTAATTCCACTTAACAATTAAATACCCATAACTGATAGAATGACTTCTGCATAAAAAGATTTATTATATGTGGTCCGTATCAACTATTTTATTTAACTTTAATTCTAATGACATTTTTTCTTATCCTAAGCTGTTAAATTTATCATAACAGTAATTTTGGAGAAGTCATTGTCTAAAAAATGTTACCATTTTTAGTCCACTAAAATGGAAGTCATTATTTAAAGAAGCTATTTCAGACCGAAAATAATAAACAATAAAAGAAATTGTCTACCACTTCACATTCTTTAGAAATCGTTTTACATAAAAAGCATCAAATAATGAAGGCCGAATTTATTTACAATCTATTTTAGTCCTTTATTATATATAATCTTTATTTATTTTTGTATAATATATATATTTATATATTACATATTTAACAAATTGAAACAAAATTTTTTTTTTTTTAATTAACCAGAATAAGAGAAAAAAAGAAGAGATCAGTAATAATGAAGAAGTACTAGATAATGCAGTAAGTACCTAAAGAGATTTAAACGTTAGTGAAGCCAGCTTATGTTTAACCTAACCATATTCAAGTAAAAAATATTGTACTCATAAAACAAAAGATGTATCTCTGAAGAAAATGTCGAAATATATTTCACATATGTAATCAGTCAATCCAATGGTATTTCGTATAACAGTATCGATACATTTATACATTGAATTTTGTCAACAACAAACGGATCATCAAGATGGAAACCATACACGTCCCTCTCATCACCTTGACCGAACCTGTTTTCAACTACAACAACCTTTCGCTCTCTTCTCGAATACATATATTTTTTTTTGTATATACATATGCGGAAGGACAATAAGTATGCCAAAAAGACTAAACATATATATATATGAATTTTCGCAAGACTACTGAGGCAACTAGAATGAACTTTCATTTCTCAAATGTAACACTGCAATTAAAACAATAGCATTTTCCGTGCTTATGGACTGAGAAAAGTAAAGTTGAACTTAAACTCTTCCTCCTGTTTCCTCACTAAGTTTAGTATATCTCTGAGTTTCATGCAGTTTTTTGAAAAAAAAAAAAAAGAGGAAGAAAAAAAGAAGAAAAAGATGAGAGAAGAAACTTTCACATTTTTTATTCTTAAAACGTTTTGAGGGAGAATATTACTTACGAGTGAACGCGATAGATCAATCACATTTTCCTAAGCCGCATCTGTGTATCTCATTAACTTATCTATTATTTCTTCCATTCTTTACTAAAGTTATATTTCAGTAGTTTCTTTTATGTTCATTTTTCCAGCCCTTCTATTCCACATGACATTCTAAATATTTTCTACAAAAACGCTAACAACTTAGTGCCAGCATAAACAAAAACGAGGTAAACAAACTAACCCTTTGGATGACAAGACATCTTGAGCTTCACATGACGCTTCCACGGATCGTTGTAGCTGTTCGTGCTGCTGCGGCATACTACTATAATCGTTAATGGTTTCATCACTATTTGAATGACTATTCGTCAAGCTTTCATTTTTTCGTTTCTTGTTTCGCTCTGTTAAACGCCATATATTTCGATAAAAAATTGATGATGACGGCGTTGAAGGCATTGAAGGCACCAGAAAATAGAAATAAGATAAGATTCGCAATATATTCACATCTATAAATGGCAAACATATTTCTGAATAAAGGTAAGAAGGAGGAGTTCTCTTTGCAAACTAAATTTTTGAACATTTAGTCTATTTATAAAAATGATAACAGATGGGAAGATAATAAATCATTCAAAACAACTGCAGGTTCAACTACGAGTTTCTACATACCTAAATAATCTGTTATAAAAGATTAAGAACTATTATTCAGATGTTGATAACCGGAACGGAAATAATACTGAGATTACGGAAACTGCATTCAGAACTGGCTACCTTTTTCGAAGAGTGGCAACGAATTTTTAAGTATCTCATCATATGGTACTGCTGAACTTTCAAGAAAAAACAAAAGTAAAGATGCAAAGATTAGAAAAAGTTCAACAAGTGCCTATATCAACTTCATACATTAAATTAATTTCCGGTATAAATGCTTTTTCGTTCACGACTCAGCCTATAGGATTTGTTAATACAAATTAAAATTTTGTCGAAAAAAAAGATGAATCGACCATATGTTTGGCGATGAAAAATCCATGTTTCCTGCATATGTCAAAATCACACCGTAGCAGAGGAAGTGGAATACGGGAGGAATGTAATTCTCATAAGGGAAAAAAGAGAGAGCAGAAATAAAATCACAAAAATGATAAAGCTTTCAAAAAAGCTATGGGAATGAGAACAACTACGTGGTAACGTCTATAGGAAAAGAGCGAAAATGAAACCGACAGACTGATAAGGCTAATAAAAAAAAGTGGAATAGAATTGGAACTCTTATGAAGTGATTCCGATCTTAAAAAAAGGAATGGGAAAAATGTGGCAATAATTGATGAGTATTGCAAACATTTTTATCAGAAAAAGAAGTAAAAAAAAAAAACCTATACATTCATGTATATAGAAGAAGGGAATTTTCACTTTTAAATTTAAAAATTACTTACCACAGGCATTATAAGCGACGATGACATATGGTTGTCAACAGTGTTAACAGATGATACAAACAAACACAAGCACACACAAAAATTTATCGATCGATGCCCTTTTTTTGCTGATTTTTGGCTTTGTCGATAAATCAATAAGTCGAAATAGTATGAGCACTTTGATGAATAAATGTAGGCAAGCAATTACTGTTAAATAAAATCAGTGGGTCGAATTGTAGCTGAAATGAACTGAATATTAATAAAATTTATTTACCGTTATCATTAACGCCCACCAATTAGTTATTAATTTTGTTTGTTTCTTTTTTCTTTGTCTGTTTCTGTTTGTTCTTATCTTTCCCCCTTTTTTTTTTTTCTTTCTTTCTTCATGCAAGTAAGTACAACAGTAACAACTGTAATAAAAAAAAATAATAATAACAGTATAATAATAGCAATTAGTAGTAATAAAAAAAAATAATAACAATAGTATAATAATAACAACAATAACAATAGTAAAATAATAATAATAATGACAGTAATAATGATAATAATAGTAATATTAATAATTAATAATATAATGATAATAAATGATAATAATAATTAATAATAATAATATAATGATAATAAACAATAATAATAGAAATAATAGCGTAGCAATAACAATAATAACATTACTAATAATAATAATAGTAACATATAGTAAGGTGGAAGGATTTTTATTCTAAAAATCCGTACTTATTGTGAAAAGCATATTTTATACATTTTCTTTCTCCTTCTCCCACTCTCCCCCTCCTATGCTTTTCTCTTTGCTCTTTTACAAAGACTTGTTTGTTTGTTCATCCTCAAAGTATGCACTATTTTCCACATTTTCTCATAAGGAAACAATAAATAAATAGGAAAAAGCAATAGCAGCAATAAGGAAAGACTAAGGGAAAGGGAGAGGGAGTGAAAGAGAGAAAGGAGATTAGGTATTCAATAGATTATTTCATATTTGTAATACTACTAACTATTATAATAGATGAAATGATGTGTTTTCATACTTTATATTTATAAAATGTTTATGACTACAAACTGATAATATCATATAACATGCAGCATGCATGAGCATGCAGCATGCAGAATGTGCAGAATGCAATGCACACACACACACACACACACACGCACAACAAGCAGTGTGGAAGTTGTAACTAAATCAGTGATATTCCGGTAAAAGAGGACGAATAAACGGTTAATCCGACAATGGATTAGTTCTATAATCGGATAATACGGCAGCAATCATTCGGAATATATTTCAATTAAAAGAGGAATTTTTTCATTTGGCAAAAATTAAAATAAATTTTGTTTTTGAATAAGAATTAAAATAAATTAATATATGAATGCAGAAAAAGTAAAAGAATTTTTTTTTTTGAAAAAGGAGAAAGAATAAATTAATAATAGAATGTTAGTTATGGGAATAAATTCAATTTATAATAACTGAAAATTAACATTAAAGTTAGTTATAGTATGAAATTAAAAAGTAAAAATTAAAAGAGATATGATAATGGGAAAAAGAATTAAATAAAAACAAAAAAAAAAAAAAGAGAGAGAGAGAGAGAGAGACAGCTTGACAATAAGTTATCAAATAAACTTGAAAAGAGCAATTTTAAAAAGTTTAAATTAAAAAAAAAAAAAAGATATGAAAGAGGGAGAGAGAAAGAGATAATAAATTGTTAAATAAATTCAAACATTTACTAATATTATTAGTGAATTAATTCCACATTCTATCAAATTATTTATTTTCGTATACAAAGCATTTTGATTCTTTTTTTTTTTTTTGCAAGTAAAAATATGTAAGAATTTAAAAAAAATAAAATAAAATAAAAATAACTTTAAAAAGTTTTTGATCAAATTAGTACATTGAATTTCATTTCAATTATTAGTTTTATTGAAATATTTTATTAAATAATTAATGAAATATTTTTTTTTTTTTTAGGAAAATTTTCATTTTACTAAATGATATTTATACTAATAACTGTTACATTTACCATAAATTATAAAAATATTTTTCTAAAAAAAAAAAATCACTAAACAAGGAGAAAGAGATTAAATTTTGTGATAAATATTATCAAAGTCTAAACATACAGTTAGATTATAAAATTTAATTACACAAATGAGAATTTTTCATAGCTAAAAAAGAATTAATCGTTAAAAATTAGAAAGAGAAACTCTTTCTTTTTTTTTTTTTTTTATTTTTTTGTAATTTCCTTTTTTTTTTTTTTGATATCTAAATTTATAAGCTTTAAAAAAACAAAGTCAAAACAAAATTTTGAAAAGAAAAAAAGCAGAAAAAAAAAAGTTACAAAAATTATTAAATTTATTAAAATTCCATCCACATTTTCTTCTTTTTATTTATATCATTTTCTGTTTTTGTTTTTGAAATAATATTATCATTTTATGATGAATTTTACACATTCCTTTCATTCAATTCATATTCTCATCCAATATAAAAAAAAATGTTAAATGAATGAAAAGAAAAAAATAAAAGAAAAAAACGAAAATAACAACAACGATAATATCATTTTCAATCAAATATATTCGAGAAAGAAATAATAGAATGAAAAAAAAAAGAAAAGAAAAGGAAAAATTATATCGTTGTCCTAAAAAAAAAAAAAAAAAAAAAAAAAAAAGAAAAATGAAAGAAAACATATCAAAATTAATGAATCGTTCAAATTTTATAAATTTTACAAACAAAAAAAAAAAAGAGAAAGAAAGAATTTTTTCTTCTACTTTTTTTTTTTTCATTGTTTACTGATTTGTAAAATTTAAAGACAAGAAAATTTCAAAAATTTATAGCTATTAATCAAAAAAACAAAAAAAAACAAAAAAGAAAAGGATAAAATAAGATGGATTAATACATTGGTATAAAAATATTAATTATTCAAATCGTATCAAATGATTATTTAAGAGTATTATCTGATATTATCTGATAAATTCATACTAAGATTACTTCTATTACAATATTATAACTGATAACAATCATTGTGAACTAAACCATTATCATAATGATAGATACATTTTAATTGATTAGGATAAATTTTAACAAATTTTGCAAATAACTGATAATAATTAGCAAATATTAACCATTTCATGTAACTGATAATAATTAGCAAATATTAACCATTTCATGTAACTGATAATAATTAGCAAATATTAACCATTTCATGTAACTGATAATAATTAGCAAATATTAACCATTTCATGTAACTGATAATAATTAGCAAATATTAACCATTTCATGTAACTGATAATAATTAGCAAATATTAACCATTTCATTTAACACAATTACTTTATTATCACTCAGATATGTTTAACAATAATCTTTCAAATTAGTATATCTCACATAAATAAATTAATCTTCATTTGCTGGATAAATTTCTCTTATCAATAATAGTGACACTATAAAAAAATTGCAAGGATAGATATTAAAATTTGATTAATTAAGCTTCAATTTTTCTTTTTTTTTGCAGTCCAAAAACTTCCAATTATCTTTGCTTTATTTAGGGATTTTAAGTTATACTTTATATTTAAGATATTTGTTATACAAGTATTAGTAACAATATATCAAACAATAAATATAATTCCAACTAAGCAAACAGACAGATTAGACACAATAAAGTTAATTAAAAATTTTTAAAAATCAAAAAAGATTCCATGAGGAAAATATGAAAAAAATTGAAATTGTCACCGAATTGATGATGCATTATTATATAAATGATAGTTTGTTTAAATGAAAAGAATTACATTTTGTTGACTGTTAGAAGAATGCACAAAAAAAAAAAAAAAGAAAGTAAAAAGAAATAAAATAAATAAATTACTGGCATAAAATTTTTGATAGTTGTTTGTAAATGTTAAAATATAAAATTAAAATGACAATTTGAAAATGATCAAATTAAAAATTTTTGAAATTAGCTTTAAACATTGAAATGATTGAGAAAATTTATTAATTGATAAATTTACTAGTGAATTTGGATACATTTAAGCACTGTAAAAGTGTCATTAAACATGAAATCGTAATTTAA